TGGATGGATGGGGGGGGGGTGGGAGCTCCCTGGTCCGCGCCAAAAGCTAATCGATAAGGCGCGGCGGCGGCAGTCCCATGCACGTGGGGGGGTTATCAAGGGAACTTGAGACAGCCGTAGAATTTCGGTATATCGATACTGGGCGTACGTATGCGCTCTCAACTTTTTCCAGCTATAGCTTATTCAAATACTACATATACACATATATAAACCATGTTATACCCTCTCTCTGCCCTCCCATATTCACCATCCCACCTGTCCCACCCGCCACGCACTTTCCCATCACCCTCTTCTGCGCTGTCCCATCCCCCCCCACCAAAAACACCAATAAACCCCCCCCCCATCACAGCCGCCATCCCACTCCCCCCTCGCATCGGAGCAAAAGCGCAATGACTAAACTCCCCTTCCCTCCCCAGTTGAGTCCCTAAACCCCCTCGCCGTCCCCTCAAAAACAAGTGGGATGCCCGATTCTAACTCTCCGGCGGGCCGGCCAATCACACGCCAAGATGGGGACACGTGTGCCAAGCTATTCGCTGTCGAGCGCTCTCACGGCGCTGTCCGTCGTGGTGCCTTGAGCATGTTCTCGGGGGTTCTCACTTGCAGATTCCAGAGTATGCAACTTCTCGTTCTAATCTAGAAGTGGAATAGCCCTGTCCCTGGTAAACTCTCATCCCACGTCCTCGGCAACTGCAGCGCTGCTGTACGTATGCGCAACGCGCGCGACAGAGACAGCCCAGCCACACCTGTCGAACGCGTTCGTGGCTACGGCGGCGACATTGTGGCGTCGGTGCCTGGCGGGATGGGCGGCTGGGAGGGGATAGTACAGGGATAGCCCGGGGAGGGAGTTGCAGTGACAGGAGGTTGACGGGTGGATAGTTGGTGCGCTGGGGTGGTTTTTTTTAGTAGTATCGTGAGCTTCATTTGTGGTCTTTGACTTCGATTTAAATATAGTTGTATGTTCGTGATCAAAGTCAGTGACGAAGGGGGAAGAACGATGGGTGTAGTCCAGATTCACGAGATAGAAAGGCTATACTATATCGAGAATAACTGTAAAGTGTTCGTTTGCTCCTCCTCCAGTTCCAAAAACCCTTCATCTACATGTCTCTCCTCCCCTTCCTTTCTCAACTATATGTCCACACTCCACGGTATCATCTCACAAAAGAAGTTTCCTCCATCTCTCTCCTTCCACCAAAACATATCTCACTCCAAAGATCCACAACCACCACTATATCATCCTTCCTCCAAACTCATCCCCCATCCGCAGTTCCATTCCCATTAGTGCCTCCACCATTGCGGTTGCGGTCAGCCAATTGTGGCTGACTTCTTGGACGAGGGTGGCTCCACATTTTCGGTATTAGTCATCAGCACACTATTCCAGATTAGGGATTTTAACCTCAGGAATCACGCGGACCTCATATACTGACACAGGAAGCACGTGATTGTATATATTTGGGTGAGTTGCCCATCCCAGCCAAGCTCCACGATTACCGCATCAACCCACCAGTTAAATACCCATCCTAACCTTACCTTGCTCAAATGTTTTGCAGAATGCCATTTGCATAACTTTCTACCTTCCGAATTTATATTTGGCTTTCATTCGAGGTTCAAAATGGTCAACCGAAGCCTCCTATGCAAGTTCGACGTGGCTAATGCACCGCCAACGAGTCAACTCTGTCGAGCGGCACAGAACTCAGCCTCGTCTAGCTAAATTACAACGACATGTTCCGTTGTCTAGATTTGAATACTACTTACTGTTATACTTTTCCCTTTCGTGTAGGATAATGAGCCACTTAATATCACAATGAGCTTTGGTTTCAGTCTAGGCGACTTTATTGCAGTAATTGAGCTTGCTAACAAGGTCCGGAAATAGTTTGTCGACGCGCCGAGTCAATTCAGGGATATTTCCGATGAGTACGAACTCTTGTTAATGACAAAGTGATGCTAACTATTTATAATTTGATAGATTTAGAAGCCTCTCAATTATCCTTCAAGACGTCGAAGTCCTATTAGAACGGGAGCTCAACAACGAACAGAAGAAAGAGCTCCAAGAGATCTCAAACGGTTGTCGAAACGTTCTCGAGAAGCTAGAACACATACTTGACAAGTATGGCGAGCTGTAGCTAGGGTCTAAGGGCGTCGGCAGAACTATGAGGAGAGTGTGGAAGAGGCTTAAATGGGAGCCGGACGATATACGTGATTTGCGGAGTCGTATCGTTGTAAACGTTACCTTGTTAAATACGTTCTAGGGAAAACTTGCTAGGTGATTGCGAATTATCCCCTACATTTATGTATTCTAACTAAAAGTGTTCAGTCAAACCTCCCTAGCGACGAAAGGAGCTGTGGACCGCTTAAATGAACGCCAAGATGACCGAGAGCATCGCGACGAGCGGCAGACTATGCTCGACTGGCTTTCTGCAATACACTATGCTCCTTAGCAGAACGACTTTATCAGACGGCGACAGGTAGGGACCGGACGATGGCTTTTAGAATCTATAGAGCTTAAAGAGTTGGTAACGACGAGCAAAACATTGTTCTGCCTAGGCATTCCCGGAGCTGGAAAGACAATTCTTACATCCATCGTAGTCGAAGAGCTTGCTACTCGCTTCCAAAACGACGCGAGCATTGGCATTGCGTATGTTTATTGTAACTTCCGGCGGCAACACGAGCAGAAGGCCGAAGACCTCCTCGCGAGTCTGCTAAAGCAGCTAACTTAAGGACAATCTCCCCTCCCAGATAGTGTGAAATTTCTCTATGAGAGCCACAAGGACAAGCGGACACGACCACCATTCGATGAAATTTCAAGAACTCTCTAGTCCGTGGCTGCTATATATTCAAGGGTCTTTATCGTCGTCGATGCCCTTAATGAATGTAAAGTATCTGATGGCTGCCGAATAAAATTCCTATTATACATTGTTAGCCTCTATGCAAACTGCCAAGCAAGCCTCTTTGTAACTTTAAGATTTATTCTAGAAATCATGGACAAATTCAACGAATGTATGCAATTAGAGATCCGGGCGAGCGATGAGGATGTACAGAGATACCTAGATGGTTAAATGTTGCAGCTGCCTAGCTGCGTGCTTCGCAGTCCGGAGCTCTAGGATGAAATAAAGGCCGATATTATAAAGGCGGTTGATGGGATGTACGTGACTGCTTATATTCTCGGCGAATAACGCTTACTTCTCGCAGGTTCTTACTTGCACAGCTTCATCTTGATTCATTAAAAGGGAAAAAATCCCTAAAAGCTATCCGTAACGCTTTAAGAAAGCTCCCAACTGGATCCGAGCCATATGACAACGCATACAAGGACGCTATGGAGAGAATTGGAGGCCAGCTTGTAGACGACGAAGAGCTTGCGAAGCAGGTTCTCTCATGGACTACCTGTGCAAAGAGGCCCTTGACTTCGTCTGAACTTGAGCACGCCCTTGCTGTTGAGATTGGGGAGTCGCAACTTGACACAGAGAATCTTTGTCGAGTAGAAGACATGGTCTCTGTATGTGCTGGGTTAGTCAGTCGATGGGGAAAGCGGGAATATCCGGTTAGTCCACTACACTGCACAAGATTACTTCGAGCGAACGCAAAAATGTTGGTTCCCCGAAGCAGGGACGGACATTGCGAACACCTGCGTTACCTATCTCTCATTCGATTCTTTTAAAAGCGGCCTTTGCCCTACAGATGAAGAGTTTGAGGCACGACTACAGGAGAACGCAATTTATGACTATACAGCTCGAAATTAGGGACACCACGCTCGCAAGGCTCCTTTAACAAGTCAAGTGATAATGAAGTTTCTCGAGAGCGACTCTAAGGTGAAAGCCTCCATTTAAGAGCTTATAGCTACTAAGCAGCACCTATCACATGCCAATTACAGCCAAGAAGTTCCAAGAGATATAACAGGGTCTCATTTAGCAGCGCACCTTAGACTCGAGGAAGCTATAAAGGAGCTGTTTATACGTGGTCATAAAATAAACCTCAAAGACTCTAACCTTCGAACGCCGCTGTTGTGGGCGGCAAGGAGTGGGCATGACGCCGTTATCGCGCTTTTTTCTACCTAGAACAGTTTTGGCATCAACTTAAAGGACAATTCAGGCCGAACTCCGTTGTCGCATACTGCAGGAAACGGACACGAATCCGCCGTCAAGCTCCTTCTTAATATAGATAGCGTTGAACCAGACTCAAGGGACAATGTTAGCCGGACGCCACTGTCCAGAGCTGCAATGTTTAGACACGCAGCGGTTATTAAGTTGCTTCTTGCCTAGGACGGTGTCGACCCGGACGCTAAAGATGATGTCTCTAAGACGCCGCTGGTATTAGCTGCGATGTACGGCCACGACGCCGTGGTCAAACTGCTGCTTGATACTGGCAGAGTCGTTCCCGAATTCAAAGACGCGAAATATGGCCGAACGCCGCTATCGTGGGTAGCAGAGAAAGGGAATGCGGCCGCTGTAGAGACGCTGCTTAGAATAGATAGCATTAATCCGGACTCGAAGTCCGCTGGATCTTAGAACAAGAACTGGACGCTACTGTCTTACGCAACAGAAAGGGGGCATCAGACTGTAGTTGAGCTCCTGATGGCGACCGGCCGTGTTAACCTGGATTCCAAAGATAACGACGGCCGGACCCCTCTGTCATATGCGATCGCAGAAGCCCAAACAGAAACAATTCATTGCCTACTAAGATACGGCGCCAGCCCCACAACCACTGATACCCAGCTGAAGGGCCTTTTACACCACGCGATCGTTAATGTGAATTGCACACTTGACATCGTGAAGAAACTTCTGATGCTCGGTGCGCCAACGGATTTAGTGGATATTGACAGTATGACAGCGTTACATCACACGGTTAGATTCAATCGACAGGATATAGCTGAATTGCTTATCCAAAATGGGGTGCCAGTGGACTTTGCCATCCACAGAAAGGCATGGATGGCGAAGAATCATGAGCAAAGGACTATATATGAGCCGCGCGGTGGACACGAAATACTATGTGTCGATTGAGACTGCACTCGAGGACTTACGCCTTTACATTATGCAGCGTTGATTGGAAATTGCCAAATGGTACAGTTCTTCCTCGATCACGGTGCCGACCCAAATGCCATCTCTTGTTGTAGAGAAACACCTCTCCATCTCACACTATACGAGAATGTACACGCGCCAACATACAACGATGATTGGACACAAGGCTGCTGGAGAGCTGAAGTTTGGTTAGATTTGATTGACCCTGAAGATGACGACGCCGATGACATATACGCCAATATTATCATGCAACGAATTGCCGTGGTCGACGCGCTGCTTCATCATCCAAAAGTTGATCTTAAGATACAAGACAGCGAAGGGGCATCAGCACTGCATTGTGTTCCATACGGGAAGCTAAAATTTGATGCTATAGTTAGTATGTTGATCGAAAAAGGTGCTGAAGTTTCTGCTTGGAACTCGAAGAAACAATGTCCATTGCATCTTGCCTGTCGACGTGGCGACTACGCTTCTGTGCAAGTACTTCTCACTCACGGTGCTGACATATTATATGTCGATCAAGATGGACTAAACGCGTTCCACTATGCCGCAACAAGTAAAAGCGCGGAGACATTGTCGCGTATTTTTGAAGCATCCGATACGAATAGTCTCAATATATATACATTAAGAGACGAAGCGGGAAGAAATGCATTGCATCATATGTTGGCTCACGGCGCTAATATTGAGGAAGTCCGACTGCTTCTAGATAAGGGAGTTGATGTTAAGGACAGAGATGTTAACGGAAATTCGCCTCTGGCCTCCTACCTAATCAACTCATGCTTCTACATCGATGTTGGCATTTGTAGACTATTGCTACAGAGCGGGTCAGACGCCTTGGCCATAAATGACCAAGGGTTGGCCCTTGCACACCTATCGGCCAGTTGTTCGAAATTAAATATCGCAGTTTTGGAGGCTCTAATGGATTTCGGCGTGGACATAGAAAAGCTGGACATGAAGGGGAGGTCACTTTTACATCACACTGCACTCGAGGGTTCCCTTACAGAGACAGCTCTAGCATTTCTTTTCGATAAAACAAAGCTTCGCTCGGATGATAGAGACTCTTCTGGAAAAACACCATTGCAATACGCAGTTGAGCAGGCTCGGAAAAAGCGCCATCGGAGTGCCTTCGATTCGCAGAGGTGGTCGAGGAGTTTGGAAATCTTCATGAGGAATGAAGCTGTCGCGGGATGAGGCAGTTCGTCGGGGAGGAGAGCCACTTATTTCATCTGCCTTCGTCTCGTCCTGCACTCTTTTGGTATTCCGTGAGGTCGTACGCTTACGTCTCCAAGCCCAAGTTACTCCCGAAGCCACGGCAACTGCCATGGCTCGTCGGTTCGTAGTTTTTCCAGTTTATCGAAGTTGTTACTGACGTCCGGCTAGCATGCTGCTATCACATCGTTTGTGCCCCTACTCGATGTATTATATGAATTTAGTCTCCGGTAGTTCGGCGTCTGTCCCAAACGGGTCTGTCGAGAAAGGGTGGAGGTCTAGAGTTCTTAGGCAGCTGTGGTGTGCAATTCACTGTGCGTGCTCAGACTCTTGAATGGCCCCGGTTTCTTGAGTTCCGTTTATATGTGTCTTATGTGCGGAAATAGCTAGCTATCGCTTATAGTAGTTACTGTTAACTGTGGTGAATTCAATTTATTGCTCCAAAGTACCATCACGAACAGATAAATATCCCATGGCAAAGATTGCCTACTAATAAATCGAGACGCTTTATAGTATGGATTATTGACGAGATGGCAGCGCTCACGCGCATCTCAAGTCTCTTTTAGATTTTAAAGAGCAGCAATCTGCTGGTCACCACCCGGTGATACCATCAGAAAATGGAGGTGCGTGGTCAACAGCTATTGATATCACCACCCGGTGATACCAGCAGAAAATTGAGGTGTGTGGTCAACAGCTGTACAGCAAAGTGCCACGGTAAGTAAACCACTACGACCACGTAAATATAACATGGCGCTATAGCAGCAGTGAAATATGTAATTAGATTCAGAATGAACTGCCCTCGAACCAGCAACCAGAAAAGGGCCAAATGGCGAACTGAGTGCAGGGAGAAGTTAGCCAATCACATTCATGAGTGTACTCGGTATATAATAAGCCATATCTAATTGTCATTTGACCAGACTCCCAACTTGGGCTTACTATTCTCCCAACCGATGTCAAGCTTATAACAAACCAAGAGGACCTGTATTAATGGAGTATTTTAACAGCTAGAAAGGCGGCGCTGTTCAATAAACAACTAAGCAAACTCAACTAGGGCCTATATCGACCTGTGCAACAGAGTAGGGGTACAATTTAAGGCTGTGCTAGCAGAAGGTGCTACAAATTACGGACAGGAAACGCGACTAACTACAACAACTAAAGCTTTTGACGCATTAGAGAAGAGCAGAGAATATCCTTCCGAAGATATAATTACATTTCAACTTAGCGCTAAAGAATGGTGTGAGATATCGCGCGTAGAATTGGCTATAAGAGAGGCTTTAGAGATTGAGCTGATGAGAATTAAAGGAGAGAATGCGGAGCTGTTAACTGAGATGAAAGCTCTTCGCCAATTAGAAGCAACGCGGAGCCAGGATCTTGAAAAATCATGGGAGATACTACTGATAACATCGCACATTCTCGAAGAGCAAGCATCAAGGGCGTCTGAAGACTCACAGAAAATTGCACACGCCGCAGCTTACCTAAAGCTGGGAAGCAATCCACGTACGTAGTCTCGTCCGAAACGGAACCCTTGGCGCCATACTCATCTACCATTTAGAGGTAGCGAGACCCGTACGATAGTGGATTGGCGGCTGCTTGCGGCTCTCGTTCTATCAATTCAAATGAGTTACGCGTCAACGTGCTGGTAACTATCTCCTGTGACCTCGTGGAATGGCCAGCCAAATTAGCGGGCAATCCTTGACGCATGGGTAATTACGTCTTCCTGAAACCAGTTGTCACGTGCCATGCATATTGCAGTTTAGCCACAAAAATGATGACATAAGCGAAATTACATCGTAAGTTAACTTAGTTAAGTTAGTCATTATAGGACGTCCGGGGTCGTTACAGTAAGAAGCGAAATCGGTGTCAGGTCCGAACATTAAAATGATCCCCTGGGTCAACAGATTACGGAGGGCTGTTTTCCCCGGCGGTGGAAAATGGAAGGAAGAAGATAGGCACCTCTACTCTTAGATGATGGAGCGTCAGGAGCAGCCGTGGCAAATCAAACATGGGAAATGTAAATAGACACCGACTGGGCGTCGCCCCCCCACAATGTACTGCCAGGTGATGGAGCGGGCCGTCTTGACTTCCCGCAGTACAAGTGGGTCTAATGTTTGTGACCATCGGATGATCCCGCATTATGTAGTCGGCCTCAGGACATTAACAATGTGAGTGGTTCAGACAAGGGTTGCTGCTTGCACAAAGGATGGTACTTCATGAAACTCGAGCGCATTCACAACTTCCTGCTACTACCCCACAACATCTTCTTTCTTACCTCTACACAAAGTCGAAAAGTCGTGACAATCACAGCAATACTATCCAAACCGCTCCCTCGAGACCGTAGTAAGGCTGTTAGTCGAGAAAAGACGTTTTAACATGGACAATATGTTCATAACGTACACATACGTACATGCCTTCTAGGCCGTGGTGACGAGTCAATGTGCTTTGTGAGTTATCTTCTTCACCTCCGCACTGGTAGTAACGAAACGAAGCAGGTTATTTTGAGACACCGACCATCACCGTCCACTTACCATTATGATGCGTCACGTTCATGCATGTTTCAGAATATCACTCTCATCAACATGTGCTGGCTAAGAAGAACGAAAGCCCAACGCAGGTCGTGAGTATGGTTATCTTGAAGCTGACCACTGAAAAGAAAGTTTTCATGTAGTGATATGGAACAATATCGTTTTTGGGTGGACTTGAGGCGTTAACCGTGCATATGCTCAGATGCGGCCGTCCGTAGCAGGAAATCTTCATGTGGCTGGCGGGCTGGAGTGGCGAGGTGATCTTCTGATTATCAGGGTCAGAGCAATGCCCATTACATTTTGATAATTTTCAAACATGAAAATTTGATTATGGTATCGAGATATTTTTTCCGCAATTAGGTATATATAGGTTTGTCCCTTTAATGGAATTTCAAGCTATCCACAGCAGTCTACCTCAAGCCATTCTCACTTTACGATCCATTGCTCTCCCTCATCGGTTTTCTTCAGCACTTTTTAACATTTGCCTTCTTCCATCCACATCTACGTATTATCACCAACACTTCAAAGCCATTTCTCAGTATGAAGTGTACCATTCTCAGCAATGGCAGGCTCGCCCTTTTCGCTCTCGCCATCACACAATTCTGCCCTATTCTAGCCCACCCTTCCCTAGAGAAGCGCGGTGTCCCCATCGCCATGGGAGCTGCCAAAACATACGGAGCAATCGCAGCCACGACTCTCACCAGTACAGGCAACACCCTCATCACCGGCGACTGCGGAACCTGCCCTGGAACATCAATCTCCGGCTTTCCCCCTGGAGTGTGTACCGGAACAACATCTGCGGGTGGAACCGCAGCTTGCGCCGCAGAAGCCGCTTGTCTTTCAGCATACAACAATGCTAGAGCTCTTGCCCCCACCGCAACAGCTCTCCCATCATCGGACCTCGCAGGTTTAACATTGGCTCCAGGCGTCTACAAATTCCCCGCGTCGGCAGCCACTAATTCGGCCACTCTCACACTTAACGGAGCTACGAACACCAAGGGCCAATTCATCTTCCTTATCGACACAACTTTTACAACTGCCGCTAGCTCCAAAGTCGTGTTAATCAATGGCGCACAAGCTTGCAATGTTTATTTTATTGTTGGCTCATCTGCTACTATTGGAGGGGCAACTGCAATGAACGGAAATATACTGGCGTATACTTCTGTTGGTTTGAGCAATGCTGCGAGTAATAAGGGTACTCTCTGTGCACTCAATGGAGCTGTTACTTTGATCAACAACGCCCTCACTGCTCAGACTGTCTGCACATCATAAACTTTCGTGCTTGTTGCGATTTTCTTCCTGTTGTTTACCAAGATTTAATGTACTTTACTAGTTACAAATCAGATCACCACATGTATTCTAGGGAAGGAATTGAAAACCGTCTTTTGACTTCTCCCCTGAGCAACTGCACCAGTGCGGTATCAGTACGTTAAATTGAAGCACAAATGCTCGAAAGAGTGGTACTCAAGCTGGGTTTCCCGGGCAGATACGTTTTTCGATAGGCTGGCATACTAAAAATAACTATTTACATGACAAGCCTGGGACTCGCGTTATGCGTAGATATACCGACTCTATAGTCTCTGTGAACACTGTGGAAATCTGGCTCCGCTAAAGCCCTATCGACTCACTTTAAACGCTAATCTAGAGGCTGACCCCCTAGCATCAGCCTGCCTTGTGCACTGAGAGATGCGCCATCGCAGCTGATCCCAATGCTGTTATAGTTTCTCTCGTCTGGACGAGTTCATCTTCCGCGACTCCGAGCTCGTCCTTTGGAATCCACAGGACTGGGGGATCAGACGTAAGAGTTTCGTCTTGACAAGGATCTTGGAATATCTTTGTTGCAACGCGCATATCTTTGCCTTTACTTCCGGTTTGAGCCGTCAGCTGCTTGAAAATGGGTCGCGAGGATAGCTAATGTAATCTACTTCTATAATCTAACGAAAACTGAAACAATGCAGTGAAGGCCATAGTAACAATCATAATTATCGCTTGTGCAGTGCATGTGGCATTGCCATCAGCATCGCGGATAAATTGATTTTATGAGAAGTGCGATTTTCACGCTCACGACCTTCGCCTCTACTCTCGTGCAGGTCACTAGATTTATAAGCATGTTTGTGCTCTCTCCTTTAATTAGCAAATCTTCAAGGCAAAAGTGGACGAGAAGACAGAGCCTAGGGCTTCAAAAATGGAGTACCTTTGTCCCAGTCTTCACAAATATGGCGTGCATAGGTATATTTTCTGTATTAGCCACTGTTGAGATAATACTAATTGCATAGGACTTATCTATTCAGTCATCGCTCTTCTTATTTTAGTCTTCAGCATGATTTACTTTAGGGTCCTCTGGGTTCTATACCGGTACAACCCTGCTCCATCTCCTCCTTTCCTTCCGCTTAATGCTCCATGGCATCCCCCCACCCGCCCCCCACCTGCCCCCCTTCCTAAACCCAGCACCCAACGCCCGCCTCTCTTCGCTAAAAACAAGGGCAGATCAGCGAATTTGAAAATATCGAAGCAATATGCGTTTTCAAACTGCTTGTACGCCAAATACAATCTACTAATCCTGAAATCGAGTAGAAATACTAGATTTTGACCGTTTTAGGTCCGATATTCTAACTCCCGACAGCCATGTGGATTAAGCGAAAGATTTGTACGATGCGGGGTATAAAGCAGATGAGTTCCATTCGTACATGGCCATATACAAAACCGTCCACGGCATTTGTAGAGAGTAGCGCAGCATCGTCGATAAGGGTGCTAACCTGATTCTATCATCTGTCTTCTGTGCACTTCCTTGTAGGAGGTAAGATTGTCTTTCTTTAAGGTGCTGGAAGATGATGGCTAGCTATTAACCCTAGACATAGTCATAAAAAATGAGTATTACAAACACTATCTACAAGTCGTTTCGAGTGCTATTCAGCGTGCTAGAAGCGCAGGCGTTGCCATTTATACCATTAGCTTGTTGCACTTCAAGCTTCCATTCTACGATTTATAGGAAGAACCTAATCTAGGCCCTCTATTAGAGTCTCTAAGACAGCTGCTGAAGAACGTTAAGGTCCTGCGCGTGTGTGGGGTCTCTAAACGTGTTCTAGAACTACTGTCTCACTGCGCATCTAATCTGCATCAGCTTGACATATGTGGAGTAGTAGCTCCTAAAAAGGTCATTAAGGATTTTTTCGAGACCAACAAGAAATCCATTCGTTCTATTGGCTTTTGTGACGTTAGAATTCTTGGAATTCCTAGGTTGAACCGCCTACATAGCAAGACTCTACTGTCGGCAAGCATGCTTTGCCGTATGCTAGGTGTGCTACAGTCCACGCTATGCTGAGCGGCTGATTGCGGCTATCTTCTCTGGCGGAAAGAGGGATGGCGGCTGATGTTTGGCGACAACTGCTCGCAGCTTTCTACAGGAACTTCTGCTAAGAGAAAATATGATGAGCTGCAACGAGCTGAACTTTGAAGCCACACATAGTTTAAAGCCTCGTCCTTCGTGTCTTGCACCTTTTGCTCATCATCGTCGCTTTTTCGTTTCCTAGGCACACAGCAAACCAAAATCTGGCGATTGTGTTACGTTTATAATGTATCTTTTCCTTTTACTATTGTAGATTTAGTGTTAGTCGAAGCTTACTTTCGCACTCTTGGCTTCGTTAACTTTATGTGATTAACCTTCAGCAATTTCATTCCATATTTCGAACAAATAAAAGACAGCTTCCCACATGGCGTGAGCCTACACGGCTACTACTGTAGCACCTCCCTCCGCTTCAGCCGCATATTAACTCCAGCCTGCCGTACGTGCTAACGACATGTCAGTTCCCACTCCTCGCTCGCAGCCAACATACTGCTGGTCACCACCCGGTGATACCAGCTGTTGACCACACACCTCAATTTTCTGCTGCAAGGTGCCACCACGCGTAAGTAAACCACCGCGCGACTACGTAAAAATAACATGGCGCTGCTACGAGGTATACATACTGCAACTCCTGTCCTTCTTACTCTCCTTTGCTCATTCCTCGTTAGCCTTTACGTCTCATTCCACTTCACCCCTTCTGCCTCACCTAGGACTACTTGATCTGTGCACCGCAGCCAAGGTTCATGCCACGCCCATGTAAGAGCCCCATTAGTATTTCGAGTCCCCTAGCTTAACTAGTGCAAAAATTGAAGCACTTTTATTATTTTTCAGTTTAGAATAGCTCCGTTTGGTCTAAATGAATATACCTAGGAAACATATATTCACTATGCTAGCGGGGCTCTTAACCATACTCTTGCTGGTTAGTTACTACACATACACCTATCATGACGGTAAGCACTAAAGACCGTTCTCCTAATTAATCGCGCTAACCGTGGTCTTGAGGGCTGACTCTAAAATCCTATTAACAAGGCTCTCTACTATTGCAACCATTCCCCTCAAAGATCTGGCAAAGTTGGAAAGACGACTCTGAACCCGAGAGGACAGCCGGCTTCCCGCACGAGGGAGATCCGCCACGCTGCAACGCACGCAGCCACCCCAAAACCACCACCACCACCACCACCACCACCACCACCAAACGAACAAACAACGAAAGAGAAAAAAATGTTCGACTTTGTACAACAACAACATCCTTTCAAATCCCCTTCCCATATTTCCCATCCCTAGATGCCAAATGCCAATTGCAAATTCCCCCCTTATGCTCCATTAATGACGTTAAAAAACATATATAAAAAAAGGTGGGTGTAGAGTTTGTAAGAAGAAGGTAAAAAAGGCCTCAAGCTCCTCATTCGCAAAAAGATTATTAAACGCCGCGTCTCTCTTCGTTCTCCTCTTTCTGTCCTCGAGCGTAATCGTACTAATAACACGTCCGTCGTCCCCGTTGCTTTTTTGGCGAAACCACCACGCTGGCACACACCTCAGCCGTCGACATCATCCACGACTTAGAAATTCTGCGAAATCCCCGCACTAGCCTGCGTAGGAAAGTGCGACGGGTTCTCGATCCTCGTCGCCCTCCTCGCCAGATTATCCCTAATAACCGGCTGTCCCTGCGCCTCTACAGGGCCCCCACGACCTCCATAAGCCTGATCCGCATACGGCCCATCATTCGAGTAGTACTGCGCGGCACCATACGCGCCACCGGGGACAGCCTGCTCATCCGAGCCATCAGACGCGTGACCCGCGCTATACGAGGACGACGCGTTGGAAACACCGCGGTGGATGTCTCCGCCCCTGTTCCCGGCGGCGGATGGACCCATTGCGCCGAGCTGCTCGACCTCATCAGAGTGCGGGCGTCCGTTGCCTACGAGGGCGTTATCAGAGCGCGTCTCTGAGACGGGGGCTTGCGATTGTGCGCCCTCGGAGTACGCGCCTGCAGCGCCGCCAGACATAGTCGTCGACGCCTTGCGGCCAGACGTATTAGTCGTAGTTCCCCATCCACGATATCCCGATTCCTCTTCGTGATGGGCTCCGTTGTCAGTCGAGGCAGCGCCGCCGACCATGCCGATGGCGGGGAGGGTGGGGTCGTTGTTAGGGTTGTAGCCGTACTCCTCTACCTCCTTTCTGCGCAGCTCCTCGGCGTCCTTGCGTTGCTTGCGGCGGCGCCAGAACCAGAGCGCGAGGAGGGCGATCAGGGCTACGGCCACGATGGGGACGACGACTGCGACGGCGGTGCGCCCGGCTCCGGTGAGTCCATGGCTGCCGCCGCTGTTATTGCCGGAGTTCCCGTCGTTGAGAGAGGGGTCGGAGCTGGTCGTGGATGGTGGCCCGGTGGTTGTGCCGCTGGTGGGGGTTGTTGGCGCTGCGGTCGTGGAGCGGGTGATGGTTGTTTTTGAGGGTCCGTTGTTGCCGCCGCCGGTATTGTCTGTTGATGTCGGTGGAGTAGAGGAGGGAGGTTCTTGGCTTGATGTAGGGTTGTCGGACGTGGTTGTAGGGGGGGGTTCCGACGTGCTAGTCGGCGGCTCGTTGGTTGTTGTCGTGGGAGGAGGAGCCACCGAGGACGTAGGAAGGTCAGTGGTGGTCTGCGAGGTAGGAGGGGGGACCGGTTCCGTCGGCGTCGTCACTGGAGGAGCAGATGTGTCAGCAGTTGAAGTTGGTGGTTCAACATTTGACGTTGGGTTTGGTGTTCCCGGATCTGTCGGGTCCATACTGGTATTATTGGAAGTCATGGCGAAGCGTCGCTCAAAGGTGAGCCGTCGACGAGGTGGTCTATACATGGTAACATTAGCACCTGCGAGTGAAGTAGGAATCTAGCAAACTAGGAAGGCATCTCTCACCTTTAGCTGAAAGAGGTCTCCAGAACCCTCGGTCGCGGCCAAATGGATTTGCAGCAGCGATCTGGTCAACGATGAGGATTCAGTGGTGATGGATGAATGTAGGCGCGGTCCACTCAGGAGGGCGTTGGGAATGGCGCGTAAACGTAAAAGAGAGAGATGCGGTGCGAGCAAAGGCGCGACAGGAGAGAGGCTGGTCTGATTGTCTCGCTTCTTCTCGAGTGTGAGACCCAAAAGAGTTTTGGGATGAGACAGACGCGGCTCAATGGGGACAGTAGTGGACAGTCCGTCGCACACAGATGCCCTATCCCTTCTGTGTAGGCTCTTGGGTTTAGGTCTTCCGTTAGGTCTTCCGTTAGGTCTCTCCCTTAGCACTTAGCACTGGTGGGTTAGTAGCCAAAGCAGGAAAATATGGAAGCTTGGAAGAGCGGTTGGTTGCACTACTACTGGGCAAGCAAGCAGGATTGGGTGGACGGAGAGGTGGTTTGTGGAAGGCTGGTGAGGAGAGAGGGCTCGTAAGACACGGGCCGGCGTGGTTTTTCCAAGGAGGAGGGCGGGTACTTGGGGGGGGGTGGTGAGTTATTGATGGGGGCGGTGCGATGTCTGGGCTGTTGGCAGGAAACAGTTGGCTGTGGATGAATGCTACGCGGACAAGGAGTACGAGGTTTACGCTGCAGAGTACGCGGTACGAGGCAGGTACCTCGTGTCAGACCTTGGAACGGCGCCAAAAATGCCTAGGTTAGCAGAGGTCCACAAGGTACCACGTTCAGGGCGAAGCTAGAGAACTGTTAGACCGTTAGAAGAGGAGTAACTAGACCGAAGAAGAAGAAGAAAGTTGAAACTTTTTCTGTTTGGCTCAATTCAATCGTTCCATGTTGGCGTCAATGGGTGTTAGCTGATGATGTTGAAACAATTACAGAAGCGGCGTATGATATGGCCCGTTCACATGTATTGGTATTGGATTACATACAAAACTGGCGGCTGGGGATGGAGAGAGGAGCTGAGATGATGTCTCTCCTTCCTGCTGTGTACAGTACAATACAACCCCGTATTCCCTCCCCATATAGTGCAGACGCAGATGCAGAGTAACATAGCAATCTTACCATACAGCAGCAAAAAACGGTTAGCCTAGCAACCAATGCGATCAATCTTCTTGCAATATAAAAATCCCCCGATCCAATCTTACCTTACAGCCCAAATAAACCTACTATACACAGCCCATACCGCATCATATCCCACACACACCAAGCTCAGACAATTACTCCATCATCATCATCCCACACACATCCAAGCTCAGCCACCTCACCTCACCCACCACCCAACTCGGCCCTACAGCCCAATCTGTCCCCCTTACCACCCAACTTAGACCGACCCAATCCTCTCTTACCCCCATCTTACCATATCTCACATCCCACAGTCCCAAAAAAGTCCGGCTCCCAAATAGTCCGAAACCAATCCAACCACCAACTCCGACTCCATCACATCGCCTAGCCATGACGGGATAACTGCTGATCCGGCAGTGCAAATCCCAACCGAGCCCGCCCACACGCGAGCGGAATACGAGAATAGCCCTCTCCGCCACCCTGTGCCGTTGTCGTGTGAGCGATCGTGTGGCGTTGGCAGATGTGGCGTCGGCTTGCCATGGTAAATTAGTTCAGCTCATTCAGCCAGTATATCGGTTCTCAGTATTCAAGTAGCAATCCCAGCCCAACGGTGACAAGTATGATCATTCCTGTTGGGGGAATCAACAGCGCCTGTTGATGAGCCCTGACCATCCTGTACAACCCCATACCAGCGTCATTTTAAGGATCGCTCCTTCCTTCACTACTCATAGACCTCAATACCCCTCATCACCCCAATCAATAACCAGGTCGCTTAGCTCAGTTGGTTAGAGCGTGGTGCTAATAACGCCAAGGTCGCGAGTTCGACCCTCGTAGTGACCAAACATCACAAATTCATTCTTTTGCCATTTGTACCGATTATTTTTTGGCCCATTCCACCTTCTTCTCAATACCCCCTCCGCCAGGTAGATCCAGTCTAGACAAGAGTCTACGGTGTAGCTGATGCGAGTGCGAGAGGGGATCCATCTTTCGCTCAGACGTGGAGACCCCGAGGATTCCCCGTTTGGCAAAAACGGCAGTCGATGAGTGGGCTCTTGACATGTGAACCACGTGAAATGGACGCACACCCGTTCTAGAGAACGTTAAACGAAAACGGCTTTTCTCTTTATTATTGGCTCCGTTTTCAGTCCGTTTCTGTTGGTGAAACGAGGATCGGCTGGTTAGTTTGTGGCCTGGACTTGAGGTGTTGATTTTATGACCCTTTCTTTTTGGTCCTCCCTGATCTGATCCAAGAGAAGGGGCTAAAAAGGGAGTAGAGCTGTGCCCAGAACATGTGATATCTATCACGCACAAAAAAGCTGTTTGTATTCAATGCCACTCCCCGGGGGTATCACACTGTAGCCTGATATTCCTTCGATATCATATCACCGTAACCCTCCAAACCCCCCATTCCTCTGTATCTCCCTCTATGCTCTCCTCCTCCGCCCCATCCCATGCATTCACCGCACCCTCTAGCCCTTCCCTCACCACCACCACGAGCAAAAATCCAACCTCCATCCCCTCGCCCTCAAAAACAGCAAAAGTATGAAATACTGGTCACTACGAGGGTCGAACTCGCGACCTTGGCGTTATTAGCACCACGCTCTAACCAACTGAGCTAAGCGACCGTGTTTGGTTATTTGATATGCTCCTCGATCCCCAAAGCGGCCTTTGAACCCCCTCCTCTCCCTCTCATCTGTCCAAAAAAAAGGTTGTGTGTGCCCCACCACTGGCGGCGGCGTCGGCCGAAAAAAAAGTCAACCACAACACCCCCACCACCGTCGTCATCGGGAATATAGTCGGCCCGGTAAGGGATAATGGAGGGGGTGTGTGGACGAGGAAAACGGCAAAAATATATGACATATTTGGTCACTACGAGGGTCGAACTCGCGACCTTGGCGTTATTAGCACCACGCTCTAACCAACTGAGCTAAGCGACCTGGTTATTGATACCGGTTCTTGCATATAGGACTTGATCAGATGTGTTGGTGTTGCTCTCGGCCACACCAGGCTTTCTTAGAGACGGGTATACCAAAGGCAACCTCCTACAAGACTGGACTATCAAACTAACTTCTAACGGATGGACGAACAATCAAACTGGCTTGGAATGGATTAAACGCTTCGAAAGCACATTCGAGGTCATAGAAAGAGCATTTACCGTATTCTACTACTCGAAGGGCATGAAAGTCACTAATCTGCCGAATTAATTCGAAACTTTCTGCAAAGAAAACAATATCAATACCCTCTCCTTCGCACCACATCACTAAAACCAGGTTCCTCCTTGCATTTAAAGTTGCACACTTTACTATTGTGACTAAGGACAACGTTAAAAGAAGCTTTAGAAGGGCAAGCTTAGTTATTTTTAATCCTGAGGTAGGCATATCAAAGTTAGATGTTAAACTACGCACTCCGACACCTATAAGACCGCCTCCTTCAACACACGACTATCATACTAGTGGAAAGTAGCCCGCTCGGTGATGAACCACGTTATGCTTTGTGTAACTAAGTCCTTTATAACTATATACTTATAGTCTTACTAACTCTAATAACGAAAGGCTTCTATTCATAGGATATAAGACGTTAAATAGCTAAACACAACTACAGGTCTTGCGTTTATTCTATTACTACTATCGTGCTACACCACTGATACAAAAATTAAGATAATCACGCTGATGCTACTATTTTGCCTTTACAAGCGCCAAATCCAACATGTCCCAGCCCGCTCTTGCCTTGCACTTGTGCCTTAAATTCTATGGTGTCGCCGTCCTCTAGGAACGCCCGGCTGATATTCTGTTTCCCTGAAAACTGTGCTTTCATCTCATAGGGATCGATGCCATTTCGCGTTGCTTCTAGAAAGCACCCAAGCTCTCCTCGAGTTGGTCCGGATAGTGTACCTGTGGCAATAAGATCCCCTGGTCGCATTGGGCACCCGCCTACTGTATGATGCGCTAGCATTTGAGCAAAGGAGAAGACCACGTGCTTCGTATTACATTCCGTCACCGAATATGTTCCAGAGTCATCTATGTGACATTAGCTTAATGACGTGTTTCGACGGCAACTGAGAGACTGACTTTCTAGCGACACTCGAATCGGGATATCATATACCGACTGCTTTTCGTCTTGGTTCAGATAGGGAAGCTGTGGATCTTTCCAGGCATAAGTTGAGCATGTCATACCAAATGAAGAGCATAGAGTACTAACCGGCTGTTAAAGGCGTGGTTCGGAATGGTTCTAGAGCTTCCAAGGTCACAATCCACGGTGAAATAGTGGTGCAGAAGTTCTTCCCATTGAAAGGCCCAAGCGGCGTGGACTCCCACTGCTGGATGTCTCTTGCTGACCAGTCGTTCATCAGAACAACGCCAAAGATATGGTCTTCTGCCTCATTAACATCAATGCGGCTTCCCATCTTGTTGCCGCGCCCAATGAATGCAGCAAACTCAACTTCAAAATCGAGTTTCTGGCAAAGACTTTCGGTAGGGATTCCATTTAGGACAATTTGGCCTCTTGGTCGATGAACAGGCGTGCCTGAAATGACAACTGACGATGCCCGACCATGATAGCCGACAGGCAGACTCGAAAAGTTTGGCGGGAGTCCCATTCCAGGCCGAAAGATGTCACAGCACTAGCCAACTACGTTAGCAATAGCCATGGCATCAAGGACGATCATCAGCCAGGATTGCCACATACATTTTGAGCATGATACAGGCCGACGAAGAAGTCGGTGTAATCACCTATGTGCATCGGCATGTGCATTTTTGCTCTAGACAACGGGACAAGAACTCTGTCCCTCCGATCTCGATGATCGCGCAAGACTGGGCCAAGCAGAGTACTTTCACTTAAGATATCTTGCATCAATTTTCTTACATCATGATGAACACTCTTTCTTAAACTTGCGTACGCATTGATCGTCGGCTCTTCGAGCGTCGAGCTGTCGAAATCGATTGCAGCAAAGACCTTTTCCTGGGCTAGAGCTTTGAGATCCAGTACATAATCCCCAATTGCCACACCAATTCGCTGGTCCAGGTCATCAGTGCTGAAGACGCCATATGGAAGGTTCTGTAACGAAAAATCGGAGCCATCTTCAATTGGAATCCACGAGGCCATCGTTTTGCGTTATATTTAAACTATAATAGTTTAAATATTTGTTGTCGGGGCTACAGATTTGCTTTGTCTATACACAATTCAATAAAGAGACATACCTTTCAAGAGATTAAATATGAAAATACTCAACGCCTCTGCAATCCTATCTGCCGATGTATCAGGCTAGGAGGCGGGCCATTAATTAGTTTTCCGATTCGGAAAATAGGTTCGGCCCTGGTAAGATCCTGGGTTATTTTCCGGACAGACTAGCGGGCCTTGTGATTCCCTCACCACACGGTCTGTTTCGGGTTGGGGAGAAGTCCTCCTGTCGAAGCTCCTAAGTATGACAGGTTCTCTGATTCACATCTCTTTTCTTGGACGGACAATCACGTGTAACATAGTGATTCAATGTTCCCCATTTTCCGAGCGCACTGTTGTGAAGTTTTACCTTAAGTAAGATCCCAAATCCGGGGTCCCCAGAAACCCCACAGTTCTAGAGTTGTCACTAAGCCGAATACAAAGCATATACAAGGCATGGAATCTAAGATTGATACTCAACCAGCCGTTCGACATGAGGAGAACGCGGGGCTCGAAAAGCATCAACTAGCTCATGGCATAGTCGATGCTGCACATTTGTTCCAGGGAATGCACGTCGATCCCGAGAGGAGTTTATCATTGCTAACGTATTGCTAGAGGATAACAGTGGTAAGGTGACTGGCCGGCTTCTGCTTCCAAGACCTACAGATAACCCCAAAGATCCGTTGGTAAGTCTCGCTTCATTGATATAACTTGAATAGACCAAAGTCGACTAAAAAGATACAGACGTGGAGTTTGTGGAGGAAGCATCTTTGCCTCGTCACTATCTGCTACTTCGTCTTTATGTCGAACTACATCACGGCCTCCATCTCACCGATTCTTCTCCCAATTCTGCTAGACTTCAAAATTACCCTGACTAAGGCAAGCTACCTCATCACGTTCAACATCCTTTTCCTAGGGATAGGAAATATATTTTGGATTCCTCTCTCGCTGAAAATAGGGAAGCGCCCCGTTCTTATCCTAAGTTCTGCCGTCTTCTTTGCTTCAAGCATTTGGTCTGCTCGTGCTCAATCTTGGGGATCATTGTTTGCGGCACGAATTATTCAGGGGTTCGGAGCTAGTTCATCAGAGGCTCTGGGTCCAGCCATTGTGGCAGACCTCTACTTCCTTCATGAGAGAGGAGCTAAGGTTGGGTTTTACACTTTCATGATTGCCAGTGGAAGTGCTCTTGGTGGCGTCTTCTCTGGTCTTGTTGCAAATGCAAACCCGGATTGGCGATGGGTCTTTTGGATGAACGTCATATTGACAGGAGTTTGCTTTCTGGCTACTGTCCTTTTTCAAGCGGAGACAAACTTCGAACGACCGCCTGAATATGAGACCGGCGAGGGCTTAGAAGCGTCCCAATTGCCAGACATCCGGGCTCGATCGAATGCGAGCTGGGCAAAGTCACTCAGTGTGACATCATGGTACGACAGGTATGCAGCTTTATTCCCGTGCTTATCTTGCTGTGTAGGGCACTGATCAATCTCAGGCAAACCTCAATATGGCGGCTTTGGTGGAGGCCTTTTCTGACGCTCCAATATCCTGCTGTCGTTTGGGGATCTGTTACTTATGGTGTGACTTTAGGTTGGGTTGTCTTCCAACAAACAGCCAATGCATCAGCTTTCCCCCAACTTTATGGATTCAGTAAACTTGCCCTCGGCAACGTCAACATTGCGGTGAGTTTCTTTGGGAGAGGTGCACACTCCTATGCTAACTATGTGTAGAATCTAATCGGCTCAATCGTGGGATGTCTTGTTGGAGGCCCCCTGAGCGACTACCTGGTCGGTATCATCTCAAAGCGTCGTGGTGGCTATTTCAAACCCGAGTTCCGCTTGTGGTGTCTTATACCATCTTTCCTATTTGGACCTATTGGCCTAATGCTCTGGGGTGGTGGGCTTGGGGATCATTTACCGGCTATGGTCGCAATTGCAGGTTCTGGAATCACCTACGGGGTGCTTTGTGCTGTTCCAACTGTTGCGATGACCTACGTCGTTGATTCCTATCGGCCGCTGGCTGGAGAAACAATGACAATCCTTACGGCTTTCAAGAACACCTTTGCTTTCGGGTTAAGTTTTGCTGTAGTTCCATGGCTGGAAAAGGATGGATTCGTTAAGGTAAGTTCGTTCTTACATGCTTCTCGCATGCGTAAAGAGCTTTGCTGACAAGTCTTGGAAAGGTCTCTGGGTGGATGGTCTTGATCGAGGGACTCATATTTCTCACCGCCATCCCGATGTATATATACGGTGAAAGGGTCCAACGATGGACAAGCAAATTTGAAGTATAAGAATCAGCAAGGTTTGGATGAAGCTGTCCGGCATCTATTTCTGGGTGGCAAGGAAGTAGCGACTGTCCGGAAACTATTTAGCAGAGCAATATTATACCGGATGAGGTCAATTGTTAAAGGAACCTCGGAAAAGTTATCTTTAAAGGCCGTGTAGATAACTCAACTGCTTCCTGAGGCCCTTGTCTAAGAAACTAGTAACATTCTTCGTAATATCTTGTCGGTATGCCATATGAGAGCAAAAACACCGAGAATATTAATATTTTAAACATTTGAGTGCCTGCGATAACTTTAATGATGAGTGATTAAGTGGTTGTGGTGGGAATGCGTAGTATCCTGTTGCAATCATAAGAACTACCAGGGTACTAGGTGGGCGGCTGAAATTGTAGTTGACTTACACGATACTCTGATTCCTTCGTTACGGCATCGAGATTTAAGTAACTCATTTGATTTTGCGCAGTAGAAAATCAGATCAATCTATGCGCAGAAAATACTTCATCGTAAGTATTTCCTTGATTTTGCCAGACCGCGGTTCTCGAGCTGACCGTCTGTACTTTGTTCTCTCGTGTTCACGATACAACACGAGCGAGCAAGTTCTTAGATTTTAGTTTGAATTTCATATTTCATCCCTACCGGCCAGTCTGCCAATTCACCTCCTCATCAGATCTGCCAGCACCTTATCTCGTATGTCCGGCCCCTCCTCCTATCATTCTGCCATCCCACTTCCCAACGTCAACGAACGCTCGTGAGTAAAAAATAAGTCACATCCATCTTTCCAACGACCGCCGTTCGTTGACCAGGCCAAAAAAAAAGAAGATAAAAAAACAAAAAACATACAACAGTGGGTATTCGCTGGTGGTCACCCACCCAACTACTAATCCACCGATCTCAAGCTTGTGTATGGCAGAGCGGACGGGATGCCCAATTCTCTTGAGTCTATGGTCGTATGTATTAGTTCTTGACGCACGGGGGTATATATACCAAATAAGGAGGAGATTTTTGGCGGCCCTCACTGGTGAGATCATTTGGGACGTGTTGCTGCTTTGAATCGGGATATCATGGGACACGGGGTCGGGATATTACCCCACGGGACACGGGGTCGGGTTATTACCCCGCAGATTTCCCCGCTGTGTGTCGTTGAACTTACGGCACCCCTTAGTCCTGCCGTTGAACCCCTAGAACTCCTTAATAAAGAGAGGAGGGGGCGACAAGAATATGCTCAAGTCAGACTGCCTCCATCTCTATTGTCTTCGGAAATCCCTTTAAAATTCGACAAAATGGTTGGAAGATATCTTATTCAGAATGCCACAGTGATCTCAGTTGACGCTGCCATTGGCATTGTTCGTAACTGTGACGTCCTTATTGAGCATGGCATCATCACTGCAGTCGCTCAGAACCTCCCCACCTCTGCAGACCTCACAATTATCGACGCGACTGATGCCATCGTGTCTCCTGGGTTTGTGGATACACACAGACATACCTGGCAAACCCAGCTGCGAACGATAACTTCGGACTATGTACTATCAGACTACGTCGTCAACATCCGCAATATATATGGCTCCTGCTATACTCCTCATGACGCATACCTAGGCAACTATTGTGGAGCCCTAGAATCGATCGATAATGGCATCACGTACTTGGTTGATCATTCTCATATCATGAACTCTCCTGATCATGCGGATGCAGCCGTCAAAGGTCTTCAGGACTCAAAAATCAGGGCGGTCTTTTGCTATGGCTTGTATGAAAACCCCGCTTGGGAAGGCTCGAGTGTGAACAAGGAGCAGGAGATAAAGAACCCGAAATGGAGATGGGATGACGCCAGGCGCATTAGGGAGAAGTACTTCAAGTCCAATCAACCTACCGACCTCCTACGATTTGGGTTTGCCCCTGCTGAAATAGAACGGGGCACACTCGCCGAAGCCATTGATGAGGTTGAATTTGGTAGATCACTCGGATCTGCAGTAATTACTGGTCATGTGGCAATGGGAAAATATGATCGTGGAGCCCATATCGTTCGCAATTTCGAGCAGAGGAATATTCTTGGCCCAGATCTTTTGTTTAGTCATTGTGCAACATTGCATGATGACGAACTAGAAGCTGTCAAGAAAAATGGTGTCTCTCTATCGAGCACTCCAGATACGGAACTTCAAATGGGAATGGGTCATCCAATCGCCTTTAAAGCGCACAAACATGGTTGCGTTGCAAGCATTGGGATCGACATTACCTCAAATAATCCTGCGGACATGTTTCAACAAATGAGATTACTTCTTCAAGCTCAGCGACATTTGGACAACGAAAAACACGCCGTAAGACTTCCAAAAGTATCACAGAGGTGCGAAGAAGTTCTTGAGATGGCAACCATTGGTGGCGCAGCAGCTGTGGGATTGCAAGACGTCATCGGTAGCATCACTCCTGGCAAAAGAGCTGATCTTCTCATTACTCGCTGTGATTCGACCAGAATGACTCCCGTGCATGATCCTGTTGCAGCCTTGGTGTTGTATGCAAATGCTTTCGATATTGATACGGTCTTCATTGATGGGGAGTTAGTCAAGCACAAGGGGCTGCTGACGGGAGTGGACTGGCCCAAGGTACGTCGAGAGCTTTGTGATTCAGCCGCATCTATCATGGAACGATCAAAGAACGCTCCTACTGAGGAGATCAACGTTGCTATCATGCAGATGCTTCAAGGTTTTGCGGGCGATGGAAATGGGACCGACGGAGCGTGATGCATGTTTTCTATTGGCCGCCTTATACTGCTTGATCTCGTTAAGGACGCCCCGAAGTTTGCGCATTAACTTCAACATTTGAGACTAAGGAGCTTGATTTGAAAGTTGATCCTTGAGTTTGTCATGTAAAAAGCGTTTATATAACCGTTAGATATTAATAAACGACTTAATGGATGCTTCTGAACCCTTAAAACCCCTATCCTAGCTGCACAAATAACCGTAACATTGCAAGCACCGGTCTAGGGAGAGAACTGTGAGTTATTGTTAACAACTAATAATGATGAATTTGATGATTGCTCAACAGGGAGATATGACACCCTAATATATTGCATGAATTGATCCAGTCTACCTAGGCTGCGTAGTATACCACTTAGAGCATCGCGTCCGAATAGGGGAAGGTGTGTAAACCTAACTCGAACTTTCAATTTTCCGAGGTTTTCCGAACCCCGCATTCCCCAATACCCCGCACTCCCTTATATTGTCCCTTGCTCGAGTTATACCTTCCCTTTGGATTCATGCATGATCCATCTGTTATCAAGCTCTACTTAATACTAACATCATAAACGCTACGGATAATATATGAGATTGCATTTATGATCGGAAAATTCTAAAATCCTTATGTTGGCAGCATCGGGACGGCCACGCAAGGCCTGCAGCCAATGTAAGGGCCATAAGGTACTGACTGAACTTGTGAACTGAACTTGTGACCCTGGCACTTGCAACGCTTTACAAGCACCCTTTTCAAATCCAAATCACGAATAAACAGACTGATGTTAAGCAGGTCCGCTGTTCGGGTGATAAGCCGGTCTGCAGACGATGCTCGCGCCTAAGACACGCTTGCATCTATAGTGCCAAGAGTGTCAATAGTGTCAATGTCCCTCAGGTGGACGGAACGTCGAGTTTATTGCAAAATGCGCGCGTAACAGATACTCCTCCGACACCAGTATCTACTACCACCCCTAGTCGAGAAGAAGGCCATTCTACCTACCGAGGGAGTTATGGAGCAGAAACCACCAGAAACAAGTACCCGATTCCCCCATTGCTGTTGACATCACCCTCGCAAGATTACAATCTCGGGATTCCTGAATCGTTGGTTTCTAGCCTGATCGAAGTATACTACTCTGATGTGTACAATGCATCTCTGCTGTTGCATAAGCGCATGTTCTTAGAAGCAGTAGCTGCAGGTACAGCTCGTCCTCAAGTTGTTCTGAGTGTCTGCGCGATTGCGTCAATGTATGATTGAAAACTCTCAACTCTGGATAACATAGTTGACCTTTTTTATGTTCAGTTTCCATCTTGACTCCAAGAACCAGACTTCCCTCAAAGAACATGGATTCAGCACACAATGGGCCGAGCGTGCAGGCAAGCTTGCGTTCCAAGAAGTCGAAAGCCCGAACGAAGATAACATTGTGGCATTTATAAATCTAGCGCTTTTTTGGTACAGCCAGGGATCCTGGCGGAGGTCTTATATACATAAGGGTATTGAACCTGAACCCGTTTTCTTTAGTTTAAGGTGTTTTACTAACCATTTCAATCGACTTCAGGCAATGCTCTGCAGCTGGCACATCTCCTAGGATTTGGAACCGAAAGACCTGACAAGGCGGGTTCCTTGGAATCAGAGATCCAGCGCCGTCGCTTCTGGGCATGTTATCTTATGAATTGCCACGCACCGGAGTCTATGTCCGTGCCAGAGATATCGAAGACGGCACAAAAGCTTAGACTTCCCTGGCGAGACGAAGATTTCGAAGCTGGGTTCTGTGCGGAGCCAGGGGTCTCCCTGGATTCTGGACAAAGCAACGAAGGTATCTTCTGCGAATTGGTCAAGGCCATGACATATTGGTATGATCGATCGACCGGTAATGCATACCTGCTCTAGAGCTGACAATATCTAGGCGTGCGGTTTTTAACTTGATCAAATCACCTGAGTCTAGCATTAGCGCTAGAGTTTCTGACATCCATGCCCTCGATGCTCAAATAGCGGAATGGTGGTCTAAACTTCCTACTTCTCTTCACTTGACGCCTTCTAGCATCTCAGAAACGCCTCACAGTGTCCTGCCTAAACTCCTACTCATCCACACCGTCCATCACCAGTGTCTCTGTGCTCTACACTCCTCCATCGTTCCTCTTTTTTCTTGGGGCGCAAGTGATAACACATGGTTGACTGCACGAAATCTCTCAGCACAAATAGCTTTCGAACACGCTTGCGAGGCTTCTACACTTTTCGAAGCGATCCTTACGAATTCCAACGAATCTAGTGCCATCCCAAGTTTTATTGCATATGCAGCCTACTGTGGATGCGCGATTCAGATTCCTTTTATGTGGTGCTCCGAACCATCAGTCAGGGAGAAGGCACATGCAAACGTCAGGACGAATATCAGAATGATCCATCTTTCGGCGAAGTACTGGAAGTTTAGCGCGTTGTTGGTAGGGTTTCTCTCTCCCATTTTCCGCCGCAAGTCGGACATGATTCAGGACCGAATGATAACATTCGAGTAGGAAATCCACTTTCAGTATCTCTACAAAATGCACGCGAAAGATCCGGTTCCTCTCGAAAACGAACCCAAACATCTCGCCGAGGGGAAATTAAAGGGATTTAGAATCAGCGCATCTCATGCGCGTGATTCCATATTGGGGCATAACAGCATTTTGTGGAGCAGGGGTGATGGTTATGCAAAATCAGGCGAAGAGGTTACCGATCTGGGGATTCAAGATGAGAATAGTCTTCAACCTTCCGGCTTAACGGGCCAAGACTGTAAGTGGAGTCTCTTACCAAGAATTGCGAGAGCAATCAAAACTAATCGTACCTCTTTTGCCACCGTAGTTTCTAGGACTATCACCCCACAGAGCCAGTGTCGTCCTCCCTCGCGGGCACCTATAGCCGAAGAAGATCAGCCACTCACATCTGCGGATCCCAATCCGACGACCATTGTTCAAGAGGACCTCTATGCTCAGCCATCTCCAACTCTGGATTTCTTCCACCCGTTTCTCGACCCCGAGATTCTGGATGGTTTCCCCGACGGCGAGGTCTTGGATTTCTCGCAATATGGGACGATTCCAGCGAGCTTTGACTTTTTCGACGGTTGGGCTCTTGGTGCTGGAGAGGTTCCGGAGACTAGAGGGAACGAGATGGGGTAAGGTGAGCTAAGGAAAGGTAATGGAAGGAAAGGAAGGTAAGGTGAGGAAAAGGAAAGGAAAGGAATAACGGTGTCATACTACTAGCCGGAGCAGCATCCATCTAAGCACACACCATTGCATCCCACACTTAGTAATTCTCCTAAACCACCATGCCCTCTCGGGTTTATGGCGCGGAATTTACAAACCAAAAGTCTCACGGCCGAGGTTCACGGAGCAATATCGGATCATTGTTGATGTTGGTAGTGCCGGGTCGGGATATTGGCAATACCGGATCATTGTTGACATTGGTAGCACTGGGTCGGGATATTGCGTTTAAGGTTACACTTTTCCGATCATGATCGGAAAATTAGAAAGTTGCATTTCCAACTGTCGGATGGGTCTAGAAAAGCACTTTTCAATCCACAAGTTTTAAGTAAGAAGGTACCCCAAGCCTCGACATCAAAATCCCATCTCCTTCCTTCCACGCCTCGAACGAACAACTAGCCTTGCATTAAGACAAAGATGTCCACCACCACCACCACCACGCTCCCCTCCAACCTCCCCAACCCCACAATCCACATAACAACCCACTCCCCCACAACCGGCAAAGCGCACCTCCACTCCTCCACCCAAAACGCCTGGACCTTCCTCCGCTCCTCCACCATCGGCTTCAACGTCATCTACACCACCTCCCAATTCCCCGCCAGCCTTTCCTCCAACACCGACATCACCACGCACGAGAAAGTCGTCCAATCCGGAACCCTCGGCCTCGTCCAACCCCACGGCACGGTGTGCCGCATCGTCGATTTCGGACCCCAGCACGAGCCGCTCATGCACCGCACGCAGTCGCTCGATTACGGCGTCGTGCTGGAGGGGGAAATCGAGATGGAGCTCGATGGGGGGGAGGTTAAGGTGTTGAGGAGGGGGGATGTGGCGGTGCAGAGGGGGACGATGCATGCGTGGAGGAATCAGAGTAAGACGGAGTGGGCGAGGATGTTGTTCGTGCTGCAGGATTGTGAGCCGGTGGTTGTGGGGGGGGAGAGGTTGGGGGAGGATCTGGGGGGTGAGGTGGAGGGGTTGCCGGGGAGTGGGAATGGTGAGTGAGTTAAGGGGGGGGTGAGGATGGGTTGAGAGTTGGGGTATGAGGCGTGCTGAAGTGGTGTTGGTGAGAAGATGAATATATAGTGTTCGAGGGCGCTAGATGATAATGTTCGAACTCGTAGATCCGTGGTTGTTTGCCGACTAAGGTCTCGGTAGGAAGGTATTAGACGTAGAGTTTCTGCATTTAGCCTCATCAACACAGCTCTAAGTTCCGCAGAATCCATATTTTCTTCATTGTGCACGCCAACCTACCCTCTAAGATTCAAAGCCCCCTAGCAAGCAACAGAATAACATATTTCCTTCCCCGTTATCTTCCTTACTAACCTTACCACAGCCTTTCACAAGCTGATTAAGAGCTCGCTCAGCTAGGTTTGGTGGTGCGGGGGTTAGTTAAGTGGCTGGTTGTTTAGTTTTGATATGATAACTAGTCGCGCCCCTTCCTTCCTCCTGAAGGGGAGGTTGATATGATGTAGTTTCCACCAAGAGCCATCCTCCATCCCATCCCATCCACATATATCGCAAACAGCATCACCATTATCATCACCACGAAGACGCCACGGAAGAAGTGAAATGAATAGATAAAATAAAAAAACAACAAAAAATATATGCCGGCCCATAGCCATAATTACAGTGTACTCCTTTCCTCCCCACCTCCCTGGCAAAAAAAACGATCGGGGTGGGTGGTGGGTCATGCTTTCATATACAAAAAACACAGATGCTGCCTTTTTATATCCCTCCCTCCAACACAAGACAGACACATCGTCATCAAGAAGAGCGAACAAAAAGAAGCCCATTCCCATTCGCGCCATGCCGTTCCTTTCCGTCTATACAAATTACCCCCCTCCTATGCAACCAACCCTCCCACCAACTAGAGAATCGAGGGAAAAAACGGGATTTACTCCCCATTCCTCAACCCCCAAGTCGGCTTAAGCGCCGCAATCATATCATCCTTCGTGCTCACGCTATCCCCGGGCAACCTACTCACACGATGCGCACCATTGCGAATAGCCTGCAACTGCATCGCCGACACGCCACTGCGATTACTCCTAATACTGCCCGCATCACTCATCGTATCCTGATCCCTAAACACCCTCTTCGGCGGCGCAAAATCCAACGACGTGAACGTCCCCGACTTCCTCAGCGAATGCGGGCTAGGAATCACCGCAAGCTCATCGAACGCGCTCACAAGTGGCCTGTGCACAGGGACAGCAGGACTATACGGTCTGCGCTCACCCATGGGGCTCTGAGAGCGGCCCTGGGCGCGCTCTTTGTAGCTCGTGGGTGCGACGAAATCGGCTGCGTTCATGATGGCGAAGCTGTCATCCTTCAGCAGAGCGGGGGTGGGGATGGTATTCAGATCCGCGAGCGGAGCCATGGGGCGTTTCTGCTGGGCGGTGTTGGGGCGACGGTTTGAGGCTGAGGAGAAGGGGCGGGGTTCTTGGAAACCGGGCGCGGGGCCGCGCCATTGGTTCATGGAGCGGCCGCTCATTGAGCCGTGGAAGGCGCGGGGTGGGCCGTTGGGGCCAGGGCCGTAGTTGTTGTTGTAGTTCTGGTTGAAGCCTGAGCCTTGCGAGCCGCGGGGTGGTGCTTGGCCCATGAACCTCTGTGCGCCGGGAGGAGGAGTGAAGGCGCGACGAGCCATGGGTTGTGCGTAGGGTTGTTGCGGGATGGGGGCTTCGTAGGCATCGGCGTGGGGGTCGTAGTATGCCCCGTCGTCGTAGTCTTCGTAGTACTCCCCTACGGGCGCGGGCTTGGAGTCGTCGAAGTACTCTTTGTAGAAGGAGCGGATGCGGTTGGCGCGGACTTCGGGGTCGTCGGACTCGACGGCGAGAGTGGGGGGGAGAGGGCGGAAACCCATGGAGATGCGGCGCGGGTCGACGCCTGGGGCGCCGAGGCCGGCGTTGGCGTATTCCTCCGGGGGGACGTCCATGGAGTAGCGGCTGGCGCGCTTCATGGCGGCCTCTTGGGTGGGGGATGGGGGTGTGACGACGAAGCCGTCGTTGCCGTAGTCGCCCTGCAGCCAGTTTTCGTCGTGGGTAATTTGCGGGATCTCTGGGAGGGGAGCTTTTTCTTGGGGCAGTGACTGTAACCTCGGTGGGCGAGGGTTCGCGGGTAATGAGTTTGCGAACTTTGGTGGTGAGTTCTGCTGGGGAGCACGGTCGTCATCTAGAGAGGTTGGGCCCATGGGCATGTCAAGAGCGGCGGAGTCGGAGAAGGGGGATTTCTCGTTGTCTTTAGGGGCAGATGGTGGTGGGGTCTCCATGCGACCTCCTCCATTGACGATTGAACCAAGGTAGTTGTTGCTCAGTCTGAAGCTCGAGGTATTACGTTCGCCGTCCTTAGAAGAGTTAGAGTCCCTGGGGCTCGATGGCAGTCCCTTTCTCTGAACACCTCCGTCAAGAGACGAGTTCTTGGGGAAGTATGCAGGTGCAGGTTCGATGTGTGCGGGTCCGTTCTCAGGCAGAGCGTTCTTTGCCAACGAAGCTTGGCGAGGAGGTGGTGAAAACTCGTTGTTCCCATCAGTGCTACCCATCTGGCTGGCATTGCGAACCAAGCCGAAGGCAGTAGTTGACTTTCCACTGTGGCCGGTGTGGCCAGTGTAGGTCGATGAGCCGTCACCACGTCTTGGAGCTGCTCCGAATCCGCTGCGCATGGAAGCATTGTCATTTTGAAGTTCGTTCACCGGGCGATAAGGGTCCTCCTTGTTGTGGATCGATCTTGACAGGGAATGCAGGGACTCGGTTGAGTTGTTTAGTCCTGGTGGGAGAAGATAAGGGCTGTTGATGATGTCCAAAGACAATTGGCCTTTGTGGCCTGGCTTCTCGCTCATATCGTAGTCCGACAAACCATTAGGGAGCTTCCTGCCCTTCTTTGCTCCAGGGTGAGGTTGCATTCCGAGACCAAAGTCAAGGGACTTGTGCTTATCGTTGGCATCCTCCTCTCTCACCTTGCGGATGTGTCTGCGGTGCAGGTAGATCAAGGCAATGATAATGATCACAACAGGAACACTGGGTCACGATTAGCAGTGGATTTACCCACAGGAAACATTGTCAACTCACGTCACACCGACAATGATAGCAATAGTCGAAGATGACGCGGAGTACGGCTTCTCACACTTCGAGGAAGTGTCATTAGGTCCGCACTCGGCTGTTGTAGATGCCGCAGACGCACTCGACGTAGTACTATCGCCAGACGAAGAACTATCCGTAGTATCACCTGGCGGGGAGCGGGGAACGAGAAGAGAGGGCGTGGGTTGGGTGTATGATTTAATCAGAGTCGGAGCACCGCCCATCGTGAGCGGCCAGTGGATGTCATTGAGGTGCGCCTCCTCAGCGGCCTTCTTCTCGAGAGGAAAGTCGTGCACATCGTCAGCGGCACGGCGGGTATCCATGGTGGATTTGTGGTGTCGGTCCTGCCGTGAAGCCTCCCGTGTATGTGAAGGCTTCCGGAAATGAAGGTGGTGGTGGTGAATTTGTTGGTTGGGGTCGAGATGCGGAGACAGTGAACTCGTAAGTGTAGGCTGTCACGATGTATGATGACTTTCGATGCGATGGATTTCGTCGACCGGGACGGACGCTGGTTCTATGCTATCCTGTATTGACTGATGCTGCTATCATAGACGTCGTGGTAGAATGAAAACAATCGACAAAAAACGGTACTCTAAGGTCGTTGAACTGGCAGTGGTGCTGGTGGACCGGTTGAAAAGAGTGACTTGGAATGAAGGACTTCGGGGTCAGGATTCGAAATGAGGGACAGTTTATTGCTGTAGTAGCAAATGTAGGTTCTAAATGAATGGCAGTCCTGCTCGGCAGGGACTATTGAATTATGGAAAGACGCAACTTTGGATTGTCGTGATGGCGGGTTACATCAGGCTGGATCGTTGGGTGAAGTCGACGAGGAGGAGGAGGAGGAGGAGGAGGGAACGAAAGGTCAAACATAGGACGAAGGCTCACAGGTGCGTCGTGTGAGGAGAAGTCCGTGGAGAGCGCGGATGGGTGGGGGGGGGGGAGGATGCGCGGTGAGTAGTACTGTGTTCGGTCGAGAGCGATAAAGTACCTGCGTGGGTTGGTGGAGGTTGCAGTACTTCCGACCACTTCAGACCACACTTCAGACCACTTGGTGGTTCCTCTGGGCTGCTCGGATGGGTTCTCTGGGTTCGATGGTGGGCCTTGGGACGGTACAGGACACTGCAGACGGTGAGGCGCAGGAACCTGGGGGCTTGACGGGATGCTGGAAATTGAAACGGATATCCCCTCCCCTCCACTCTGACCTCTCAGGGGTCGCGGGCCGGGATGATGCGCCTATGCGAAACGCCGGTCGTAATTATGATTTAGGTGATGGAGATGGAGGGTATACATCACAAATCGATCGGCTGTTGTTTACAAAAGATGATATTAACGCGTTTTTATTTACTGTTTACTGCTATTTTATCAAGTTCATATTGGTGTCTTGAATGTTGAATGAGGTAGTAGAGTTAAGTTAGATACATGATTAAAATGTGCATTACCATTTATTGGCTATAGTACGACATTCTATATATATGCATCCAACCCCTTCATCTGTCGCCCCCACACCCACAATCTCCCTAATCCCAAAGTAGCTTAACTCAGGAACAATCAACGAGATTGAAGTCTGGCAGGGCGCACAACAGGCCATTAGAGGCCACCAAAGGCCAACAAAGGCCACCAAAGGACCAACCAAATCGATAGTCGGCCGTCGATAATTGGCCGAAGCCTCATTTGTACCCATCCCTCTACTATCCTGTACCCATCCTCTTCTCTACTTGTACACTGCAGTAACTATACATTCCTTTCACCCAAGCTATAGACCGTGGAACGTTCCATACCTCCCCCATCCCCCCTCCTGATTCGACGAGAAAAGAAAAAACCAGCTCGTCAGCAAAAAGAAGCGTTCCTTTCCAGTGCATACACAAGCATATCTCCCCCAAGGCAGCCCCCGCTAAACAACCGAAATGAGTTGCTGGGTGTTAGGGCCAATATTTAATCAATTTCTACATTACTAGAAGCAGGCAAGTATGCTAGGTGGCAAGCAGGCAAGCAAGTAATCTACGGAGGACTGCACAGTGCTAGATTAGAGCAAGGGAAGTAATGCTTGCTGGTGGTGCGTGTTGGACTTTGTGCACCTACCTGTACCTGTGCTCATTCGGCTTACGCCTCACCCGGCTCGGTCGCGTTCGAGATGGTTCTTTTTTCTTCATCCCACCAAGTTCCGTCTTGACCAAGTTGTCTTGACCAAGTCTTGGCCAAGACTTGGAGACACGGCTCGGCGCTGTTTGACGTGTGCGGGTTTCTGGGAAGGTGAGGAGGAGAGGATGAGATGTGACAGAGTGGCGGCTGATGATTGATGGTACTACCCTGACAGGGAGAGAAAGAGCTTGGGGGAGCTGGGAGCTGCTTCAGCTGTCTTGTCTCGTCTTGTCTTGTCTTGTCTCGGCCCCACATGAGGTCATTCATGATGGTTTGTGGTTTGTGGGATGGTTAGACAGCGAGTCAGTTGAGTCGCGATGATACTACCCCAGAACGCGAAAATGGAGAGGTAGGGTAGGTATCATAAGTAGTAGAGGACGTCCTCAAGACGCGAAAATGGGTAGGTAGGTAGGGAGGTATCATAAGTAGTAGAGAACGTCCCCAAGACGCGAAAATGGAAAGGTAGGTAGGTAGATTAGTATCATAACTACTAGAGAGCGTTCCTAAGACGCGATTCTGGAGAGGCGGTAGGTAGGTATCATAACTAAGATTAGTAGAGATCGTCCACCACCGTCATCATGTGTGTTGCCCGTCGAAAACATCAATGTGTTCCTAAACTAGAGCATCCACTGACTGTCGTTAAACTGACCGTTAAACATCAATATGTTCAATTTCACCAGCCCTCCCACCCTCCCATCCTCCCAATGAAATGCCCATTACACATCACCCATCCACCCGCACTCAAGCATCCTTAGCCCCATCCTTCTTCTCATCCTTCCCAGCCTCAGCAGTCTCCGACTTAACCTCACTCCCCTCCGCCGCACCCCCACTCTTCTTCACCTCCTCCTTCCCCTCCTTCACCCCCGCCTTAACCTCCTTCTCATCCTCACTATCCCCCAAACTAAACGGATCATTGTCCCCCTCCCCCACCGGATTCGGATCCACCGAGCTCAGCGGCTGCCACTTACTCTGCTTCCCCGACGCCGGCGTCGTCGCTGCTGCGTCCTTCGCCGCGCGCCCGCCCCCATAAACATCGATCTCCTCTGGCGGCCCATCCTGGAACGACACCTTGCGACTCCCATCATTCGACCTCGGCGTCGCGGGGGTCGGCTTGAAGAGGTCGGGGTTTGCTAATGGGCGGGTGGAGCGGCGCGCGTTGCCTGGGTGAGGGTTAGGAAGGGAGGTCGAGCGAGGAGTCACAATGTGGTGGAGCTCACTAGTATCATCGTTCAACTGTATTCCCGTGAAGTCATCGCTGAGGACCTGCGGATCGGCATCATAGCGACCGGAGTCCCCGCTGCGCCTGCCCGTGTCGCCGCGGCGCGAATTGTACTGCTGGTTCTGGAAGCCCTGGTTGTAGCCCTGTTCCTGGCGCTGCTGCGCATCGTGGATGTCGCTGAGGTCGTCGCCGTCGATGCGCTTCTTGAGGTTGGTAAACCATCCGTTCACTTTGCTCTGGGTCTCGATGAAGCCCTTACGGAGGTTCTCTTTGATCACTGGCAGGTCGTCATCCATGAAACTGTACTCATCCTCCTCGTGGTACGAACCTGAGCGCTGGTTCGGTCCGCGTTGCGGGCCTCCCCTGTTGCGGTTGCGGTCCTGGGTTGAGTCGAAGTGCTCAGCCAGCTGTCGTGCGTAGAGCTCATCCGCCTCCAACTGCGTCAGTTCTGGTCCAGCACGAGCTGGCCTAGGTGGCTGAGGAGGTGCCTGTTCAGCTATAGCAGCCGCCTCAGCAGCTGCCTCTGGATCGGTCATTCCAAGGAGGGCGTTGAATGCAGGTTCGATCTTGCCGCCGCTAGCAATCAAGACGGCCTTGATAACCGCGGCCTCCACGCCAGGGAACGCCTCCTTCAGGGTATTCTCCGCCTGTTGTTGCGCGCTGAGTGGCCGTGGGGGCTTCGCGGGTGCCTGTTCGGTGGTCGTACCTGCGGCTGGCTGGCCGGCGGGAGCTGTCGTCTGCTCACCGCCGCTCGCCACAGGCGTTTCTTGAACATCGTCGTCGTCCATTTCGAGTGGTCGTGCGGTGGTTGGGGATTCGGCGCCGGAGCTGGTCTTCGTCTGTGTGAGTATGTGAGTGAGCTAGCTGTAGTCTGTAGGATGACGTTGCATGGATGGTGGTGGAGGCAATCCTACCGGTGGTGGGGATTCGGTTCTCTTAGGAGAGGACATGATTGTCGGAAGGGGGGGTTGGGGAGGGATGGCAAAGATGGTTTTATATCAAGCTTGGTTGCCCTTGTACGCGTACGTAAATCGCGGAGGATCTTTAAAGTCGTCGTAAGTTGCTATAAAAAGACGATCTGCTTGCGCCTCACGACTTCAACGTCTTGAAATCATGTACCGCTTCGGGTGACGACGCTCTAGCCACCGAGGGGCTAATCCAACGCCACATGCGACGCTTGGCACAAGGCTGACGTTTTGGCCGTAAATTTAAGGCATAAGATTTATGCGCCACTGAATTGTCCCTTCAGCCTTCTCACTCTTCCCAACCCATGTGAGAGATAGAACCATTCCGAGAGTCGCGACGGAAGAAGTATGATTGAGAAAACAGGATTCATTACATGATAGGTCAGAGACAAATAGGGTTGTTTTAGCCATGGCGGATTTCGATCTTGCTACGAGCTTCATTCCCTCGTTATATAAACCCGCGTCACTACTGCCCATAGCAAAGCATCGTGAGAGTCTTCTTTATACCATTGAAACCCATGCGGTTACTATAGTGGTGGGTCAGACCGGGTGCGGTAAAAGCACCCAGCTGCCCCAATTCTTGGAAAAGGCTGGGTGGTGCTCTGAAGGCAAGGCCATTGCCATCACTCAGGTGAGTTACCCTTTCCCCAGTTGAGATATCGGAGTTAACATCAGGATAGCCTCGAAGAGTAGCTGCTACGACAGTTGCCACGAGAGTAGCTGAAGAGTTTGGATGTACGCTTGGGCAAGAAGTTGGATATTCGATCCGTTTCGAGGATGTGACTTCGGCGGCCACGAAGATCAAGTTCTTAACCGATGGGCTTCTCCTACGAGAGGCATTGGTGGACCCGTTATTATCTCGATATTCCGTTATTATGGTTGATGAAGCTCACGAAAGATCTCTCAGTACAGATGTTTTATTAGGAGTTCTACGGAAAATTCACAAGAGGAGGCCGGAGCTGAGGATCATCGTGAGCAGCGCTACACTTCAAGCACACGAGTTCCTCACCTTCTTTACTGCCGAAGACACTGCCACCGCGAAGGATGCAGGCGGAACAGAAAGTGGCAAAGATGCGGGCGCGATTATCAGTCTAGAGGGCAGGATGTACCCGGTCGACATTCTCTACACCGAGTCGCCTGCAGAGGACTATTTAGAGATGGCAATCCAAACAGTTTTCGACATTCACACGAAAGAGCCAGAAGGAGATATCTTGGTCTTCCTAACAGGCCGCGAAGAGATTGATAAAGCGGTACAAGCAATATCAGAACGATCAGCACAACTACACCCCCGCGCAGAGACAATGATGCCGCTTCCCCTATATGCAGGCCTCTCCACAGACCAACAAATGTACGTTTTCGAGCCCGCACCCGAAAACACACGCAAGGTCATCTTCTCCACCAACATAGCCGAAGCATCCGTAACAATCGACGGCATCATCTATGTAGTCGACAGCGGCTTCGTCAAACTCCGCGCCTTCAACCCCACGACCAGCATCGAAACCCTCACCGCAACTCCTATATCCAAAGCCTCGGCAACCCAACGAGCCGGGCGAGCAGGTCGCACAAAACCAGGGAAATGCTTCCGCCTCTACACCGAATCCGACTACGCGTCCCTCCCACAATCCAGCATTCCCGAAATCCAACGCTCAAACCTCGCCCCTGTCATCCTCCAGCTCAAAGCTCTAGGCATCGACAACATCGCACGCTTCGGCTTCTTCACCTCTCCCCCCGCCGAACTCGTCATCCGCGCCCTCGAACTCCTCTACTCCCTCGGCGCGCTCGACACATACGCCAAGCTCACGCGACCCCTGGGCGTGCGAATGGCCGAGCTCGCGATAGAGCCCATGCTCTCCAAAGCCCTTCTTAGCGCCTCATCATTCAACGTCCTGAGCGAAATGCTCACCATAGCCGCCATGACGAGTCTCGGCGGCAGCGTATGGATCGAGCACTCCGACGAGCGCAAGCGGCTCGAGATGACGCGACGGAAATTCGCGGCTGAGGAAGGGGACCATCTCACGCTGCTGAATGTGTATCAAGCGTTCATCACTACGGGAAAGAAGGATGTCAAGTTCTGTCGCGACAATTCACTGAATTTTAAGAGCATGACGAGAGCGGTGAGCGTGAGGGGACAGCTGAAGCGGATGCTCGAGCGCTTTGGACTCGTTGTTGATGAGACGTTGAGTAAGAACGCAAATAAACAGGCATTGGGTACAGGTAGTATGGATAAGGGAGAAGCGATACGGCGGTGTTTGACGACGGGGTTCTTTGCGCATGCGGCGAAGATGCAGCCGGATGGGACGTTTAGGAATGTAGCGGGTGGGACGGTGTTGCATGCGCATCCGAGCTCGTTGATGTTTAATCGGAAGGCGGGGTGGGTGGTTTTTCAGGAGGTTATGGAGGTGGGTGAGAAGACGTATGTTAGGGAGGTTACGAAGATTGAGAAGGATTGGTTGGTGGAGTATGCGCCGGAGTTTTATAAGGCGAAGTGATAAAAGGTATTATACAGGGAGTTTAGGGCATAGACATCGTACACTGCTGGTATATCCTTTACATGAACTCATCTATACAAACCAACTATGGCAAATATTGTTGTTAATTAAATGGTGTTCAGGGAAATTTGAATTTATTTTATGCTACATGATTTTATGTTTGTAGGCGAAAAATAAACATAATAAACCCAGCATCAATAAAATACCAGATACAGCCAACCACCAAATCACAAGTAAAACCCTATAATTAACAAGACTCTCTAGCCGTAATAAAAACATGCAAAAGTCCAACATCCAACATCAACCTGCCTTCATTACCCCCAGCCTGACTCACCCCCCTCCCACCCCAGTCGACGTCACCCCTCCCAACCCCAACCCCAAAACGCCGGGACCATCGAAGCGAGCCCTCCACATAACCCACAATACGCAACCTACCCCCAACAAACCACCCAAGCGGCTTTAGCTCACTTGGGAGAGCGCCAGACTGAAGACAACTTCGGTTCGATATCTGGAGGCACTGTGTTCGATCCACAGAAGCCGCATTCATCTGCGAATCGGGGATTACCTCGATTAACGAACACTTCTTTTTTTGCCATTTTTTTCTTCTGTGTGGGGGTGGGTTGTGCGCGCACATGGATGGGTGGGTATTTGGGAAGATGAGAGACATTGTTCCAAGGCCTCGTGTTTTTTCTGCATGGTGACTGACTGACTGGAGATGTGCGTCATAGGTTGATTTTTTTGAAGATCGATGGGGTTTTCTCTATGTTTTGTATTATTTCATATTGTGGTTGGTATATATATATATGCATCTCTAAAAAACAAATCCGAACACCACGCCCAATGCTTCCCACAATGCCGCTGTACTGTACTGTGTACCATCTATGCCCTGTTACCCTGTCTCAACTGGACATTCCCATACCTCTGAAGCAGCTGGCGAATTATCATAACCCCAAACAAGACCGAACCGTATGTGCGAACAGGCCCAATCGCCTCTGGAGCCACTGCATTCGAAGCCACCAATATGTACACCGCAGCCGCAGACTCAACAGCAGCAAGAATAGCAAATGCGACGCTCCACTTCGAGGCCGTCTTGGATATCGCAACTGTAGTATGATCCATAAGTGAGCGGAGCCCAATGAGTATACACCCCGTCATCGCCGCCTGAGTCATCGACCTTGAGTACTCTGTTGGCCTATGGAATGAGAGGTTCCAGAACCACAGCAATACACCGAGAGCCACAGCGGTGAGGTTCCCAGATAACACCGATACTGGTGAACTATCCTGTGACTGCGCTTTCTCCCTCGCAGCCCGCTCATTCTCCGCTGCTTCTCGCTCATCAAACGAGAACGCCGCTCCAAACGCATCCGCCAACCCTGTCGTATCCTCAAGAGAATCAGGTGGAAAGAACTTCGGCTGCGCAAAAACAGCGTCCTGACGACTGGACTCTCTAGGCGCCTGGGAACCCTGACCTGGCAGCATATTAGACGTCATTTTATTGAAGAAGTTCTGCTTCACCTCCTCTGAAGGGGCTGATAGTAGAGGCTGGTTTGGCGGATTTCTAAGTTTTCGTGCTGGTGTGATTGGGGCTGGGGGGACTTTGAACCAGAAGGGTGAGGATTCTGGGCCAGATGGCGCTTGGTTGAAGTGTTGACCGTCTCTTTGGGCGGATAGGCCGCTGTTGAAGGCGCGGTGGACGGATTGGCTGGGCATCCATTCCATTTCATCTGGATCTGGAGCGTTGGCAGCCTCCATGGATGTTGATTGTCCAGTATTAGATTGGTACTTGCCCAGAGCTCCCCTATTAGTTGGTGAAAATGGTGATGGCGAGCCCGTGATGCTCAGCGCCGAGGTTGATTTTGATGGAGTTTCCCGATTGCGATATGATATATTAGAAATAGAACCAGGGGAATCCCAAGGCTTCGATTGCGCAAAATTTGTCCTCGGCGTTCCTTGGGACGATACCGGCGAGGAAGCTACGACGGGCTCTTGAGAAATGCTATTTAGAGCTTCGTATAAGCTATTGGGAGCATGGGTAGGTGATGCTGTTGATTTCCGTTTAGCAATAAGAGCTTCGCGGTCAGGCGTTGATGAAAATAGGGGTTTCGACCTGGCGGTGACCTTCTTGGTTGTCGTCATAGAAATCTAAGAAAGTTAGTACGCCCGAAGGTAAAGCATTTAGCTATTGCACTCACCCAAGCTGTGAAGGCAAACATAAACGTATGCGCAGCCATATTTATCGACGATTTAGCATCGGCGAGAATCGATTTACCATTGATGTACCAAAGGAGTCCACGTGTTAATAGCAGCACAATTTGGTGGGAATACCAGGATTCCAGGCCATGAACCTTATGAAGCCCATTCTTAATCGTATATCGAAACTCCGGATTCCACCATAGGGAAGCCAGGGAGAGCAGCAAGCTTGCCGCAGCTAAATCGGGAAGACGCGGTGCTACAACATCTGGAAGATGCGACACAGCTGATAACACGGGGTTGACCAAGCGATAGAGAAACGGGCGAGAGGGGCCCATTCCGTCGAGGATCGAATCTCCCATGATAGAATCCTCCTCAAAGGAGTCCACCACAGCGGGCTGAAAGCCCCCCACGAGGGCCAGAACCTCACAAGCAAGCTGCAAGTAGATTCCTGATGCCCAAGCTACCTTCCCCCCGGATTGTATTCTTTCTAACCAAGTGCGCTTGGCCTTTCGTCCAGGGCCGCCATTCCTTCGGGTCCTCTCCAATTGTCTTCCATGCGCATCGACCTTGGCGCTGTAGACAGCGCGCTTCATGCGATCCTGGACCTTATCTACACAGTTTTCGCAGACCTGGGGATACCGCTCTTCTAGTTGCTGTTCGAAACGTTCGATATTCCGAGACAATCTATCGTAATCGGGATGATCTGGATCTTCTGGGAGGTATTGCGCTAATGAGGAACGATAGAGATGTTGATTTTTGATGCATGTTTGGCAAAATACCGAATCGTCAGCCGACGCCGTCGACCATGTTGGAGGAGGAATGGCCTTCGCAAATGACCTGCCCGGCGAGGCTTCTTCGAAAGTCGCTACCGGAGGATCCGTAATATCTCCATTCTGTAATGCGTCAGGAGTTATCAATGCAAGCAAATGAATCGCGTTTTACCTCGTCCAAGTAGTTTACAGCTTCGCAGTTGGCGCACTCCCACTGGCGAACGCTACCATCCTGCCTGCGCGTTGACTTTCGGTTACAATAAAAGCAAACGAGAGGTCGACCCAGCGAGGAAGCCATGCGTTCTATGCATCTAGTTCCGTTGTATGGACAGAAAAATCGCAAATATTCGCAGGCTTTGTGTTCCAACTTTTGTTGATTCTGCCGTATTCCCAGTCAGTCTGTTGATGAACCACCGCCCGGGGGTGGCTGTAGGGGTGGTAGGCGGTGAAGCGCACTGCGTCAACTTAGCGTCAGGTCAAGGTGGTGCTGTAGCTTTGCGGCTCATACACAGCTCCAGCCAGGAACACAACTTTCTCATATGCAGGATGGCGTCGAGCACTCCATCACCCACCCAATTAATACACGCGTACAGACACTTGTACAAGGCCCTGCTGCATGCAGTTAGATATTCGAAACCTAGCCGCTATGTTGTTCGAGATGAGCTCCGCTCCGCCTTTCGAAAGTCCGATCCACGCGCATACGATGGAGGGAAAATTGCTCGAACACTCGAGTTTATTGAAGGCGCTGGCAGGGAAAAAGGCATAGAAAACCAGATATTGAAGAATATGTGTCAGACGGAGCATATGAGAAAGTACATCGCCACGACGTAAGTTGAAGCCGAGAATGGACCAGTCTTTTGAGAACCAAGCTGACGGATTTATTATAGTGCGACGCATAGGTCAAAAGGACTGGCTGGGGCTGCTAAAGCGAAGTCATTCGAACATTACAACAGCACAATTGCAATGCTGAATGATAGCATGGGCATGTGTTTACCAGTGCACTGAAATAATGCAGCATGACCAGATCCGTGATATACAAGACGCCAGAAAGGGAACAACACCAGGCCAGCCAAGTCCAACCAAAGCAGAGAACACCATAATTGCTTGGACAACAAACTCAAAAGGGCAGGAAATATGTCCATAGTTTGGCCTGCCGTGTCAACGCTACGCAATATGGTTGTGGCCAGGAACCTCACCACGGATCCAGAGCCAACAACTCGTCAGACACTGGCCGGATAGACACAAAATTCTACACCAATGGCTGTACACCTATATTGGTGGAAGACCAGCAACTTGGCCATATGCCCTCTTCAATTGGAGTGATCTGAGGAGGCGGCATGGGCACAGCTATCCTCCTGCAGGCGATCAAGTTAAGATGAATACATCCGGACGATAACTGCAATATCATAGGCAATTGCCTCCGAGAATAACCCTGCCGGGCGTCCCAAACCAATACTCTAATGTAAGATTATAATAAATGTAGATTATCATAATATCAAACGCTCAGCGTTGTGTACATAATGCTTGATTTCGACTGTTCAATGCTCCCATAAGTGAAATTACTAAATAAATCTTTAATTCCGTGAAGCCTACAATTATAGACCCTCCGATTGTAAATTATTTAGCCATTTATCAAGACTTTCTCGTAGATTCGTTGTAGTTCACATATATAGTGAAAGTAGGCGTAAGAGACATTTACCACCAAACCTTACATAGTAGGGTCGGGTCCGGAAAAAGCTTGGCTCCAGCTCCGGAACCTCGCAACTTTAACGACAACCACCGCCAACTTCACGCAACGCCGCACCACCACCCTCAATTGACAGCCAACACCCTTCGCCATGTCTTCGAAAGTTGCACAATCGGCTGTCAAAGCCACCCGCCGTGTCATTCCCGTGTCCGAGGTACGCTCTTCCCCCCAGCCACTCCCCCAACACCCTCCCTCCCTCACCTCCCACCACCACCTCCTCCTCCCTCACCACTAACCCCCCTCCCAGAAATACACCGTCCAATCCACCGGCATCTACGAGCGCATCCGCCGCATCTTCGCCGTCGACCCAACCCGCTCCAACGGCATCCCCCTAAACCCTCAATTCCGCAACCCCACACCCGGCGCCCAGGACCCACGCACCATCGACGACCGCGTCACTCTCCCCGCCGCCGACATCGCCGGGAACCCCTACTGGAAGCGTGACACGCGCCGCAACTACGCGCGCGCGAGCGTTGTGGGACAGGGCGAGCTGGTGCAGCTACTGAGCGTGGGGAATGCGAAGGATGGAGCGAAGGTGGAGTTGATTGGGGAGCAGGGCGAGAAGGCGTTGGTGGCTGCGAAGGACGAGGGAGAGAAGGGTCTTGCGGCGTTCTTTAGGGAGGGGGATGTGAGTGGTGTGCTTGGAGAGGGAGGGCTGCCGCCGAACCCGAGTCGTGGGGGCCCAGATGATGCACCGGTTCGGTATGAGATGCCGGAGGACCAGGCGTATCCCGCACAGTAAGTTTATTGTCGTTGATGTGGAGAGTGATGTGTGCTAACGATGTGTCTCAGGTACCCTTGCAGGACATTTGCTTAAAGAGTGATGGAAAGAAGGAGCTGGGGAGAGAGTAGATTGTATATATGATAGCCTTTGTCGACTGAGAGTGGAATAAGAAGATTCAATGAGAGCCTTTGCTTTTTTGATAGTGTGATATGCACATGCCTTTCTAATTTCTTCTATGGATGTGCATAGACAGCTTCGGATGCACCAATGCATACCACTGTTTATATCGGTGTCATCGACTATCCTGGTACGATTACGCAAACATAGCCATTGGCCATCTTCCACAAGATCACCATATAGCAAATACATAACAAATCAAGTTGTTTCCGTTTATTTAAAGCTACAAGCAAAGTTACCGCACAAGCCGTGCACAAACGCTACCCTGTCCATCATAATCCATTGTCAGCGGATACATAGAAGATCCGTGTACCAAACATCCCCTCCTCATACTTTCATACCATTTACTAGTAATCTCAAGCCTTAACTGACTCCGCAACAGCGGCATCGGTGTCCACCTTCTCCGCCGCCTCAGCTACATCAGCCGCCGCCTCATCCTCCTTAACATCCTCCTTAACATCTTCCTCCTTAGCAGCCACTGAATCAGCGCCCAACAGCTTCTTCACCGCAGCATGGGTACCAGCAGGACTGCCCGGCTCAGCAGCCAACACCTTCCCCTCCTTGTCCACAACGAACAAGCCGCGCTGAGTGCCAGAAGGGCTTTTCTTAAGGCCAATCGCCTCAATCAGCGTAGCCTTCGGGTCGCAGAGGAGATCATAAGGCAAGTTCTGCTTAGTCTTGAACGTGGTGTTCGCCTTGGGGCTGTCGTTGCTGAGGCCGTAGATGGCGAATCCTGCAGCGGTGAATGGCGCGTAGGAATCGCGGAAGAGGCAAACTTGCGTGGTGCCTGTGACTATTAGAGTAATTCCCCACATAAGATGGATGTAAACATACAGCCGGGCGTGCTGGCGCGGGGATACGTAAACAGCACGACGCCCTTCTCACTCTCCTCCACTAGCTTCTGGAGAGTGGTCTTCTCGCCGTCCTGCGTCTCAATTTCGCCTCCGAAGCCGGCGAGGGTAATAGAGTCGCCGACTGCGACTTTGGTAGCCTTCTTGGCTGGCGCGGCGGCGGCGGCGGCGCCGTTGGTCTTGCTGACTGCGGCTTTGGCCTCAGGAACAGCTACAGCCTTGGCCTTGGCGGCTGGCTTTGCAGCTGGGGACTTCTTCTTGGATGGTGGAGCTGGAGCAGGCTCGACGGGGGCCTTGCGCTTGCGGAGGACGGGAGGCATGATGGGCTGTGGTGATGAGTACGCGCGGCGGTTTGGGATAGGTGGTTGTGAAGTTGGCGCGCTGGTATGCGACGCGACGTGAGGTTTTGGGGACTCGGAAACCGGAGATAAGAGAGTAGAGCACGGGGAGACGCGATGTAAGACCGTGGTTTTCACGAAGGGATTGGGAGTGCGGGAGTCGCGTCGACAGAAGAGTCAGCGCGGATGACAGTGGGCGTGGAGTACGTAGATGGGGACAAAGTGATAAATCACTAGTAAATATCGTGACGACTACAATAACACGGATTTGGGGGGGAAGGAGGGATGGGAGAGTTAAGAAACAGGTAAGCCGGAGGGTGGCAGTACAACACCCGTAGCACGAGTATAGTACAACTACGACATCTGAGTGCTAAATTAACGGCGTTGTAGTTCAAATGTGGTCTGGCCCGCGAGACAACGAGGCGAGGATGAGGGGGGCCGGATCGCCTCGTTTCATGCAAGGCCATAGAGTTGAGGGAGTCAAGCTGAGGCAGCAAATAGGAATGGCTGGTTAGCAGCACGACTTTCCTTGAGTAAAGGCATTATAAACCGGGTTGGAAGAGCGGCGGGAGATTGTGTGTAACGGCAGGGCGTATATTACAGTGATCACGACAAAAAAATAGGGGGCAATCTTATATTTCAGCGATGTATTTTTATCTTCAGTACGTAGGGCAACAAGGAATAGCGATATGAGGAAATATCGATCGATGCAGAATGCCAGAATGCGAGGTACAGCACAGGACAGGACAGGAATGTTTCTAATCGAGTCTCGTCTCTTCCATTAATAAGCAAAAGTCATAAATCAAGTTTATATTGCGCATAATATCACGTGAAATAATATCACATGACTACTCCTTGTTACCCGCTTGGCACGAGCGAATCCGGGAAGCGTCGGCTGGGATCGCCAGGGAACGGAAGGGGCAAATTTTTTGGTGCTTGGCTCCGAAATCGCGCCACGGCAAAAGAAAGAAGTCAGTCACCGGAGAAGATAATTTCCATCTCTGCCTTATAATTGAACATCCAACAACCTCCCGGATCATCGGATACACCTAATTCACGCCCATAATCACAGACGATTCACTTAATTTATCAGCGACTACTGTTCTGCCTTTGCTGCGAGGAACAGTCAACAAAGGATCGGCCGGAGTACGCTCACGACTTATCCACACGCGATCAACTGCTTTTTAGCGCCGCGCCTCACACGACCATGAAGGTCTTCTCCAATTCCTGCAACTTCGACTACTCTTGGGAAGAGGTGTCGACTGCAAATTGGAGGAAGTACTGTCCATGGAACGATAAATCTACACATGTCATTGCCGTCGACACGCTGTCGCGGCATGTCGACGCAGACACTGGAATTGTAAGTATTTCGAACCTGGCAATAGTGGCAAGCGATGAATGCTAACCCAACACTCCCAGCTCCGCACCGAACGCCTCATAACATGCAAACAATCCGCACCGAAATGGCTCCTCGCCATGATGGGTGGAAACGAAACCTCCCACGTCCTCGAGACCTCCTACGTTGACCCGCAATCGAAGAAAGTCACCATGTGCTCGACGAACCTCACCTTCGCGAACCTCATCGCGGTGCAAGAGACCGTCATCTACAGGCCGACATCCGACGCGAAGACCGAGTTCCACCAGGAGGCCAAGGTGACGGCCGTCTGCGGTGGCTGGCAAAAGATCAAGACCGCGGTCGAGGAGGCGACGGTCTGCCAGTTCCAGAAGAACGCCATCAAGGGCCGTGAGGGATTCGAGGCCGTGCTCGAGATGAGCAGGCTCGCGTTCAGCGAGGAGAAGAGCAGGCAGAAGATGATGGCATAGAGGGAACGACGATACATACGCAACCGAACCTTGTACCAACGACATAACGAACCCTCCTCATCTGCATCATCCACAACATTCGTCGATTAGCGTTGCATATAAAAAAAGGGGTTTTAGAAGGGGTTCTTGGTTGTTTTTGGGGGGTTAATTATTTAAAAGTACAGGGAGTTTTACGTGGGGGACGGACGAGCCGGTCGATGCCTAGCGTTTTTGGCGGGCTTTTTGTTACATATTGATATTGGAGCGGATAGACTTTAGCATGCGATACCCCAAATGGCAGGAAGAGCGCACTGCTACAGTTTATAGAAGGACGAAGCGATTAGAGACGCATACACCCTTAGAATCCAAATCACTTTTACAGATATTAATTCGGCTTGTTGGTGGATATCCACAGTGGGGTGATATATGGTTATATATGGTGCGATTATCTACCGTGTGAAATGTGGGCCTATATTTTCTTGTGAGAACTTCAATCATATAAACTAAATACGATCCCTATTGATACTATACAGATGACGTTGAATGTGTTTTAAGTCCCAATCCGTCCATTCCAATTCGCATCACATGATCGTATGGGAGGATTCTCAAATTCCTGGTACCTGGCATGGCTGTGCGCGGCTGAGGCGGCATCCAGCTGATATATAACCTTGAGACACAGCCTCACGAAATCCCCCAACTTTTCTTCTTCAACAATCTCACAATGGAGGATCCAGATAAAACAATGCCGTCCGAGACGGAATTCCCAGTGCCGCCGACGTACGAGAAGGCGGGTGAGATCAAAGAGTTCGACGCGTCGGGACACCTGGTCGCAACCGTGACGGTGCTCCGCGGCAGCCTCGTCGAGTACGTTGGGTATTCTTACGGGGATTCTTCGTTATTGCCACCTGAGTATCTGGTCAAGTACCCAGAGAGTCGCGTTGCTATATCTGTGAGCTGCATTTCAATTCTAGTCAATATGAGAGTGTGATGGGGAGGGTGGTTGGGTTTCAATGCGTACGGAAACTAATGCCTCATAGATCCCGACGAGGTCACACTCATGGGCGAAGAGCTTTATGGAGACATTCCTACCAGCTGGGTATCCCAATAGTGTCACAGAGGACTACATGGAGTAAGTTCCGAAATATTTCTAACGCGTCATACCTATCTGACAGTGGCCCTTAGATATCAGATCTATGTAAGCATATCAACGTCTCATTGTCATATTATTCCATCTTGCTGGCCACGAAGCATTCATGTATCAAAAACTTCTACAAAGCATTGGCAACTACCCCCCATCAAAACATCCCCTAACACCCCCTCAGGACTCGCTCCAAGCCTTCTCAAGCTCCATAGCTGGCCTCATCGCTTCCCGCGCTGTCCTCGAAGGTACCCTCCCTCTCCCCTTATAATAACCCCTCCTAACACCCTCCAGGCGTTGGAGTCGGCGATGCCACTGCCTCCCCAACAACCGCCCTCCTCCTCTCCGTCCTGCAAGACTCCACCGGCCGTATTGCCACCATCCTCTTCGCCGCACGCCTTGGCCTATCCCTCGAGCCCGAGTGCAAGCGCTGGCGTCTCGTCGCCGACATCTTCAACGATGCCGCTATGATCCTCGATTGCCTCTCTCCCGCTTTCCCAAAGCCGCTACGCGTCAGCCTACTCAGCGCATCTGCCGCACTGCGCGCCCTCTGCGGTGTCGCCGCTGGCTCTGCAAAGGCAAGTCTGAGCGCGCACTTTGCTAAGAGCGGTAACCTGGGCGAGTTGAACGCTGTAAGTTGCCCCTCCCATTACCCCCATCAGATCTCAACCCCTAACAAACCCACAGAAAGATTCCTCCCAAGAAACCATCATCTCCCTCTTCGGCATGCTCGTCGGCACCGCCCTAATCCCCCACCTCACCACCCCCCTCCAAACCTGGACCTACCTCCTCCTCCTCCTCTCCATCCACCTAACCACCAATTACTTCGCCGTCCGCGCCGTCAGCATGCGCACCCTAAACCGGCAACGCGCCTCCCTCGTCCTCCGCCCCCTCCTCTCCCCCCCCATCGGCCCCTACGACCTCCCCCCAAACCCGATCGCCACACCCCTCCTCATATCACAACAAGAAACAGTAATCCACCTCGACCCCTCCTCACTCCACGATCCAAACCCAGCACACGCCTCCTTCGTCCCTCTCGCCACAGTTCTCTCCCGTGCTTCGCGCGGCCCGAACCCAATAAAGCCACACATCCTCTTCAGCATCTTCGCCGCAGAATCATACATCCTCTATTTTGACCGCTACACTCGCCACGCATTCATAGCGCTCAAATCGTACGCCACAACGTCTACAGCCCTACGCGCCTGGTTCTGCGCCATGGAGTGCGCGCACATGGACGATGGTATGTGGGCGGGCGGCTGGAGAAGGGGGCTTTCGTGGAAGCCTACGCATGGGGGGGAGGAGGGCACGGATTCCGCGGCGCTAGCGGGGTGCGTGAAGCACGTTGAGAGTGTGTGGCCGGTTATTAAAAAGGCGTTGAAGGGGAAGGGGTGGGATGTTGATACTAATGCGCTTGAGACGAGGGCGGGGACGAGGTTTCGTGTTGTTGGGGGGAAGGAGAGGGAGAAGTGGGAGTGGTGGCAGAAGTGGGTTGTGGAAAAGAAGGAAACGCGGCCGAGGGAGACTACGAGCGAAACGACGGAGAAGAAGGGGAAGGAGGTTAAGAAAGATGCCGTGTGGCCGCCGCTGCCGCCGTGGCCGATCTCTTGGGCTCTTGGGAAGAAAAGCAAGAAATCGGAAAATGTGGCGCTGGTTCAATCACCTATAAAGGAAATAGCGAGCGAGGCACCCAGCGAAGCAACAGCGAGCTCGGCAACATCGCCCGTCTCGGAAGCAGGATCACATACATCCCGACCCAAACACCGCCTGCGGAAATGGCTCTCCTCCACCTTCCTTGGAAGTCACGCACCGCGCGGAAGGGAAGACAGGGACAGTGATGCGTCTTCCTCCCGGAGTGAAAGACCATCGACTGAGAAGCCCTCCCATGACGTCCTCCGTGAGAAAGCAGCGATGGAAGCAGCAGCGGCTGACAGACCCTCCTCCTCCGTCCTCTCCGAGAAAGCAGCGATGGAAGCAGCAGCGACTCACAAACCCTCCTCCTCCATCCTCTCGGAGAAAGCAGCCCTAGAAGCAGCAGAGGCTGCTAAGCCGTCCTCCTCCTCCGTCCTCTCCGAGAAAACAGCGATGGAAGCAGCAGCTGCCGATAAACCCTCCTCTTCCTCCGCCCCCTCCAAGAAAGCAGCGCTACAAGCAGCAGAAGCAGCCGAAGTAGCAGCGTTGGCAGCAGCAGCAACGGCAGCCCGGAACCACGCCAGCAGCTCATCCGAACCCCCGCCGCCCTATTCAGAACTTGTCACCAAGGAAGCAGTGGATGAGGGAGGCGAGAGTAGTAGAAAGACCGAGTGAGTTGAAAGGGCTAGCTAGGACGGCCCAGGGAAGGAGGGAGTGAGGTAAAGGGGTTAGAATGGCGTAGGGAAAGAGCGCGTGGGGACGCAAGGACACATATACATTTTGAGGGAAGGAGCGACTGGGGATGTGGATGAGTTTACTAGGATAGGTCGAATGGTAGGGAAGTAGGGAAGGAGCGACTACGGGGGTAGATGATGTTTTTCTTGGGAAGGAGCGAAGGGTAGGGAAGGAGCGATTGAGCGATTGGGAGTCAGTTACGTTACGGAGCACTTGAGCGCGCATCTCAGGAGTTTCAAAAGGGTCAAATGGGATGGATATGGATATACGAATTGATGAGATTAATGAGATAAATGAATGACACGTATGAATACACGCGTTGTTGTTTCGCGTGACTGTTCTGTTGATGTCTGCCTATTGTAAGGGTGTCTGCCTGCCTGCCTGCCTGGTGTTATTTCTACGCACTTCCATCCTTCTCTTCACTTACATCACGGTTAGAAGCTGAGAGAAAGATATTGGTATGTATAGTAGTTGAGAGGATGAATTAGCTTAATATATACAAGATAACTCTGATAATCTAGGTGCCTTCTGTCTGCATGTGCATGAGGTTGTGTATACATATGCTCGACGTAATGGAAATAGTGATATATAGGAGAAGCTAGAAATAGGCAACATAATGGAGGAATTTAGGGAGACTGTATGAGTTGCCTTTTGAATTTCTTAGAATGATGTGACTAGTAAAGACTGCCTGTCTAATGGCTATGAGATAGAGAGTGCATATCTAGTTACAACGCACTAGACTAATGAGCCTCTAAATAACATTTAGCCCGCCGCTTAAATCAAAGGTATATTGCAGCACCGTAGGCCTCCTATCTAGTGCATGCCCCTTTACCTAGTGTCCATCTAGATCACAGCCTTAATAGGCTTATAGTTATAGTTGCATGCTTATACGCAAAGCTTCTGTATGATAACACTCCCATTGAGCAGACTGTGGACGAGATGGATAGAGGGATGGAATGGATAGACAGACGAGCAGATGGACAGAGGGACGGGATAAAAAAACAAACGAACAGGTGAACAGAGGAGAGTAGGAGCAGATAAAGAAACAAGCAGAGCAACATATGAGAGGAGAAACAGATAGATAGAACAGATAAGTAGATTGGAGGAGGAGTATATGGATAGAACGTATAACATAACAAGCGACGAACAAACGAGAAGATAAACAGAACAACATATGAACAGACAACCAAAGCAGATAATCAGACAATAGGAGTAACACAAAGCAACACACAACACAATAGGGGCAACCAACCCTGCCAAACACAGAGAAAACAAGACCACATACCTCACCGCGAGCCAACCCAAACACCTCATGCCTCCCCATCCCAATCAGCCACCACAACAACACCAACCTGACTCGACGGACGGACAACCACACGGACATACAGACAAATGACGATGCAAGAAAACCAATTCACTCACTGCCCCGCCCGTCCTCCTCCTCTCGCCATGATATGCACTTCCCCGAATCTAACCGCCCTCATTCCCAGTCCCCTTCCCGAACCCTCAAGCCAAGTCCCACCTCCCCCTCCCCATCCCAAACAAGCACTCGGGCCCAGCCCGCTACCCTCACACCGCCGATCCCTCGTTCGCGCCAGATCTAGATCTCCCTCGATTCCCCCTCCTTGCACGTACATACCCAAACTCCGGTTGCACGAGTACTATACTGTAGTGGAGAGAAGTGTACGGTACGGTGGCTAGGTGGGTGTGTTGGGGTTGGGAGGGGGAGGAGGGGGAAAGTAGCCGCATCGCATCCCACGGAGAATCCGCGTCCGAAGGCTCATCGGGCCGGCTGGCGCTGTGTGGTGAAGAGGGGGAAGGAGGGGGAGGCGTGTGCGGGCGGCTTATTGGGTTACAGGCTATTATACTCTACCAGGTGCTGGGGGTCCGCTTTTCGATTAGGACGTACAGTACGTGGTGCTGTCCTGTCTAGAAGGGTAAGGTAGGAGGAGGCGAGGATGCTGGATTGGGAGGGTGAGAGGGTTAAGGCGGGCTTGGGTGTGCTGGCTTTAGAAGATGGTGGTGGTGGCTTGGCTACTTCTGTTCGGTTTTGGAAGTTAGCCCTATAACACAACCCTCACACCAAGTTGCTGCAGATAGTGCGAGAAATAGATACACCGATAGATATAGTACTATACTATACTATACCATCCACCCATCCCCAAGAAAGCCGCATACAGCACACCACACGGCCCTACAACGGCCCCCCGAACCGCTGTCACCGTATCAACCTACTTCCTCACTTACTCACTCACTTGCTTACTAATTGTCTCATCTCGCGCCGCGCTGCCAGGTCTCGGAGACATACCCTATCTGACTGAAGTGAGACCTTGTCTCGGCTCACCGGCGGGGTCTGGAGCGCACTATACAGCGCTGTAGATCGCAGCACGCATCATGCTTAAGGCTGCTTGCGGATACGGGGTTGGGCTGGGCTGAAGATTTACTAATGCTGTGGTTGTGGTGATGAGATCTGGCATTGGTGTGGTGCCGCGGCTTAATTAGTTCGGTGTGTGTGTGTGTGAACCTAACTTTACTGCGTGTGCTAGGCCTAACTTTAACATATCCTGCAACAGAGTTTGGAGTAAACCAGGCTGGACTGGTTGGGCTAACGCAGGATAGACCGGGAGAGCGCTGTAACGTTGTCAGAGCCTCAACCTCAGCCTGTAGTTCCCCCGATGGAGGATCTCGGCGCTACCTGCTGCTGGCACAATCCTCTAATTATTCTGTATCCAGTACAGACAGCGATCTCCTGCACGCCAACCTTCTCTAGCCCCCTAGCCTTACCACACACACCTCGGCGTCTAAAACAAACAAACATTTTATTTTTTATTTTTACCCTTTCCCAAATTTCCTATTTTTTTTCTTATTTCTTCCCTTAGTTCGCTGCCATCATCATGACACCGAGCAACCTCGGCCGCTTATCTGTGTCCGTTACTTACGGCGGTTCCGAGATATACGTGAATGCGAAACCGTGGATGGGAGAGTTTGGAAGGGCGGCTGAGCCAAGATGACGGGACGACGGCGGCGGGCGAGGCCGGTTGGATTTGTGTTTTCGATCTGATACCCGGGTATACAGTACGTAGAGTAAGTAGGAGATCCCGTCTCTGTCCGAGGAGGTGAGTATACGTAGAGTAAGTAAAGCAAAGCAAGTAGACAGAAGTCAAACTCTCTCAGCGAACCGTTAGAGAAAATAACCTTCCCACCATCCATATATCGAAGCGGTTCCGAATTTGTCTCGGCCTCCCATCTCCCTCCCCCTTTACGCCTCCGAATAAAAGTGTTACACGACATAAGCGCACACACTACTATACCCCCTTTACATTACCTTAAACAATAGATAGGCAACAGATAGGCACCTCATCCCGGAGCCTCCTCCTCCTCGTCCCACCACCTCCCCCCCCCTGCACGGCATCCCCGAATCCAGCAATCTTCCAGAAGCCCCCCATAGAAGAAGTTTTTTTTCTTCTTCTCCTTCTTCATGGATCGTGGGTGGATTTTTGTGGCGCACACACCACCCACCCCCGTTTCCTTTTTTTCCCTTGACCGCGGCTGGCGAGAGACCGACCGGGCTAGATTGGGCTGGAGGGTAAAAAAGTGGGGGAAGCGAATCTGTAATAGGAACAGAAAGCCGGGGAGGATGGGTGGGGCCGTGTGTGGATACGGTTCGTGAGATTTGAGATTCGAGATTCTTTGTACCTTTTGGATGTACCGCCGTATAGTGGAGAGAAAGAAGGGAAGGTAGATTAGGTGGTGGCGAAATCTGTAATTTTTTTCTCTCGTCTCTCTTTACTGTAAGGGTCTTTTTAGAGTAAGTCGATTATCTGGCGTCAAGACGGGACGGGTGAGTTCGGGAAGCGTTGTGGGTGACAGATGGAGTGGCCAGAGAGGCGTGGTGAGGGGACAGGCGGCGGGTGAAGAAGGGGGGTAGGGTAGGCAATTAGGATAATCAGCCCTGTCCTGTCCCCCAGGGTATCAGGGTGATGAGACGGAGTAATTTATCGAGATAAGAAGACTTCATCGCTGGGATAGTTACTGTATGGTATGGTAGATAATAGATGGGCTGTTACAGCAGATAGATGGGGAGTGGATATATATAAGAGCGCGTTAAGATATAGATATAGTGGTCTCTTCCATGATGTTTGATACATGTCTTGGTCCTGTGTGAGAGGGACAGGATAATATGTCTCGCCGAGGCAAGCAGCGACGATCTGATCGGCGTGCCGCGTGGGGGTTAATCTACTCACCTCTCACTCTACTAGCACGCACTACACTCTACTTACTCCATTACTATATTGACGCCACCGTTTCCCATCACCACCCACTCTCCGAGACCGGGGATCCGCGCCGGTTTGATAGTTCAGCGGGGTTCTTTCGCAAGTTCGAGTGAGAGTCGCGAGAGTGCTAAGGGTCTATCTGGCCTGTGGGGATTGTGCAATGGTCCTCGATGAGTGCGTGCGCAGTGGGTATACCTGCCTGTAGTAGGCATTTTTTTGGCGTGTAGAGCGGGTTATTACAGTGCATTATCGATTCCCTCACCCTCTGGCGTTGTAGTAGAACAGATAAAGCACAAACCCCACACGTGCTCTCCCCCCAGTAGTAGTGAATCCAAGAACCGTATCATCATCACTCCCAAACAACCGTTACATCTCCCGTGCCCATCCCCAAACCCCTCGGCGACGCAGCATGACGGCATAGTGAGGTGAGTGGCGAACTCACCTCTCCCTCTTTCCCATCTTAAACCGTAACATTCCCATCCCCATCCCCATCCGTCCTTTCAGGATATGCAAACCGCCAAACCTGCAACCTTGGAGAAGGTACAAACGCCTAGCACCGCCGATCCCCAGCCGTTGGCTGCGACGCTGGCGGGTTTTAGCCTGAGGGTGGAAAGGTTGGCAGAGGGTTGGCAGACGACGTGCGTGGGGGTCTTGCTAAATGGGTGGATGGGATGGCGCGACGGTGTGGGGTTTGGTTGGTTGGTTTGGTGTGTGTGGTGGCGGGTCGGTTTGGTTTGGCTCCGATTTCTTTCGCTAAAGGCAGGAGGAGCAGAATCTGGAGAGGGAGGAGGTGTTGTATTGGACCATTGGACCTTGGTTGGTACGTCTGTGTTTCGGGGGATCATTCCCGGGCCGCTAGACCCTTCTTTTTTTGTGCGCAGGACGCATTTGCTACAGTAGTGCCGTCCATGGCATGAAAGTGAAAGTAAGAGGAAAGGTACGTACCCACTCTTCTTCTTTATTCCCATTCCCATTCCCGGGGTCTGGCTGGCTGCGCGGAGGAGGCTTGTGGTTGCCAGAAGGAACACGAAAAAGAGACGCTACTGCGCGCAGGCTGTCGGCTGGAACGGGGTAAAATGGTAAATGGGGTGAGATGGGTTAAGTAGACAGGGTTGGTGAGCAGGGGCAGGCGAGATGGGGGGGGTTGCTTGCTGATCGAAGAGGTAAGGGGTGGTGAGAGGGATGCAAGGGGGGAGCACGTGCGGTGTCACGCGCTGGGGTGAGGTGGGTTTGGTGCTTCTGGAAGGAATGGGGGTGAGATGAGGTAGGGTGGGGTTAACGGGGGTTGAGTGGTGGTGGCCGGCTGGGGGAAGGTAAGGGAGGGATGATGAGGCTGGGATGTTGGAGATCACGGCGTCGGGGTCGCAGTTGTGCCGTCTCTATCGCTATCGCTGTCCATCTCTGTCATCTATTCGCTCTTCCCATTACAAAACAAGCAAACAAGCCACAAACCCAACCGTCATCAGCCATATCTGCCACCTCACACACCACCCACTCATCCAAATCCTGCTTTGTCATTTCACTCTCCCCTTCCCTCCTCCCCCAATCAGCCATCACGCAACTCGTCACATCTCCTCTCTCTCACCCGGCGCTAGTCTATCACCATCTCCACTTCTCCCTTCGCCCCCCTCGCCTGCATACAACACAAATCGAACCAACCACCACACTACCCCCGAAATGGAAGTGGCGTCCGGGTGATTGGCTCTGGAGTGGGGCGAGCCTGGCCGCTTGGGGGTTGGTGGCAAGGTTCTAGCGTCGTTCTAGTGAGGACGGGGGGTGGTGGTGCTAGTATGGGATTGGGTGGTTTGGATGGATTGCTTTTTTGTGTTGGTGGTGTTCGGCTTGCGCGGTTGCTTGGGATTGGATTGGATTGACCTGGGTGGGTGGCTGTGTGTGTGGTGGTGATGCTATGCTGAGTGAGTTTGGGATGGGGTGATTGGGGGTAGAAGATACTTGGGCGCAGTATCGGTGTGCGGTGTGGAGTGGCGGTATCTTGTACGACGGTGTAGCCTGTGTTGGTGCCTTTTTCCCCACACCTTTTCGCGCCTTCCAACTCCTTCGAAGTACGCCTTCTATCCCCTCTCTTCCCTCTTCCATGCAGCAGAGTACAAGGGATAAGAGGAGAGGAGAGTCCAGCCTGGTCCAGTGACCAGGGAGGTGCAGAGGGAGGTACTCTTGCCATATAGATTGTGTACGGAGGGACTTGATGATGCATACTACACTATGCTATGCTATCGATAACCAATCCAACCCAACTCTCCGTTTGCTGGATTGTATGGGATGGGCGGCGTGACAGGATTGTGTCATATCTCCTACTCTATTCATCATCTATTGCCATCTTCCATCATATAATCCCATCATATACTGTCATATACATACTGTAGAATGTAGAATGTAGAATGTATAGAATAGAATACATATTATTTCGTATAGACAATGTATCTTATCGCGTCCAGATAATCCTGTATGGTCCATCCATCCCTATAATCTGGAGTACAGTAGCATAATAATTAGTACTCTAAATTCCTGCCGGGTACTATTATTACTGCCGCCATACTACCACCGCCATGCTACCATACTACCCTATCCCATCCCATCCCCCCCCTCTACTCTCCCACTCTAGTATGAACAGCAGAGATCGGCGTTTCCGTGGCTCTGTCATCTCGTCATCTCAGTCACCTTCGTCACATCGTTCGCTCATATCGTCACATTTATTTATCAGCACTCAGTCACACTCAGTCACACTCAGTCACTCATCTCAATTCATTCATCCTCGGCCTCTAATCCGGCTCACTAATCTTACCAGTCCTTCTTGAACCCTGGCCCTGACAACCCTCTTAACCCTCCCAAAGCATACCTATCCTTCCCAATATAGTACCAGTAACTCTCCCATTCCTCTCTTATTGATTGTCTTTGTGTCTGTATTCGTCTATTGTCTCCTTACTGGGCTCCTCTTTCTCCTCTTTGACCCTTGAACATTCCATCTCGCCTCCATCTCGCCTCAAAGCACTCTACGAACCCCTACACATCCTCTTACATTGCTGCACTCTACCTGCACTTCTACCTGCACTTCTACTCTATTGCACATAAACGCCAAGCCTACGCCCTGCCGCCCGCCTGTCTCCCCTACCCTGCGCCAGCCCTTGCCTGTCAAATCGACTGGGACTGGGAACTGACGACCGAACGATTCATCCATCCGAACTCCTTGACTCCACCAACCTCGCCACCGAACCCTGAGCAGCGTACACTCTACTCCCTACTTCCCGTACTCTATTCTTTCCTTCCCTTCCAGAAGCGATAGAAGAAGAAACGACCGGCGAAGGAGGAGAGTACCTGCTCCTGGTACTTTATCTCTACTCTACGATTACTCTAATACCCTGCCGCTACTTATCCGCCGCGCTTCGCTGTTCTCGAACTGCTGCTTGTTTTACTCTCGCTGCTTCCTGGCCCTGCCTGCTCCACCAACAAACTCTCTCTCAACCCACTCTCTTACTCAACTGTACAACTATTCTATTTGTACAGTAAAGAAAAAGGTAAGAAAATAACACCTCGTTGCCACCCTCACCTCATATCTGCTTCCCAAGAAACTCCACCGCCCGCTACAATCCACTCTGTCCACTCGTCGTCGTTGTTCAAACCCCCCAAGTGGCACCTCGGACACTCTCGCAACTCGCACCTTTGCACAGTGGCAACCTGCAACCCGCAAGACCCGTTGCGACCAGCCTTCCTCTTCTAGTAACCTAGCCTGACTTGCCATACGGAGCACTATTTACTTACTTTTTTACTTGTAGTACTCAACATCAACGACAAAAGTTACTTACTTGCTCAAAACCAGGCCTTCCATCATTCCGCTGTCCCACGCCCCTCCCTGACCCCGAAAAGAAAAGTCTCCACTGTACGGATTGAACGGACTGAGCGGACTGAACGGAGTACTCGCCTTTATTACGTCTTGGCCCCACAAGCACCCACAAGCATCCACTATTCAGAGTACCTTACTACTGAAATACCCACTTCGGATCTCAGATGCACAGAAGCCTCTTTCGAAACATCCATAACGACCCATATCCCTTCTCCGAGACCAGCCCATCCTTCCCGACCGACCCATTCACTCATTTCTGCGCGAGAACGTGCTGTCTTTAGCCGCGCCAAACCGATCCCCGTTTGCTCCATACGCTCCATACGATCCATATCGATCCATATCCGCTCCATACCTTACCTCACACAAGCACAAGCACACAATCACACCTTGCGAGCCTTGACAGCAAAAAAAAGGCTGCCAGCCGTTGCCTCTTTTCCAGGGCAGTGGGACTATAAGTGGACTTAGTGCCCATTACCGCACCACCTTGGTGTCACCCGCTACGAAAAAAAGAAAGAGTAGTTATTACGAAAAAAGAGGAATCTACGAATCGGGTCTTTACATACATCGTCACTGGCGACACAAAGAATCTGTCACAGGCTACTCTCTCTTATACCTCTCCTTCCCGACACTCTCGCCAACGTTACACGAAGGGTTACTCAAAGGCACGTTGTGACCACCGCCACACCAACATACACCACGACTCTCACACCCATACCATACATTCGGACGCGCGGAGCCCAGGAAACATTCCTGACGAAGCACTGCATAACGCTTGACACCCGGGTGTCTTGGAACGGAAACGGAGATCGCCAACCATTGGAAGTTTGATCGGCTACCTACATGCGTTAAAAGTGATTCGTCGTTTCTTAGATCCTCCAGTCAAATCGAAGACCCTCTTTTGTCCCAAACGCGACTCCAAAAAGGTCGTTGTCCTCATTACCAGATACTCTACTGCATTACACATACACGACGTTGCCAATGCTGTCGATATAGAAACGTCTCTCCATCTTTCAGTACACGAAAGAGCAGGAGCAGTAGCATAGCCGGAAAAGAGGCCAAGGGCTTCATGAGGTTCTCCCGAATCGCAATGAGAAAGTCGAAACGACCGAAACAATTATCTCAACAAAACCACGAAGAAAATACCGCTTATCCCTCGCCGAGGTGCTCTGCGGTCGTCTTCGACTGGGACGCCGACGACGAATTCATGTCGTCTGGCGACAACCTGCCATCGAGGCCACTGAGCCTTGCCATACCCGCTGGCCCATACTGCCCACGAAGGCCGACACTACGAGAGGTGCTCGCAAACTCGGCACCGCCGCCATGGACGCTCAGCGCCTTTATGGCCTACCTTTCACAAAATCACTGTTTGGAAACACTAGAATTTACAATGGATGCTTCGCGGTACCGGAAACATTATGAAACATTACGAGAGAATAGCCGTGGGCTACTAATTACACCGTCGACGGAGGGTTGCGAATACGTTCGTATGCTATGGCAGAAGCTGCTGGATGCCTACATCACACCGAATGGACCCCGCGAGGTCAACCTACCGTCCGACGTTCGCGATCGCCTCGTCTCTGCCCCAAACCACTTCACACCACCACACCCCTCACAACTCGATACGGCCGTCAGGATAGTGTATGATCTCATGGAGGAGAGTGTCCTTGTGCCCTTCCTTAATTCCGTCTCGGTAACGCGAGGCCCCACCACCTACTCGAGTCCGTACCCGTCGACGGATGATATGTCGGGTATGCTCACACAGGAGTCTCGTAACTACTCCGGATCCTCTTCACAGTCAGGCTATGGAAGTTCGAGCCGTGACACACAAACTTACTCCGGACCTCTACGCCCGTCACAACCTTCTCACCTTGCGCTTGCCCTTAAGCGTGGCCTCGGTTCTCATTATACCTCGTCTACGACCAGCAGCGCCGAAGCAAACGACGACTCCTACACCGACGACAGCATGAGCACCGCCGACTCTCCGACTTCCCTCGGTGAGCCCATGACGCCCCCAATCACACCACCCACATCCGACTCGCTCGACTTCTCCGATTCAAGCCCGAAGGCGAAATCCGGGTCCGCCTGGGAGAAGATGGGCTTCAAGTGGGGACTCCGCAAGACGCGCCCCTCGCACACCTCCGAATCCAGCTCGAGCACCTCGAGCTACCCGCACGCGCCTCGCCACAATGCCAACCAATACAATCCGAGCACATCCAGCAGCTACCCGCACGCCCGCCCTCCGCAATAGGGAGCGCAGACCGCGCCGAGATCCTCCGTCCCCCACGCTCCGCCGCCCTCGCAGAGGATCCCCGCCTCCGTGCTGCCACCCGCAGCCACGATGACGGCCCCCTTCGAGGTAGACCCGCACCGTCCATCGCCCGCTATCTCCGCGATGGCAACGATGGCCGGAGCGGGCGCGGCGAATGTGTTAGAGACGAAAGGAGTCGACGTGGTCGCAAAATCAGAGGCGTCTGCGCCTGCGCCCACGGAACCTACACGAGTAGCACCACCGACGCCGAAACCGAAACCGAGACGCAGGATTCCACGCCCGAGTTTGCAGAATCAGTATATCTACGCTCACCCGGCGCCGACGCTTAACTCTATCCTCGCAGCTGAGGCAGCGCGACCTGTCACGGCCGCCGAAGCTGAGGAGGTGGAGATCGATTGGAGACTCGTCGCTGCTGCTGCGTCGAAACGAGGCCGCAATCCGAGCGTGACGAGTAATGAAACCGCGCTCTTCACACCGGCGATGAGCATCACCTCGCTCGCGAGCACGCTCGTCGATCGCGCGAGCGTGCACTCTTCTACTACTGCGGCGGGGTCCCAGTCGGCGGATCGGTACGGGTGGGAGGAGAGCCTTAGTGCGAGGTCGAGCCTTGAATTGGGGTCGAGGGCGAGTGAAGAGACGACGAGGGGTTTTAGTCTGGGTGATGATATGATGGCACCCCCGCCTGCAGCGGCGCAAGAGAGAGCCCATGAGAGGGGCTTCATGGGGAAGAAGGGGCTGTTGTGGAAGGTGCTCACTATGAATGCACGGGGAGTATGAGAAGAGAAACTTCTTGTCCATATTTATACGACGACAAGACCAGAGAAATGTTTTGAAAAATGAGGTCAAATTGTATGCACAGCGCGGAGCATTTATTTTTGGAAATTTTTAGAGATGGGGGCGTCATTACGCGGAAAAGGGATTATGGAATGGGATAAGAGGGAAAAGGAGCGTTTTTTGGGGGGGGGAATACTCTCAGCTTTTTTGGAACTACGAGGATTTATCATACGATGGCGTTTTTTTGGGCTTGGGATGGGGGAATTGAGCATTTACAACGATAGGGGGTGTCTGTTCTAGGACTGTGCATAGGCTATTGGAGTTTTTTTTTGTACTTGTGTGTGTGGTGGGCGATTGGGATGAGATGGGGGAACGGGGGCATTGAGCGTGTGATGCTGTTTGTTTGGATATATCCTATAGATGTTTTGGAGGGACGATGAGAGAGTGGAGATGGAGTGATGGATGATATATAATTATACCCTCAACTACTTTACAAACAAACAACTCTATCTCGTGTGTCTGATTGTGATAAATTGTGATAAATGTGATTTAGTGAGGGGTGATAAAGAGGCAAGGTGGTGCTGGAGAGGGATCGGATGAGAGGGAGGCGGGTAGGCGGCAGCGGATAGAACGGAGTACGTGAGTGAGTGAATTACAACGCGTGTGTGTGTACGTGGCTTTTTATTCCCTCAAATATCTCACGTACTTATCTCACCACATTCATAGAGGTGTGCCTACCATAACCAAGCCCCGCTCTTCGGGGATCTGTTCATGCTTTTGCCATATATCTTCGTTTTCATCGGGCCTAGCATATATAGGCACGCACAAGCACACGGGCTGGATCCGAGTCAAGTTATCAAAGGTTATCATATATATACCAAACCAAACCACCCCATATATCCCCCTCCCCCCATCTACACCCCCTTCTAGTATAACGCACCGCCCTGATCCAAGAAAACTCCTCCCATGCAATCCCCCCATCCCCCCAACCCTCCACACATCAACACATCAACTCTCACAACCCCCCCGCCTCCTTCACCTTTTACTCAGTAACCTCCCACGCCCTAACCGCTCCATCATCCCCACTCGAAACTACCATCTCCCCCTCCTTCCCATCAAACCGCTGACACCACGTAACATGATTAATCTCATACGGTCCATGTCCCATTTCCGCTGTGGCGAGGATCTTCCAGTTTCCTGGGCCAACCTTCTCTCCCTCCTCCCCATTCCCCTCCCCCTTCTCCCCCTCCTTTTCCCCCTCCTTCCCCTCCTCCTCCCCCTTCCCCGCATCCTCAGCCTTCACCTCCCCATACACCACAATCCTCGAATCCCCCCCACAACTCACCACCCTCCCTGTCCTCTCACTCCACGCCACCGCATACACAGCCCTCGTATGCGCCTTCGGCAACACCGCCTCAAGCACCCATTTCTCCCCCTGCGCTGCCGCCCGCATCGTCGATGGGATCCCGCCACTCTCCGCCTCCGCAGCTTCGACGCGGCGCCAGACGCGGAGAGTCGTGTCGGCTGAGCAGGTTATTAGGCGGCGGTGTTTATGCTTCTGTGCGTCCTCCTCCTCGGGCTTGGAATCAGCCTCTGCCTGGGACTGGGAAATAGACTTCGACTCCGCACCACCTTCCCAAGCAACACCCCAAACCGTCTCCTCCCCCCCCTCAAGCACACCAACACACCCCCATTCCCCCTCCGCATCCTCCCTCCACACGCGCACCGTGCCATCGTAACTGGAGCTGGCTAGACACTCCCCTTCATCGCCCTCGCTCGGGGCCCAGGCAACGCACTTCACATCCCCTTCGTGCTCGGTTAGGACGGCGACGGTCTCCCATTCATCGGCACCGTCGACTTCTTCCCAGATCCAGATACTCTTGTCGCGGGAGCAGGTGGCGAGGTATTGGCCTGAGGGACTGAAGGCTAGGGATTTGACTTCGGCATCGTGGCCTTCGAGGACGACGCTGAATTCCCAATCCTCCCCCTCTTCCCTGTCCTCCACTTCGCCGTCATCCCCGGTGCTCTCATCGCGCCGCCATACTCCGGCGGTACCGTCGAAGGATCCGGTCACCAAGCCGAGTTCGCCGGGGCGGAGATGCGGTTTCCAAGCCGTAGAACGGATAGAGCGGGTGTGGCCGCCTTCGAGGATGGAGTGAGGGGTTGAGGTGCGGAGAGAGGTTATTTGGGCGGATTTGCCGAGGGAGGTCGAGAGGAGGGGGAGCGTGGGGTGGGGGGTTGAGTGCCAGGCGCGGTGGGGGGAGGGGGGGTGGAGGGGGGGGAGAGGGGTTAGTTGCATTGTTGTGGTGGTGGGGGGTGGGTGGAGGTTGTAGGTGTTTGGGGGGTTGGAGAGGTGAGGTGAGGTTGGTAGGTAGGCAGTTTGCAGGTTGGGAGGTGAGATTGTATGGATTGTATTGTGGTTGTGGTTGAATCCTCGATGGCGGGGTTGTGATTCGAAGGAGGGGTAGCTCCGTATGCTATCTGCGCGGAGACGTCGGATGCTCCGCTTGGTATCGTCAAGCTAAGAATTGCCGGGGATGGTATAGACACAGGTAACGCTCCAGTCGATGTATGTCGCGTCATGTGCACTTCCGTGATTATATATTTATTTCCTCACTATCGCAGTGCGTAACCGAATTGATCAATCAGCCTCGTCTGGCAGCGTGGGGGATTGGCGGGGCCGGTGCCGGATCAACGACCCCGCCGAGACGGCGGGTTCACCACCTACCACTTACCACTTACCACTTACCACTATCTTTTTGATACCACCACTACTCCTATATATTAGGAGGCTATCTAACCAGACTTTGACAGACAACGACGGAATACGAGTAATGTAGAGAAAGCATAAAGGGAAGTTTACTTTCAACTTACAGAGCTAGCGAGCCTCTTCCATGGATTATGGATTACACTGGACTACCGTCTCAATACCTTCGATTGGCAAGCCTCTTGACTGGCACGTAACGAATCTAATCAGTATCCTCCACCGGACAGTTTGAACTATTTGATGTTGCTGTCATTGCTATTTGTCGTTGCCGCTTTCTATTGCCGTCACCGTTTTGCTGTCACCGTTGCTATTACTGTCACCACGTCGTACTATCACCACCATTCCTTCTAACCTCCCAGAAATAACATACGCCGTCTCACCAAACCTTCACACCTCCCCTATCAGTTACTCGTGGCGCCGTTGCAGTCTTTAGGGGGGCAACTTCCATCGCTTCGTCGGTGACCGTGGGATGACTCGTTGGGATCAAAGAACGTCCGCAAGTTGCTCGCTCATTGATCTAATATATTCGCCAACGAGCGCGCATGGAACGTATTCTTTGGATGGCGCTTCGGTGTTGGATTCCCTTGGATAAAGGATATATATGAGATAGGTTTTCTTGGTTTGGTTAGGTGATTATTCTTTTGATATTTTTGGGGACGGTAGAGAAGGGGTGTTGCAGTAGGTGAATTTATAAAATGTGCATCCCTGCATCACGGGACGCACCCTGTGACGGGACAAACTATTGGTACTTTGAATTCAATTGATTCTAAATTTGCGAGTCGTGTAACTACTCTTGAACAGACTAAACCCCAGCGACTCTGAAATTTACGATCACGTCGTTGCTGTCGCATCTAATTGCAGAGGGTGTCAATTCAAAGTATAATAGAACCCCTCGAGCTACAGCATCACCACGAACTCTTATCACTCCTAATACCCATAAGAGAGTCTTATCTAACCTTTAAGGCACCACTACGATACAGGAGATTGTCATTAGCCTTATAGTGGCAGTGCAGGGCAAATTCATACATGGTTGCCATGGAAATTAATACCTCGAGTCAAAAGCGACTAACAATTTTGGTTAGTGTACTATGGCACTGCACGTGATTTCACTTCGCTTTTGTCATCTTAAGCGTTAAGGGTGTGTGGCTAATTAGAAGTGTGGCTGAAGTAAAGCTAAAAACAGCACTGTACGACCGCGTTATGCCCAGACAGCGGCGTCCGACCATAGCAGTCCTTTGAGTCGACGTCCACCTTCCTAGTGTCGAGCAGCAGCTTCACGACTGCGTTGTGCCCGCCTGCCACAGCCCCATGTAGCAGCGTCCGACCGTAGGAGTCCTTCGAGTCAACGTCCACCTCCCCGTTGTCAAGCAGGCGCTTCACGACTGCATTATGCCCGCCCGCTGCGGCCCCATACAGCGGCGTCTGACCGCCTATGTCCTTCGAGTTGACATCCACCTTCCCGGTGTCGAGCAGCAGCTTCACAACCGCGTCGTGCCCCTCGTGTGCAGCCTAAGACAGTGGCGTACGACTGTGACAGTCCTTTGAGTCGACATCCACCTTCCTAGTGTCGAGCAGCCGCTTCACAACCGCGTTGTGCCCGCCTGCTACAGCCCTATGTAGCGGCGTCCGTCTGTAGGAGTCCTCCGAGTTGATGTCCACCTTCCCGGTGTCGAGCAGCCGCTTCACGACCGCGTCGTGCCCGCCCGCCGCGGCCCCATACAGCGGCGTTTGACCGTCGCACTCAAACATCCAATCGTGGAAGTACTTCAAGTCAACGTCTACCTTCCTAGTGTTGAGAAGCAGCTTCACAACCGCGTCATGCCCGCACCTCGCGGCCTCAGATAGCGGTGTATGACCGAAGGGGTCCTTCGATTCGACAGCCACTTCCCCGGTGTCGAGCAGCAGCTTCACGACCGCGTGGTGCCCGTCGAGCGCAGCCCGAGACAGCGGCGTCCAACCGAGAGGGTCCTTCGCTTTAACATCAGCTCCTCCTTCCAAAAACTTTCGAGTCGTCGCCTCTTGCCCTTGTTGTGCAGCCCACCATAACCCTGAGCTCTTAAGTTGTTGTATGTTGTGGCGATAGAGATAAGTATTAAGGACATTGTACAGGCGGCTATTTGCTTGGCTAAAAGCATTGATATCTCTCTCTGAGTCTAGATTTTCCGATATAGACAACAATAATTCGTTCACTAAATCAAGTAGCGGCATTTCTGAGGGGTTAGCTTCGCATCTAGGTAACTGCAACCAAGCACTCATGGTCGACTGCAGCTGCTGCGCAAGGTCGAGTGTGCCTTTGCCAGTTGTTCGCTTGTATTATATGACACAGTAGCCGCATGACACAGCAATCCCTGGTCACCATAAGGCTGAAAACGATTTTTCAGCATCGCGGTGAGGCTCGAAAACCCAGATCAAATAGTTATATCATTTTGAAAGATGCAAAGAGCTCGTGGTTGTGCTGTAGGTTAGGGGTCCTATTATACGTCAAATTGACGCCCTCTGTAATTAGGCGCAACAGCGACAACATGATAGTAAATTTTAGAGTAGCTGGGGTTTAGATTGTTTAGGAGTGGTTACACAACATAAGTGACACAGAAAAACTGGAAGTTTTAATAGATTCATGAATTTATAATCAATTGAATTCAAAGTACCAATATTTGTCCCGTCACAGGGTGCGTCCCTTGATGCAGGGATGCACGTTATAGACAATTATTTTAAAATTACCCAATGTACTGTATAGTAACTTGGCCATGGCTAGACCATTCAAATATATTGGTGCACTTGTTATATTATCTAGAGAGCATTTTATTCATTCCTCACTATTTCTAGTCATTAGCCTGTCCTCTCGCACCATACTTTATAACAACCAAGCGAGCAAGGGAGTAGATTCATGGATAGATCATATATTCAAGTCTATAGTCCAAAAAACCACCAAACTTATTTATCTCAAACCCCCGCCCATTTTCCATGTCCATCCAAAAAACATCAGGCGTATTCTATCAAGCGTAGTCTATCAAAATCATGCGCTTCGATAAACTACCTCCAGGAGGCAAAAGCTCCCCAAATCAAAACGCCATGGATGCTTTCTTTCATCGTCATCATCTCATCTCATCCCTCATCATATATAGACATTCCCCACCACCCCTTAAACCTCCTTCTCCTCAACGACCACACCCCATGGGTGGTCCTCGCGGCCGTACATGATATCCACGAGCCAGTTCTTGATGACATTGGTGTAATCGCCAACCTCTCCCTGAGCCATTGGGACATCGATATCAACGCCACGGAAGTGGATTTTCGACACCGGTGCGACGAAGAACTGCATCCCATATTAGCCGACCATTCACACTTCATTCTGGGGGAGAATAAGAGGAAAAAACTCACAGCCGTCCCACAAGCAAAACACTCCACCAACCTCCCCTCCTCCGACGCCTCCACAATCTCCTGCATAGTATACTCCCTCTCCACCACCTCAATCGGCTCCAACTCGCCCTTCCCACTCAACCTCTCCTTAACAAGCTGAATCACACTCCTCCTCGTCACCCCATCAAGAATAACCTTACTATCCAACGGCGCCGTAATCAACTGCAACTTTCCCCCCTCCTTACTCCTCATCACCGTGAAGAAATTACTCGCTCCCGCCTCCGTAACCTGCGCCTCATCCCCCAAAAGCCAGAGGACTTGGTTGAACCCCAACCTCCGCGCTTCTTGCTGCGCCATCAGACTAGGTCCGTAATTCGCGCCTACCTTGGCGAATCCGAATCCACCGGGCCACGCGCGGACGGTGTCGTTTTGCGAGGCGAGAAGCTTCATGCCGCCGGGGGTCTCGGAGAGCTCGGGCATGTATGTCGCGATGATGAAGAGCATTGCCTCCTTGGGGGTTTGGACGCCCAGCTCGGCTTGCGTGCCGATCATCGTAGGGCGGAGATACAAGAACTTCCCCGCATCGGACTTGGGCAGGAATTTGGCGGCGTCAACGGCGACGAGCTCGGCGATCAGCTTCTCTATCTCCGCGGTGTCGAAGGTCGGGAGCGCGATGCGCGCAGATGACATGAGGAGGCGCTTCGCGTTGCAGTCTGGGCGGAAGAGGCGGACCTTGCCGTCGTAGCCGCGGTAGCATTTAAGCCCCTCGAAGCACTCGGTGGCGTAGTGAAGCACCGAGGCCGTGGGCATGATGGAGAAGGGACCGTAGGGCTTCAGCTCGGGGACGCCCCAGCCGCTGTTCACGTTCCAGGTGCATGTTATCATGTGGTCTGTCGCGAAGGAGGAGACGTTGCGGATGGGGTCGTCGAGGGCGGGGACGGTGCGGGGGGTTGTCGTGCGCGTGCGGGTCAGCTTTGAGGCGTCGAGGGCCGCGAGGGAGGGCGCGGTGGTGCTGGAGAGCTTCGCGGCCACGGCGTCGGCGATCAGGGTGGTTCCTTGCGCCATGGCCTGGGGAGGCGTGGCGGATACGGCGGAGGGAGACATGAGGGGTTGTTGTGGTGGGGGTTATCGCCCGATGGTATGCGGTGAAGTGATAAGAGATAGAAGAGATAGACTTCTCGTTGCAATTGAGAAGATGGAGAGAGTAGATAGAAGAGGCAATGGGGGAATAACAGAGCTTGGGTGTGCTGCTGTTATATGAGTGTATGTGTTGGAAGAGGAAAGGGAGAAAAAAAGTCGAGCGAGTCAAGACGAGGGGTTGGGGTTCACTTTTGTAGCCACTGCACCGGCTTTGGAGAAGGGAAAGACGGAAGACGGGTGTTGAGGGGTGGAAGGTCTGTTAGTCACACGCAACTTTCTGGTGCGGGAGCTAATGATGGTAGTTTGATGGTGGATAGGCGTAGTTGGAGAAAGGAAGGTCAGTTCGTTCCATTGGCTCTAATCCGAGTAAGGATCTCGGCGGCAACGGTGTGTTTGTTTCAACGTGTTGTCTATTCGTGAGTTCCCTCTATTCGGTCTTCTATTCGAGGCTATAATATTTTGCATAATCTTTCTTTATTCCCTTTTCCCCTGTTAAAACTCCGTAATCGGACGCATTGTCGATTGCGGTGAGCAATTGCTGGGGGAAGGTTGCATGTTGTGGTAGAAGAGAAGGCGCACCCGCATGGTCTGTCTTGCCTTGTCTACTTACCGTGCGCCCGGTCCGCAGGTCTCAGAATTTCTCGGTGGTGGTCGTTAGGCGGGCGGCGAAGTTTGGATAAGAAAAAACGACGCGTCTGTCCCGGGCCCGAACAAAATATGACGTCGACAGGACCCTTTTTCTCAGTAACACAAAAACTTCTTTAATGGGAGGCGTTTGAAGATCAGTCAATTGACAGCCACTTACATCGCAGAGGACGAGTTCATGGTAATTCTGGGGATACCAGGTGACTGGCCCCCCCTTTTGCTTGGCCTTGTTGGCCCCTTCATGGTCAGCAACGGAGATAATGTTTAGGTTCGATTGATAAATCCATGGGAAAGTGCGGAATCAAAAGGTTGATATAGGCCGTTGCAAGCCGAGCGTAGCCCTTTTGTTCCAGCTCTGCCGAATCGCCGACTCGGAAAAGGGTAGAGACGAGAGAGAACACATAACAAATCAGTCAGCAGGTACAAACGGTACGTGAATTAGAGAAGCGTATTGGCTTGGGGTGTTTCGGCATATAATTGCGCGATACTGCACTTGATAATGCTATTGATTCTGTTTGATCATTGACGACGAGTGTTGACGATGGAGGATTGATCGGTGGATGGTTGACGGTTGATGCGTCAGCTGCGATAAGTGACAGTGGTGGTGGCCGTACTGGCAGCAAGGTTGAGTATCTCCGCCGCCATATCCACGCCTTTCAACAGCTCCCTCTCCAGTACGAATACCCTCACTCCTACCCAAATAAATAGAAAAGACAATAACCCCTCTCAAATCCCAAGGGGAATCCCCATCCATTTAACCCCTCCCCTCCTCAACTCGTGACATCAGTCCCCATGCATCCCCCAACCCAACCCCCATCGGAGATGCGGCTACTCCCAATTGTCAGCCTTGCATTCCCTGTCCTCTGATTCGCCACTCGCATTTCAAAGCCCGACCCGAGCTCGCCCATCGCCATCGACAATATAATAATCTATCTCCAAAACTACAAACAATTTTCCCAAACCTCATCACCACCTAAACACCACACACACACATAACCATGGCATCCTTCGCCCGCCCTATGTTCCGATCGGTACCTCCCCCCGCTTCCTCCCCCTCCCTCACTTCTCCCAGATCAAAAGAACCCCAAGCTAACCCATCTCCCCTCCCCCAGGCACTCCGCCACGCCGCCCGCCCCTCCCCCTCGGCCTTCACACGCTTCCCCCTCCCAGCGCGCCGCTTCCTCTCCGCCGAGACCAAGACCGCCATCACCGAAGCCGTCGGTTCCGCGCCCGTAGTCCTCTTCATGAAGGGCACGCCCGAGACGCCTCAGTGCGGTTTCTCGCGCGCGAGCATCCAGATCCTGAGTCTGCAGGGTGTGGATCCGGGGAAGTTCACTGCGTTTAATGTGCTAGAGGATGATGCTTTGAGGTCGGGTATGTTGTCTTTTTCTTTCCGGCGAAAGAATAATTGCTAATGGTGTGGTTGTGTGACAGGCATCAAGGAGTTCTCGGACTGGCCAACGATCCCGCAGCTATACGTTGATAAGGAGTTTGTGGGCGGATGCGATATCCTCGTCTCCATGCATCAGAATGGCGAGTTGGCGAAGCTGTTTGAGGAGAAGAAGGTTTTGGCGCCGCCGGGAGTGGGAGAGGAGAAGCCGGCTTCGGAGTAAGGGAGCTGTTGGGATCCGAGGTGGATGGTAAGAGAGTGTAGAGTGTACGATGGAGAGGGCGATGTACGTATAGATAGATACCTTGTTAATGGGGATATGCAGTTTGGTTGGGTCGTTTCTGGGGGGGTTGGTGTGTTGATGTTGCTGTTGGTGAAAAGAACGCAGAGGTTGTCTTTGCAGCGAGGTTTTGTTGTGCATGGTGGCTGGTTGCTCGGGATTTGAGTATGCTAGGTAGGCTTGCAGTAAGGTTGGTCATTCAATTATATGTTGGTTGTATTTCATCTCTCATATTTTCAGCCTCCAAAAGAAACTCAGCTCATTTCCAATATACCCCCATCTCTTCCATGCCCAGAAAGACAGAAAAATTAATCGATTTCCATATATGGCTCTACCAATCCACACCCACAAGATTTAACAATCTTGATCCGAAAGACCTCTCCGTCTCTTTTCCCAGCCGCGCTTGTTTTTATACCTTACCTCCTCAGCGCCGTAACCGCCCGCTTAACAGCAGCGCGGGAAACAGACCTTTCCATCACCATCTCCAACAAACTCACGACTTGACAAATCTCCATCCCACGCTCTACAACTCAGCAAGAACTTGCCACACACACCCAAACAGCCTTACCACACTCACCACGCCCACCATCCCACAACCACCCTCCTTCGCACCACCAAAAATGCCACACCACCGCCTCATCCCCCGCCCCTCCCACCCCTCCCACCCCTCCCACCCCTCAAAACCCCCCTCCAAACCACAAAAAACCATTTCCACCGCCTCAATCCTGAAGCGCAAACCCATGGCCACGCTCCACACCCACAAGCACCGCGCCTCACGCCGTCGACGCAGGGAGAAGAGTCGCGAGGGGAAGAGTGGACATCCTTTGATGAGGGATTATGAGGGTATGTGTTTTCGCTGGCCTTGTTGTCTTGCTGGACTTTTGGGGATTGGGATTGGGGATTGGGGGTTGTGGATAGAGGTGTGGAAGGTGTGGAAGGTGTGGAAGGAAACAGCTAATGATCAGCAGATGATGTAGCCAAATGCCGCGAGTCTGCTCAATCGAACGCTGTAGCAGCCCTTGCTACCGCACACACCGATCTTCTTACGAAAGTGGGAGCTGTCAAGACCACCAACACCACCCTCCTCTCCACCCTACAAACACAGTTCTCAGCCCTCCTCCTACCTCTCAACGACACCGAAATCGCCACCACTGGGAACGCCACCCGGGGTGTGAGCGAACAAATCGAATCCTTCCGCGCACAACTTGCAGCGGGGGAGAGGGAGTTGAAACGTCTTTGGGGATTATGGGACGAGGCGCAGGGGGAGATTGAGAAGTTGGGCAGGGAGGGGGGAGGGGGGGTAATGAAGGGGTGGGAGGAGGAGGTTAGGGACAGGATTGGGGGGATGGAGAGGGAGGTGGAGGAGGCGGGTAGGGAGGCTGTGAGGGGGATGGGGGAGGCGGAGAAGGTGAGTTTTCTTTTTTTTGGTGTGTTGGTGCTGCTGGTGGGGAGGGGGAGCGGGTGGGATAGGGAAAGGGAAAGAGAAAAGCGGGGTTGGCTGACAGGTGTGTGCAGGAGATTGATAAGAAGTTGAGGGATGAGCAGGCGAAGCTTGTTGCGATGATGTTTCGTGAGGAGTAAAAAGTAGGGGGTATACTGGTGTTTGGAGAATGAGGGAAGCTTGCTAGGGAGGTTGCTTGGTTTTCGGAGGGAGGGAGATAAGAGAAGTTGCCGGAAGGGTCGCTTGAAGTTTGGAAGGCCACAGAGGGGGGAAAATTATTATATAGATTATGCTTGACCTTGCCTCAAAACGGGGGATAGGAGTTTGCTAGATTCGTTTTTGCTCCAAATGATTTTTGGCGGCGTCGGGGATATACTTACACACACATCCTCAAAATTAGCTAGGTAGCCATTTATTTTATCCACAAAAATATCTTAGAAAACACATAGCTAGATAGAAACATAAAAACCGCAATTGGCTTTAAATATTAATTCTTAAATATAAAGTTTTGAACTCTATCATCACCACCTCCCATCTCGAGCTCGTCCCACGTGCTAGCGTAGCATTACTCAAGTGTCTTAGAGAGCTCTCCAGTACCGGGGCAAAAATGCGGGGAAACTCAATCGTGTGTGCAAGCCGCCCGCCTCACCCAGGAGTCAGTACCGTACCCAGTACCGCACAGAACAACAACATCAACAACAACGACGTCGACCTTCTTCTTACAACCCTCTCCTTAACCGCAGTTGATAAAAACCCCTTTCACACGTACCTACCTTACCTCCTCCAAGGTCACCTCATCCTCGGTCCATCCCAGCCCCAGCCCAGCCCCAGCCCCTGTTTGCAACTCTCCCCCCTCCAAGGCCCCCCACTCGTCCATTCTAGGCAACTCCAACTCAAGCAGGTTAAAAAAGCGACGGAAGTGGCTGGAACCAGCTGTAGTAGGAGTGGCTAAGGCCAGGACGGGGGTTGCGCGCTGCCAACTCCGGCTAGGGTTGTTGGAGGTTGGTTGTAGGTTGGTTGGTGTGGGATTGGGACTATGACGTAGTGATTTTGGGATCACATCATGAAAAGGTTTGTTGATGCCAAAAGCAGCGAGGGGGTGAGCGGTGTTTGAGCGAGCGGATACGGGAATTTAGAGGGGGGATGGGATTTAGAAATAGGTGTTTATATGGTTATATGGGATATAATAAATAGGATATTGTATAGGGAATGGATTGTGATGGCGGATTGTACGGAGGCAGTATGTATGTATGAAGCTCGCGACGACGACAACAGCGTTCTAGCCCATACACCGCCAACGCGACGACGGCCAACCCCCCCAAACGAGCAAGAAAGGTACATGTCTTCCTCCCACAACCCCAATACAAACCCCAAGTACCCAAGTTAATGATGGCAACGAGCTTCCTCCCCACATGCACCTCCACCACACATCCAAGCTCCACACCCAATCAAGCTTCCTCCTCCCCAATATCGTCATCGCCTCTTCAAGACCCGCGGAGACAAACGCAATTGCAAGCACCGAGTACCAAGGCAGAGAGCAAGGGTAGTAGTCCCCCCCCAAGCTCCCCCCTCACACCATCCTTTAAAAGCTGGTCGCCCGCCCTCAATCGTTCGACTTCTCCTCTTCATCAATCAATACACCTGTAGAATCTTTAAACCGGATCCTTCAAGTCGATATCAATATGTCTCTTCACTGTATGTTGGATTCCCCGATCTCTGCTGTTTGGAGGGATGGTTATCACACTTGCACAACGATGATGGCTTGGTCACTGTCAACAATGACGTGACACCATCACCACTCCGACCCCCCAGTTCTCAATCACCTCAACCACCTCAAATCACCTACCTCACCCCCCACCAAACCACCTCACTAACACCCCTCCCCCCCCCAGATCTCCCCCCCGTCAAGCCCTCCGCCATCGCCCTCGGCACAGTCTTCAACCACGCCGCCTCTCTCGCCGTCCTCGGCCCCGTCTTCGGCGACACCTACCACCGCGCACAAGCCGCAAACTCCAAAGAGGAGTTCATCAAGTCCAAGGAGGCCGCCTCTGCCGCCGCCGCATGGGGAACTTCCGTCGTGGGCTCGGCGCTGCAGACGTATGGTGTTGGTGCGCTCATCAATGCTACGGGTACGCTGAGCTATAAGGGGGCGGCGTATTTGGGGAGTTTGATTTTCTTTGCTAGTTCGGCGCCTTCGGTATGTTGTTCTTGCTGTTGTGGCATCACTTCTTCTTTCTTTCCCTTGGGGGAGAGGGAAGGTGATGGCGGTTGGGGATGAAAGCTAATGGAAAATAGTTCATCGCGCAGGTCTTCACTGAGAAGAGGCCGCTCGACACCGTCGCCGTTGGCGTCGTCGCCCGCGTCTTCGAGACTGTTGGTCTCTCGCTGTTCCTTACCTGGTGGGGCACCCGCACGAACCCCTTCGATTAGAGGGTTCGTTGCTTTAATGTGAAAGGGAAGAGGATGGGGGATTTTTTGTAGATGATTAGTGTGGAGGTGGTGTATTATAACAATGAGATTTTGAACTCGGGATTATAAAACATTTTTAAAAGTATCTTTGATGATGTGTCATTGCTGTGAGGGAGGTTGATACCTATGTCATGGTCTGACTGGTGTGCAATGTACTGCAATTGTAAAAATAATAATTAGTAAAGTGATAATTCCAATCCATGTTAAATTCTATAATCCAAGGGTATCTTCCGCACGTGTTGAAACGCCGCACCCCAATCTTTAAGCATGCTATTTACCCTACTGTCTAATCCACCCATTTTCCCTTATTTAACCCTCCCCGCGCAAGACCACCACGCCCTACGCCTTCTCCTCCCCCCTCTCCTCCTCCCTCCTCCTCTGCTCCTCCTCCAACACCTCCCTCTCCCTCTGCGCCTTCTCCCCAACAGCCTTCTCCCCCTTCGCCCTCTGCCTCGCCTCATACCTCTCCCTACTCCTCATAATCCTCTCCACAATCTCCCCCGCATTAACATGCTGAAACACATGCTCCCCAATCTCCCTATACACCCCCATCTCCTTCGCCGCCGCGTACGGATCATACGTCAGCGGCATAAAGCTCGTCGGGCCGTGGTACACCGCGTCCGGCGTGCCCCAGGGCATGGAGCTCAAGTACGCTGACGAGGGGGTGAAGGGCGCGCCGAAGACGACGGCGGAGACGTACTTGCATTGCAGCACGCAGAGGCCGCGCTCGTAGATGTTCATGATGGGGTAGTTGACTCCCTTCCACCGATTAATCGTCTCATCATCATGAACCCCGGCAACCACAAACGCGGGTCCATAATCGGCCCCCCTCCCCGTCCGCTCACCCGTAGCTTCCTCGCTATACCACCCTTCCTCGCGCCCAAGCGCTTCCTCGGCCTCAATCACACGGCGCAGGAACTCAATGTGGCCAGATGAGAAGAGATCAAAGCCCCCGTCGACGTAGACCACGCGCTGGCCCGGCTGCGGTTTGAGCCCGGCGCAGAGAGAGTTGAATGTGCCCTTTTCTTCGGCGGTGTTGTCCTCGCGCGCGCTGGCGGAGGCGGACCAGAACCACACGTCTGCGCCGGGATTGAGGCCCGTGGCGTCGGTAGCGTAGAGGCGCATGCGCGCCGCCATTGCCTTTCCCTCCTCCACCCTCTCCGCCTCGCTTCCCGATCCCTCCTTCCCCTCCAACAAGTTCGTGAGTGATTTAATAAAATGCGTGCGCGTGCACAGGAGCATCCTGCCCACCAAATCCGTCGTCGAGATACTCGGCGTGCGCTTCACGACTTTGAATCGCCCCGCCGCTTTGACGAAGCGGTAACAGTCCTCCCCGGCACTGTCGGAGGTGATGTCGTCCCCGTGAACGACATACTTGCATCCGTAGTGCGAGATCCAGGGGAGAGAGGTGACGTAGGGCGCGTAGGCGACGGAGGCGGTGACCCAGCGGCAGGCGTCGACGGCGGCGATGCGTTCCTGGAGTGTCATGACTGTTGGGCCTTTGTTCTCGAGGATTGCTTCGTCGGAGTGGATGCCTACTACGAGTTCGGTGCCGAGTTGGCGCGCTTGGAGCATTGCGCCGGCGTGGCCTGGGCGGTGTGAGAGAGCTGGATTGGGATGGGATGGGGGACAGAGGGGCTACTACTGACCATGGTGGAAGAAGTCCCAGCACCCGTCGACCCAGATCCTCCCATCGAGGATCTCGGGGGCGGCGTCGCCGGGGGGGGATTGAGGTTCTGAGGCTCGGCTCATGGTTGGGGAGTTGTGGGATGGGAGGTTGGTGGTGGTGGTGGTGGTGGGATGTTAGGGGGTTGTTTATTTACTGATAGTGGGATGGATTGAGGAGGGGTAATCGGTGTGGAGTGGGATATCGCTCAGCCTTGCAGGTCGTGCAGTACAGCGTATAACCGAGAGCAGGTACAGTGGTGTAAGGTGGCCATTTCAGCGGCCGTTAGAGCAAGGGCTTCCTTCCTCGGAACGGTAGGACGTATTGCCCGTACATATTCTTTATTTAATTAGGGAGAGATTGTCAAGATAATTGTATACTCTACTCATAGAGCTGTATAAGGCAGACGTCTAATGTGGCTTCTCAATAATCCATTATACCAATATTTCGATTTTCTGATAGGCTGTGATAGCAAGGGGTAACGGTACAATCCCCAGCCAGTCAGCACCTATCAATGGGAAATTGATATTAGCTTCGACCACAGCCCAGCGGTGAAGTTATTAGCAGCGACGCCATCGAAGCATGTCATAGGTTCGTGCCTGGGCCCCCCAGATCCCTTCGTCCTGGTATCCGAGAGCTGTTGGCGCTTCGGTGTTACAACGTTACTCAACTACGCCCTGGTACCTGACACTCTCGAAGCCTCAGATACACATAATGTACGGAGTAGGCAGGGACAAGCAAGGGAAGGCATAATGATCCCTGACACGATTATGTCCCTATCACATACATATCACACCTTATGTATACCTTAAGGTCTTATGCAGACCAATGCCTCCCTCCCACATTGCAAAATCATAGTACACAGCGAAAAAAGACCTCCGGTCGCAATGTGCTATGCAATATACAAAACGTGCTCTACGACACTTCCACTTCTATGATTGCGATATTCTGGCGGGGCACAGAAAAGCAGCTGGTCCAAAAGAAGAAGAGGGCCGATCACCACCACCACCCCACCCCCCTGGCAACGGCAAAAGACTGGCGGTGATTGGGTTAGACAAACAACCACCAGCACCACCGCGGTCTAGGCACAGACCAAAATGGAGCGATCCCTAGAGGCATTCTTCCCTGATGAAGCCAGCGGCGGCATTTTCTCCAGGACGGGCGCCATATTCGGAGGAGGGAACAAGACGCCAACATCCACGCGACCCAGCACCAGCAGCAGCGGTTCCCGGCGAACAATCAACGCCTCGCAGTCATCGACGGGCTCGACCACCACCACCGCCTCGACGGCCAGCAGCTCCGGCGGCCTCTCGCGCAAACCCTCGTTTTCGCGACTCACGAGATCGCCTCCCAAGCCGCCGCCGACGACTGTAGCGTCGCGCTCCTTGTCCTTCAGCTCCGCGTTCGTCGTACCGAGCTTCGTCACCGCGGATTCGAGTCGAGAGATACCTCCTGTCCCTGTTAGGACCGCCAACGGCCGCAAGGCTTCGATCGCTTCGCTTCAATTGAGGGGTGATAAGGGCCGCGGCATTGGGGAAGGAGCTGGCGTCGCTGCGTCGGAGAGAGAGTCGTGGTCGTCCACCGCGGCGTATAGCAAGATGATTACGGTGCCGTTCAGTCAGGGAGGGGAGATCAAGCAGAGGTCTGGGAGCGCGGCGGGCGCCAATGGCATGGCTCCTCTGTCTGCGACTATTTCGAATACGCCGGCTAGTCCGTCGCTGGAAAATATTACATATCAGCATATACAGGATGTGGCATCGAAGAGAATATCTACGCTGAATTATTTGAAGAAAGCGTAAGATTGCCCTGAAACTGGAATGAAGAGGATATATGCTAACACTATGTAGTCATGAGGGGAGGGTATACTGGTTCAATACTTTATTATTCAACAAGACCGATCTGGCCCGGATGCCATATTTGGACCAGAAGAAGCTCGCCAGACGAGCAACAAACTATCTACTTTTGGGCGTGTCACTGCCTTCAGTCCTCGACCTCAATTCTACCAATGCCGTCGATTTCCTCAAAACTCTCAACGCGCTGCTCGCAGAATTCGAATCCTACCAACTAGCACACCCCCCAGATGGCTCCTCCGGATCCCTCTCACGAGGGCGGCTACCGCAGATGTTCAAGCGTGCCGCGAGCTCGACGAACTCCAAGGGCAGGCGGACAAGCTCAGCTGCAGATATCGGCTTGCCAATGGGCAGCGAGTCGGACTTGAAGTCGATCTCTGGTGGCATGTCCACCACCGGTATCGTCGCTGCATCGTTTCCCGCGAGCGAAAACGATTTGCTTCCTGGCGAAGAGTACAATTTACTTATTACGCCCTCGCTACCTTTCGAGCCGGACTTCTACGAGACATTCGCAACTCTATGTGATGTCTTGATGGACACCTATACGAGACTTATGAGCTTGTTAGCTTCGCCGAAGGACTGTAATACGCTTATAGCCGACATGTTCTCAAAGGCCGATGGAAGGGTCAGGAAGATCATTGTCCAGGGCGTGGTGAAGGAGTTTGAGGACAGCTGCAGGGTTGGCGCGAAGAGCGAGGTTGCGAGCATTGGGAAGGTCGTTTTGGGAGGGCTGATGTGACGCATATCAACAACTATCTATCTATTGGGATACTAGGCGTACTGGGCGCATCTCATCGATTTAGGGTCGTGAGAAGGAGCATTGGCATGAAGGGTTTTCATGACGGAGTTGCAAGTGTGTTTTAAAATAAGGGTCTTGGAGGAGGTATTTTTTTGGGTTAATTTTGTTTAATTATGTATCGTGGGCACAAGCATTTCATACAAAAAGATATGCTTGAAATATTGCTCTCTAAAAAAGTAATCTAGAGCAAAAGAACGTCCCAAGACAAGAGTTTTTATCAGATACCATAACGCATTTTGTGTCAACATCGGAAGTCCCGCTTTTTACACGGTCTCCCTCAGTGCTTGACTCTATTTGGTAATCATCATATAAAACCCCTCTCCTCAAGAGAATCCGGCTCCTTTGACAGAGCATCTGAGCCGTTCCAAACCGCATCCCGCCAGGCATAGGCACTGCCCATAACAGGCAGGAGGCCCAGAGTGTTGCGCCTGGCGGTTCAGCAGTGTGATCCAACTCCGCTTTCCATAAGCTACAGATCCAAAAGATAGTGTGAACTCCTCGTCTCAAGAATAAGCCCCATCGAGTTACCCCCCTCGACCAACTGTGAAGCTGGCAAGAAGAGCAATCGCATAACTATCACTCTCGACGAAAGCCTCCCCCCTCCCATAAACCCCAACCCAGACCGAAGACACTTCCCCGCCTCCCCGCGATCATTGCAAATGCTCTACCACAACTGAGGTTAGGAGAGCTCGGACTCATATCTTCATCCATAAGGTCTCCCCCTCCCCCCGAAGCAGCAATCAAAAGCGCCGAAAGCGAGTACAAGCAGCGAACAAGGTCGATCTGAAGAAAGGTAAGAGGAGAAAAAAAGAAGCCGCAGTATGCTTCTATGGCGGCGCGTTTCCGCGTTCCTTTTTTCCACAACGAGTTGTAGAAAAAGGTCGTCCGGGGACTTTCTCCCAAAGCATTGACTAGCCCATGACAGGCTGAGAGACAACAATAAATGTGTCTGCTCCGTTTGTGTGCTTCGACTGCGATCCTTTGAACGAGGAGTTGCAGAAGGGAAGACGGTTGGTGGGAGGGAAAGTTTATTTTTTTGTAGTCTGCGGGTTCGCGCTAGTGCGGGAGTTTTGGCCCCAGGCAGGCAGGCAGTAGTGGCTTTTAGCGAGGCGCGTTGTTGGTAAAGTGCTATCGAGAGATACTGCTGCTGCCTTTTTTTGAGACAAGCTCTCTCGCCGCCGTGACGTAGAGGAAACAAACAGCTTACAGTTTTCACGAACCGCAGGTGAATTTCTTCGACTCTTGACCTGATCGAAGTTACCACGTAAGACGACGCCTTCGAAGAGCCAGACAGGCAAGCTCAAGCTAGCTTCACGAAGGCGCACCGCGAGCAGCACAAAATGGCAGGATTATTCGGATCGGGGTCCGCGACCGCAGCGAATACGCTGGGCGATCTGTCGAAGGATATTCAGCTGAACAACGGACCGGAGGACAGCATCTCGCACATCTCGTTCTCCCCGCAATCCGACCATTTGGCTGTGGCGTCGTGGGACAAGAAGGTCCGCATCTATGAGGTCAACGCGCAGGGAGGCGAGGGAAAGGCTCTGTTTGAGCATGAGGGCCCGGTGCTGAGCTGCGACTGGTCGAAGGTATGTGGTTATTGTGAATTGTGGTATAGGCACAAGCTAATCTTTCTGGCAGGATGGTACGAAAGTTTGCGGTGGTGGAGCGGACAAGGCTGCTCGTATGCTTGACTTGGGATCGGGAGGGACTACCGCCACACAGGTTGCTGTTCACGATGCGCCTATCAGGTGTGTGAGGTTCTTTGATGCGCCGGGCTCGGCGGCTCCTATGCTGGTGACGGGTTCGTGGGATAAGACGGTCAAATACTGGGATCTGCGAACGGCGAATGCGGTTGCCACCATCAACTGCCAGGAGAGAGTGTATACGATGGATGTGAAGGACAACCTGCTCGTTATTGGCACTGCAGACCGTTATATCAACGTCGTCAACCTCACCAAGCCGACGGAGTTCTACAAGACGCTGCAGAGTCCGCTCAAGTGGCAGACAAGAGTTGTGGCATGCTTCAAGGATGCCCAGGGCTTTGGAGTTGGCAGTATCGAGGGCAGATGTGCTATGCAATATGTCGAGGAGAAGGATGCAAGGTCCGTTACAATCTCCACCCTATTTTTGCCCCCCTCTAACAAATTTATAGCCTCAACTTCTCGTTCAAGTGCCACCGCGACCCACCACAGGGAAACATGACCAACGTATACGCCGTCAACGCCATCTCATTCCACCCCATCCACGGCACCTTCAGCACAGCTGGCTCCGACGGCACATTCCACTTCTGGGACAAGGACGCCAAGCACCGTCTCAAGGGTTACCCCACCACCGGAGGCTCCATCACCACCACCGGCTTCAACCACACCGGCACTGTCTTTGCCTACGCCGTCAGCTACGACTGGAGCAAGGGCTACTCGCAGAACACCCCGCAGTACCCCAACAAGGTCATGATGCACCAGATCGTCAACGACGAATGCAAGCCCCGGCCGACCATCAAGAAGAGGTAAATGCTCATAACACGCGACGGAGAGACAGAAGCGTATTTTTCTGGAGATAGATGAAGAGGCAAGAGCTAATGGAGGACAAAGTAACCGCAGATAAGGATGAAAACATGATGGGAGGATTTGGGTGGGGGGATGGATGGGTGATTCGTGTGTTGTTAAGGGGTACGAGTAGGCGTTCTGGAGAGGGAAATTAGGGTTTAGTTTTGAGCGGCAGATACCAGCATGGAATGGGAAAGATTATTTAGTAGATTCGCTGACCTGCGGTGCTTGTGGACTGTATATATAAGAATATGGCGTTTGTATGTGAGACTGGTGACAGTTGTGACCAATGAAAACCTGCATCCCGTAGGAAGTCTGGGCTGCAAGGAATATAGAGCTTCAACCCAGGGTCCGAAGCAGTACCTTGCATGATATTAGGGTATGTGACGACACTATGCCGTGCTGCATTTATTATGCTATACATATCTTGAGTACTTCAAAGTTCAATATTATCTTTGTCCTCCTCTCTCCGTGCCAAGTCCTTGGAAACTCACCATTTCACCTCCCCCAAGATCGTACCTCGGCGAGTGAACATCACCCACACACACCAGAGCGCAAGGGCATATTTATTACCCCAGATACTTGACGTAACACACCATGGATTGGCTCACGTTATTATAATGTCCGATCGCTTAACAGTCGGCACACATGGTATGCAACCTGTTTCGTCCAGGCCGGTCGGGAATAATTAAGGTATTTTAGTTTGTGTTAGCTCCACGCATTCAAGACTAACCAACTCGACGGCGTCACCTTTTCTCACTCGTACAAACCTACCTTTACCCTGCTGCCCACATCACAATTTAATTTTAACAGCCTTACAAATACACATCCACCCCGGCCTCTGGGTCTCCAAAACCACCACTGCTACAACCTTTCCAAAGCCCTCCTTCTCAACTACAATCCCGTCTCCAAAAAATCTTGGCAACCAACGTCACAAAGCCCCCCCCATCATGGCTGCTCAACGTCTGTTGAACATGGTCCAAAACGCCCCAAACCAGTCGTAGAACTCGGCCCCTTCTACAGCAGCGGCCTGCTGCACGCCGCAACCCGAGCCCTGCGGACACTGTTGTAGGGGGTTATTGAACCTAGATACGAGAGATCTAGAGTGGACGAAAAGATGTCGGACGGAAAGAACGGCATGAACATGGTTGCGCGTCGGAGCACGCGAGTCTTTGAGAATGATATCGACGTAAGGCAGATCGAGGACTCCGTGCCGGACGCAAGCGTTTGCTATATTAGGAAGGGAGATGAGAAGTCTCAGGAGAGAGACAGCACCAGGCTCACCGAGATGCTGGTACACACGCGCACGTCCTCTATGTCCAGCTTGGCGGCGCCGGTGGACGGTGAAATCATCACTACTTTTCAAAGAGTGTCAAGGAGTGACTCTGAAGAAGGTTAGTTATTACCTGTCAGACTTAAATGTATCCCTGATCAGGAAAAGCTGACATATTTCCCCAGCTTTCGGCGTCGTGAAGGGCGAGGTTGTGGAGAATCCCAAGATGTACGGTCGCCCTCGCAATTTTGGAACCATTCTCCCCGGAATTTACAGGAGTGGCTACCCGGAAGCGGAAGACTATGACTTCTTGAGGGATTTAAGCTTGAGAACTATCGTGTGAGTGCCACTGTCCAACTGTTTCTGGACGGATCTGACGGGAACTTTAGCACTTTGGTGGATAAAGATTACCCAGAAGGTTACCAGACATTTATGCAGTCAAGTGGAATCAACCATGTGGTCATCAAGATGGAAGGCACCAAGAAAGTCGATATTCCTCAGTCTGTTATGAATTCTATTCTGGAAGTCGTCATGGACCGCCAGAATCACCCGCTTCTTCTCCACTGCAACCAAGGCAGGGTAAGCCATCCTTTGCTCAACATATACGAGGAGGCAGTATATTAACGTATCCTCAGCATCGAACTGGCTGTGCAGTTGCAGTTATCCGCAAAGTCCTGGGTTGGTCGGTTGAATCCACGGTCAGCGAGTACACTTCGTACGCCCACCCAAAAGTTCGTCAAGTTGACGTAAACTACATTCGTCAATTCGAGATTGCAAGCTTGGTCGGGATTATCGATCCAAAAACCACCAGGACCGCCAGCTTCAGCAAGCCTCGACCCATCTCCCGTTCGCATAAAACGTTCCGGTTCGCGGCCTTCACGATCTTCGTCTTTATCCTCTGTACTTTGACAGTCTTCAGATATCGCATAGCATGATTCTAGAGCAAGGGCATAGAGTACAGCAGCATTTGCTAGGAGTGTAACAAAAGATATGACTTCGGGTTGGGAAGCTTCATAGGGGGGACTGGTAATGCAGAGCGCAAAGGCCAGGTTATTGTTTACGGGCGTTTTGAGGGTATTTTAGTCAATACAGTCATACATGAACTTTGTATTTGAATACTGTAAAATAAGACATTTTTAACAGCCCAACCCTCGTATGGCCCAGACAATTCGATGACTCCCATTATCTGCTTCATATCTGTGACTCTGATGGTTTGATTGCTAGAACCACGCTATTGTTTGATATCGTCATACACCTATAATACATATATACAAGTGCTGGTGCCTCTATTCCTCCTCCTTTGCATCCCGACCTAACGCATAAGTTACTCCGCAGGCAGCTAGATTGACTGCTGCCATTCCCATGGCGCTCCCCCTAACAAGGCCCCTTGCTCCGAATCGAGAGATAAACCTGGCTGACTTCCTCCTGTTGGCGAGCACGAGATAAAGCCCAGACCATGCAGCAGTGATACCGGCCGCATCTTTGGCGTAATCATTGAGATTCAGGTAGGTGGAGAAAAGTAGAACTGCAGGTACAGTCATAGGCAGCGCCTGAAATGGCCGAGCATGGACAGCTGTGACGAGCGTAGCTAGGCCCATTGGAGGCAGAGGGGAGTCTGTGTTTATTTTAGCATCACATTCATCATCAAGGAGTTTGCCTCTCAGGTGATTCAAATTACTCACTGCCCCATGCTTTGGCAAATTGCCATGCACCTTTCTTGGCACCCGATACTTCGCTATCCTTAACAGACATTATGTCGTGTGCGCTTTTTTATATATGGGCAAAAGTCATTGTCAGCCTCATCCGTCATTGAAATAGATCGTCACGTGCATTATCAACGCCCCTGCATATTTAGCGCCAAAGTCAACAAATCGATGCCCAGGCTTACAAAAGACCACCTATATACGGAGATCGTAGAAATCCGAATCCCGCGAATTCCTTCAGATCGCCCTCTCGGAAGCAGATATATCGACAGCTCGTTCCCGCCAGTGCCGCACCGAGCAAAGTTTTGCGCGAAAGGCGGACATGTCCGCTAAAGCTACAGCCTCCGGGGCAGACAAGGGCAGTGGAGCGAAGTCGCGGGACCACAACCAGGGGAACCAGGACAGGAAATGCACGGTTGAGCAGAAGGCGGCGGTGATCCGGGTGCGCAGATGCTCGCCCACGTCGTTCTACGAAATCTTGGACCTGGAGAGCGTCAAGACGACTGTTACGGAGAGTGAGATTAAGAAGGCATATAGGAAGCTGAGCTTGCTCACGCATCCGGATAAGAATGGACATGAGCATGCGGATGAGGCTTTCAAGATGGTTAGTCGGGCGTTCGGTGTCTTGGGCGATAAGGAGAAGAGAGACAAGTTCGATCGCTTCGGAGGAGACCCGGATAGCAGATTTGGTGGCGGCAGCAGTGCGCCACAGTCGAATCCATTCAGTGGCTTTGGAGGGAGGGCGCCCTCTGGAGGTGGCCCAGGCGCTGCGAGAGGCGGTTGGGACGATGAAATAAGTCCGGAGGAAATGTTTAATAGATTCTTCGGAGGTGGCATGGGAGGTGGCTTTGGTGGTGGTGGCTTTGGAGGTACTGGTTGCGAACCCAACGTACATACTGAAGCAGTTTGCTAACTATTCTAGGCGGAGGCATGTTCGATACAGGCCCTCAATTCGTTTTTAATTTGGGAGGAGGCCCTGGTATACGCGTACACCAATTTGGCGGGGGAAGACCACGAAGGAGACCACGAGAAGCTGGCGCTGCAGATACCCCCGAACAAACTTTACGATCCACCATCGCCGGTCTACTACCTATACTGATACTGTTTATTGTCCCACTGCTCAGTTCGTTATTCTCTGGGGGCGAGAGCGTGCCCGCCGGACCACAATTCCGCTTTACCAAGGCCGACCCGCCATATACGTTACACCGCGAAAGTAAGAACCTTCATGTCGACTATTTCGTCAATCCGTTGGAGGTGGCAGACTTTACGAACAAGAAATTCTCGCAGCTGGATCAAAGGGCGGAACAAACTTATACGAAGGCTCTGAGGATAGAGTGTGAGCACGAGGTCGACAGGAGGCAACGAGTTGTGAATGAGGCACAGGGTTGGCTCTTCCAGGATCCTGATAAGATGAAGCAGGCTCGGGGGATGGAGATGAAGGCATGTAGGAAATTAGAAGCGATGGGACAAGTACCTAAAGGGTCCTTTTAATTAGTGCTGTTTTTGTTGCAAAGCGCGGCGTTCCGGATATGGGCGGAAGGACCTTTTACATATCATCATGTTGTTTATAGAGAATAAGTAAGGTCTATTGGATTATTGTACAGTATGGACGTAAAAAAGCTCTCTGGAATGATAAGTGTCTGAAGAGTAAGACCTTATTAAAGAGTATCAAATACCCTTTCAGGTACAGTTTCAAAGATCGCCCCTTCAGCATTTGGCTGAGTAAATACCCCGCGCTCACTCCTTGTACTGCACATACCATCTCACATTTGAAGTGTCCAGAAGATTCCCTTGCCTTAGGCGCTTCGTCAGCAACGGTGTGTTTTGATAGATTAAGCTAGAGGCGACAACCAAAACTTATCCAAACCGCGCAATGACATCGGCAAACCGGGGTCTAGGCTGATAGTAAGGCTCCGCCAAACACAAGTACCACGACGACCTTTAACCCCCACCAATACTCTACTTCGTTATTATTACGAAAGCACAGAGTAAAGATGGATAACAATGGGCCCCCGCAACCGGGACCTCCGAATAACCCTGATGCCCCTGACAAGGAGGCTATGGACCAGGTCCGTAAGCTCCAATCTCAACAGAATCACCTCACTGACGGCTTATCGTAGATTCGACGACGACGACTCGAGAAGCTAGGAGGGTCAACGACTCCAGATAGAAACGCCTCCCCGGGAGCTGGGCCCTCACGATCAAACTCGCAGTCAGCTACAGACACACCTACACAACCGCAAGTCCTGGCGCCCAGGGCCGCGAAGCCACCGATGGCCACGCCACCACCACCTAGCTCCCAGAGCCCGCTCGACAAATCGAAAGATAAGCCAGCTAGCTCAAGCTCATCTACAACTATTAGGATAGCTCCTGCAGATGCGGCGGGGAAGAGACCGCGGGAAGCATCGGGGGGATTATCAGGCCCGCCGACTCGCAAAGCGACGCCTCAAGCAACAGATGAATCGCCCCAGGACTTTGAGAACAGGGCGCTCAGTACCATATTTCGCGTCACGCTGGAAGGAGAGAACAAAACAGATTCATCGGGCCACAAGCTCACATACCTCCCAGATGTAAGGCAAGAGCTGCAGGATAGCGGAGAGCATGTCGGATTATCCCTCGGTGCACTCGATTCCATATTGATGGAAGTATGCCTGAAGATTCCCCACACCAAGCCCATACTGGAATACTTGCTTCCGTGCTGGAAACGAATTATGAGGTCGAACAGGAGCTTGAGAGGACCAGCTCAGCAAAAAGATGCGATACTGAAAGAAGCTAAGCGGTTGTGCATGAGTAGCTGCATCTTTGCACTGACCATGCCAGAGCTATACGGGCGTGATGAGACGTCATACAAGGACTCCTTAACACCTCACTTTTTGTTGGATCCTGAAGATGATAGAGGCTTGTGCCCCGAGTTCTTGGCTGAAGCTGTTTCCCGGGTCGATGAAGATGAGTCCGTTACACCAATGTTTACAAGTGCTGTCATCAACCTCAGCACTCAGCTGTCGCGAATGACAATGAACGATAACTACAAACCATATGTGCAGGCTCTCAAGAACTTGACTCGTTTCCCAGTTATCACAACTGCAGTTGCAGAAGACCCCGTGTTTCTCATGGCCACCTCCGCACATGGCATAGAACAGCATACTATTCTCGGCCCCTTCTTTCGGATATCGGTTTTGCAGACGGAAGTCACCAAGTCTTACTTTGCATCACCCAAGACCATGGATAAATCCCTCGTTGTTACCTCGCAAAGTGCCCTGCGAATGACGCTTAACAACCACCAGAAAGACCTCTTAGACATAATAAACCAGTTCGTGCGCGCAAGTACGTCTTCGCGGAATCGAACTTTAGACTGGTTTGCTTGGATTGTTAATGCCAACCACAAGCGCAGAGCTATCAGGGTTGATGAGAGGCAGGTCTCATCTGATGGTTTCATGATGAATGTCACTGTGGTATTAGACGGTCTTTGCGAGCCGTTCATGGACTCAACATTTTCCAAGGTGTCCAAGATTGATCCAGACTATTTCAGGCGCAGTCCAAGAATTGATATCAAGGACGAGACGAAGCTCAACTCTGACCAAAAGACATCTGATAAGTTCTACGAGGAGAAGCTAGAAGGAACACCGAACTTCATCACAGAAGTCTTTTTCTTGACAGTGGCTGCTCATCATTACGGCAGTGAAGCCGCCAATAGCAAGCTGAAATCCTTGGACAGGGATATCTCGAGTCTCCAAAAGCAACTAGCAATATATGAGCAAGAGCGCCCGAGATTCTTATCTGTAAGTCTTGAAGTTATATGTTCGAGATAAGTTACTGATGAACAATCAGGACCCCAGGCAGCTTGCTATGATCGAACTAAACGTGAAGAGGTATAATGATATTCTAGAAAAATCGATGCGACTGAGGCATGCGATCGAGGGTGTTCTATTCGACGATGTGATGCAGGCTCGGTCCTTGCAATTTATGAGATACCTTATTGTGTTTATGCTGCGAACTGCTTCAGGCTCCGACTATGTTCCGGGGAAACCATTCTCGTATGTGCTTTGTATGGACTATGGACCACTCGGAATAAACTGACAAATTTCAGATTGCCATTGCCAGAGACCCAACCCGAAGTCTTCAAGAACTATCCGGAGTACATGCTTGATGATATTGTCAGCAACTTTGAGTTCATTTTCAAGTAGGTTGAACACTTTTCCAACATAATCCTAGTTGTGGCGAGCTAACATCGACCACAGCTATCTCTCACAAGTCATTATCTCCACGCAAACAGACGAGATTATTGTGCTCTGTATCAGCTTTCTTCGCAATTCTGAGTACATTAAGAACCCGTCACTTAAATCGGGATTGGTATCGTTGCTTTATCACGGCACAATCCCCGTGTATCACCGACAAAAGGGTGTTCTTGGAGATGCTTTGACGACGGATAAATTTGCGAATGACAATTTATTGCATGCTCTCATCAAGTTCTACATCGAGTCCGAGTTTTCAGGGGCTGCTAACGCATTTTACAACAAATTCAGCATTCGATATGAGATTTTCCAGATCTTCAAATGCATTTGGAGCAACAGTGTATACCGAGAGCGCCTCACGCAAGAAAGCAAGGTCAACACCGAATTCTTCGTTCGCTACGTCAATCTCCTTATTTACGATGCGACGTACCTCCTGGACGAGTGTTTGACCAAGTTCCCCAAGATCCATGATTTGCAGGTTGCTTTGAGTCCTAATGCGGTAGCGTCGTTGTCCGAAGAAGATCGCAAGGCCAAATCAGAGGAATTAAGTCAACTTGAAGGGCAAGCAAAATCATACATGCAGCTGGCAAATGAGACAATCTCCATGATGAAGCTTTTCACTGGCACTTTGAGCGACGCCTTTGCGATGCCTGAAATCGTTCAGCGCTTGGCTGATATGCTGGATTATAACCTGGATACGCTCGTGGGGCCGAAATCTGCCAATCTTAAGGTGGAAGACCCATCAAAGTATTTCTTTACCCCGAAGTCGCTTCTTGCAGAGTTCATCGATATCTACCTGAACCTAAGCCACCAGAAGCGTTTCGTCGAGGCTGTGGCCAGAGATGACCGGTCCTACAAGCCAGCAAACTTTGACAGCGCAACAAGGATTCTAGAGCGGTGGTCTCTGAAATCAAAGGGAGAGCTAGCTGCGTGGATCAAGCTAATCGCCAAATTCAAGGCTGCGAAGGAAATTGAAGATAAGGCCGATGTGGATCTTGGGGAGATTCCCGATGAGTTCTTGGATCCACTGATGGCCACGTTGATGGAAGAACCGGTCATCTTGCCCATTAGCAGAATGACTGTAAATATGAGCACTGTTCGAAGTCTCATGCTGAGTGATGGAATCGATCCATTCAACAGGCAGCCGATTAATATCGATGATGTAGCGCCTGACGAGGATATGAAGGAGAAAATTAAGCTATTTAAGGAGGAGCGAAGGGCGGCGGCGAAGCAGCAAACAATTGAGGACGTTATGGATAAGGACGTTATGGATACATCGGAACCGTAGGTTATGGATCTGGGAACGATGGGTCAGGGGCGCACATAGAGGAGTAAAAGAGGTTTGTTGATTAAGAGCTATCGAGGAATATCAACCTCCCAATAGCACGAAGACCAGCATATAGGAATTAGACTCCCATCACAACATCAAATATATACAATAATCCTCCCATTCAAACGCATGCTTAACTCCCATGCGCCATCGTATCGAAACAAACTGACCCCCGGGATATCATCTTCGCACTCTAACCTACAAACGCTGCCAGCAGAATGATGGTGAGAATAACTGCTAAAATCAACAGAAGCATGCACATCTTCGACCGTGCGTTCTTCTGATACCTCGCTGCGCTCCTGAGCTCTAAATCAGCCCCTCTTGTATCGCTCCTCGTATTCTCCACATTGGCAGCAATCGTATCAAGTTGCTCGCCCTGCTCGCCGACAATATGTGCCACATCTCTGAAGAGTTCATTCAGTTCGCTTACACCCTGCTCGATATTCCTGATCTCCGCCTCACGCTCCACGATCAGCGAATCCTGGAAGTCAACTTCATCCTGCGATGCGAGCCGTAGCTGCTCCTGAGATTGCTGTTGCTGCTGTCCAAAGCTAGGGCTACCTCCTTCGGCGGACGGGGAGGTTGCTTCCTCGAGTGCTGCGCGTGCTGCGGCGGCTGTTGTACGTTCCTTCTCGAGGGCTCGGCGCTGGACGTTTTGGAACTCGGTGAGGGTGGCTTGGAACTCGCGGGAGAGCTTCTGTTGGGTGTATTTTTGCGACGGCTGTGTAGAATTAGTAAATATACTTGCTGATGGTTGAATTTGAGGCAATATCATACGCTGACGTCCTCCCAGGACTGAATCCTCTTGACACCCTCTCCAATGTTCTTGAAGTCTTCCGTAGTCTCCTCCAATAGATCGTGTACTCGTTCCCGTACTCGTTCGGTGTCCCTCTTTGTGCCTAGTAAGGCAACTTGATTCGAAAGTCGAGAGATGTTGCCGGTGAGTGTGAAGAGCTTGTTCATCAGGTCCTGCGACAACTTGGAGAACTCGGGATCGTCGGTATAGGCATCACCGGAGCGCATGGTTGTTGGCTGCGACTCCAGCGATGATAGCTGATCAAACGACATATTTGCTGCTCAGACAGTTGCGATTTATGTGGTAGAAAGGTACAGTAGTTGAGTCGTTTTCTAGATGCTGTGAAGCCTTGATGTGTATGAGCGAAGCACCGTCAGGTCGTCATCGCCATGACCTTGATGGCGATAACAGGCGGCCGCCAAGCTATAGCGTTGCAGGAATAGGTCCCGTGGCTGGAACATCCCGGTCTCCAAGCGGCCGCATTAATCCGTCGCGAACCAACTATTTGTTTAGAGCTTCCATATCAACACAGCAACCCAAATGCAAGGCACACACCAGTTTTAATATCTGCCACTTATTTGGTGACGGCGCGTTCACATCGACTATGGCAGCGACAGCTAGGATTCGTCCGTATAAGGTATGTTAAATGGGCGCATATTCCCAACGTAAATCCCAAGCTAACTCTGCTCTGTAGGACTTTCTTACGCCCGCCCTCCATAGACGCTTCACCAGAGCAGCTGCCACATTACTGGCAGTATGCTACGCAGAATCACTCCTTCTGGGCGAATGGAACTCATGTTAGTATATACTACTTCGAACCCAAGAATTATACCTAATTATACCTAGTTCTATGGTCCTGGTTCCCTCTCGGACGAGCTGGTTTCCGAACAGGACTTCTTTTCATCAGCGCATTCTCCATCTTCGTCTTACGAGTCGCACAGCTACACGTTGGCCAAAGGACATCAAACTCAGGAATAGCGACATTTAGAGAATACGCTTTCAGGTACCAGACCATACAGACGACGGGATGGTACCTATTCTCGGCCTGGATCTTCAGCGAAGTATTCATTTACTCCGCACCGAGAAGCGCCAGCATCGTGTGGATCACCGAGGGGAAAAACAATGAACGGTCGCGGCTGAATGAAAGGCCAATATATATTATGGCCTTCTTCCTCGTTCTCGCCGTTGTGCAATCCGCAATCCACCTTGCATACGATTACGATCGCGTGGACTTGCCTGCTATAAAGACTGCAAAGAAAGACAATGCAGCTAAGCCGGAACAGGGCTCGACCGAATCCGTTGCCCCATCCACGAAGATTCGAGATTCGTTGCCGGGAATAGTGGCCAAGTCCTTCGGTCGTGTCCTAATTATGACGATTCTGATGCCGTTCGTATACTCAATATTTATCAGGCACACCGCTTGGAAATACACCCTTGGCTTCGCAAAGATTTTCTGGAATCTACCAAAGACAACGTCCCTTCCAACTGTCAGCCCTTTCCACTGGACAGTCTTGGGAAGGACATTATATGGCGGAGTGCTGCTTGTACTGCTGTGGGAGATAGGAAACAGGGTGTTTTCAACCTATGTGGCTGAGGGTCCGCTCAAGAATGAGAGGCCTATCACATACGAGTCAAAAGATCCTAATGGAAGTCTCCTGACTGGCCTAAAGGGAAAGAAGCTGCAAACCAGGGTAGGTTATAGGCTAGTTTCTATTTTAAGGTGATGTGCTAACACATAACTAGGCATTTGCATTCTGGGAGCTCGTATTAATCGCCGAGCGTTATCAAGGACGAAGAAAGGTCATATTTGAAGATATCGACCGAAAAGGGGGATCGACATGGTCACAGATACTGACAGCATGTACCGAGACCATAACGTCGATGGACACGCGTGTGGAGACACTCGATCCAGCATCAGCCCCCACGGAACACATCGATATCAAACCCAGCCGGACTCCTCAGATCGTGAGTATGCTCAATGGTAGCGACAAACCTGCGAAGCCGGAAGAGCCAATCCCGACGTTGCCCAGACTCACGGGCGACATTCAAAAAGAGAACATCTGGAATGCCCCGCCGCAGCCAAAGACTACAGCAGAGCGTATCGCGAAAAGCTCGGCTGCCTTGGCCTCAGAATACGGCAACACCCCCACATCACCTATTAGTGTCGATGGCCGCAGGCTGCTTACACAGGCCACATCCAAGGTCTTAACACCCGAGCAGCAACAGGCCCTTACCCCACAAGGCATCTGGGTCGCCTTGTCACCATACGTGACGCAGTTCCTACAGAGCCCCTTGGGCTGGCCGTTCCGTCAAGAGTTCAGGCGCCGCATCGCGGCTGTAGTGCTTGGGCAACCCTACGGTGATGCGGGTATCATTCTGGATTCGATAGAAGCCTTGAATCTCTTCGCCGTCGCCAGCTTGAAGGAGGATATTTACGGAAACGTCCAGAAGGATGTCCCTGATATCATCAGGATGCTCACGAAGAGCCTTGTGTCGCTGGAGGCAATGAGGAAGAGCTTTGGCGTCCACTGGACGGATGTTTCGGGGGATATCGAGAGCCCGGAGGTGGATCTCGTTGTGGGAGGGCTGAGGGGGGCGCTACAGGACATTATTGGGGCATTTGGGGAGTATTTTGATGATATGAAGATGAATAGAGCGGATGTGCGGGCCGCGAAGGAGGCTGCAAAGGCGCCAGAGCCACAGAGGCCGGCGGAGATGCAAGAGGCGAGGAAAAGGAAGTAAAGCGGAAACGGAAATCATGAAACATGTATAACATGGCTTGTATGCTAAACGGAGGATACCACCAATAACTTGGCCCTACATAATAGCTCTTATGGTATGAAAAGCAATTGCTGTCATCCCGTAGCCTTCATTGTGAATCCGATTTCATTTCCTTCCATAACCCCTTCTCATGTACTCAACCAGGTATACGTTTCCCCAACACTAACCAATGCTCTATAAATTCCCATCCCTAGGAGGCGGCACCCTCATCCCAGGCGGCATCCTGACACCTGCCGCCTGTGCGCCTCTCCCCCTTTCCACCGTCGGACTCAACAAATCCACACGCCCCTTCTGCACCGCAAACGCCGGCGTAACCCACACGCCACAACTACACTTCAACCCCTTCCAATTCCACCTCCCCACCAGCGCCTCACACTTCAAATTCGGGCACAGCAGACGGCCTTCCAGCTCGCCCGTCTCAAGCGCGGGACGCATCCACGACAGCGCTTGGAGGAAGAAGTGGCCGCATGCCACACTACTCGAGGACGCCGCAGCGGCATCGGGGTTGGGGAGCGGAAGAGCTGCAGTGGAGGAAATTTTGTCTTCTTCTTTTGGGGCCTTGGGGTCATGCTCAACGATATACTCCTCCTTCGCGAGCAGCGTCCTGCATCTCCTACAACGCATCGCTTTCGTCGCATCAGCACTATCCGCAACTCCAGACTTAACCTTCTCCTCGTCCTCAAAGCGCAGACGGTCCGGGGCGCGGCCGATAGAAGTGCTCAGCTCGACTTCAGCGGCGTAGAGCCAGCGCTGGTAGATAGGGCTGGCTTCCAGATCGGGGGTGCAGCTGCAGCGTCTCCAGAGGTCGAGTTGCGTCATGAAGCCCGGGTTGGGGTCGGCGTGGGGGCGGGTTTGGCGGACTAGGGAGAGTGCTGAGTAGGGGGTTAGGGAGGGGCGGGTGGCGAGGAGGTAGGCGATGGCGAGGGTTACGGAGCGGGATTTGCCCATTGCGCTGGGGGGTGTTAGAATGGGATTTAGAGACTTCTTGTTAGGAAATGATATGAAATGATGACTTACCAGTGGATCAGAACACCACCACCTCCTGCCAGCGCATCTTTGATAAACTGGACAACTCTTGGAAAATGCTCGATGAGGTTCTCATCGTCCATATCGTCGATTTGGACGTTGCAGTGCGTGTAGTTCTCCCATCCTTTCGTCTCTCTGTAGTTAAACCGCAGCGCGGAGACGATATGTGTTATGCCCGCATCTTTGAGCGTTTGAGGCCGCCGGAGGGCAAATACTCTTGGTCAGGTCAGCAGATGTTCCATAGGTCTGGGCTGATGTACATGAATACGAGGGCAGACAGAGTGAAAAGGGGGAAGGAGTATGGAATAGCCACGTGAGAAGTGAGCACAACAGTAAAGGGGTGGGACTGTTAACTTGAAAATGGATGTATAAAAAGGTATGAGCACCTACCCACTGATGTAAATCTTCTCATCACCAGGAACCTTTGCGATAGACATTTCTATGGCCTTGTTTACTTCCTCTAGTCTTTGCTTCTCTCTAAAGTTGGCGAGCTCTACATCACTTATGCCTTTCATTTCGTCTATAGTTTGGTTGCTGCTCGGGTGCTGCCCCTCTTGTGCCCCTCCTCTGACCTCGGACAAAAATATCTGAACCCCTCTATCGACACGTGACCAAATATTATATATTACACGTGACCGTTATAATTACACTTTCTATTTTCACACTCTACAGCCACCACTGTAAATTACTTGTGGATGCGCCGTACGTGCCTGCCTCGGGCCTTGAATTGAACCCCTCACAACGCCAACTGCCGGTCCGATATGCCAGCGGCTATAGTTGCTGAAAGTGAAAGTATTACGGCACGCGATGATTCTTACCGCTCTTGCATATATCATCTCCCATCAGGCAGGTTATGTGTTCCTTACCATTGCGGAGGAGAGTGGAGAGAGTCTGAACACCCCCCCGTCGTTCTAGAAGTCTCACCCCGCCCGCGCTTAGCCCGCTTTTATAGCCTGAGGCACGGGCAACCAGACCTCGAAAAGAAAGTCGAGGCCCATTCGAGACTCTCAGACTTTCAGCCTTCAGCCGCCCCCTTTCAACCCCACAGGCTCTAAGTGGGACAGACATTGGCACGAAGTATTGTAGATTTGACACCGAGGCCCGCTCGAGCCTACCAAGACCGGAATTTGGATAGTTACGGGAACGGTAACGACAATATGGAACATCAAGTCGGACCGGGAAATGACCGCTTGCCCACTATTGGACCCGCCCCCGACCGCCTTTTCCGTCGTCCCCAGGATGCGTTCCTTCACACCGTTGGACAGGCGGTCGGCCCTTTGTGCTGGCTGGCACGCTGTACCTGGACCCTGGATTTGCCGCCCCTGTCTGCTTCTCTAACCCTCAGAGAGAGAAGCGCATTAGGCATGTAACCATTCCTTTAGCCTACCATAGGGACCCGTTCTGCGGGATACGTTGCTATCGTTCCTCCCGGTGGAATATAAGGACTTCTGCTGGCGTCGCCTCGCAGGGCTGCAAGCTTGGTCATAGCGATATTGCTACTACTCTAGCGGCTCCATCCACTACGATCTTGACACTTCATGATGCCTCGTGAAATGACCAAAGCGTTGTGCATATGGTAATACTTTTCGGGGAGACGGTTCCTACTCATAGCCCCCGCAAGCAATCAATGCATAGATCCTGCGTATGTACGAGCAGGACAGGATGATATGAGAGGAAATTGGTTGCGCCGACGGCCGGGAACCAATAAGGAAGCCCTTTTTCCCATACGTGACGGTGAAGAAACAGCACCTCTACAGCAGGACCGGCAGCGATGCGGGCCCAACGCACCTGCGTCGGACAATTGGACCAATGCCGGGTGGCCCATGAAATGCGAGGGCCATGCAGGTGGCGGTGGGGTCATTTCGCCACGGCCACATGGTTCGGAAATGGCAGACCAGAGAGAGAGGTGTCTGTTGCTGTTGAATTGCTAATTTCTAACTGCTATCTTCGGACTCGCCAAGACTGCCACCCTTCGGCATGAGGGGACTACTGCAACTGCACCGTACTCGTACTACTTGGGCCTGTCTCCGTGGGGTGCCATTCGTCTCAAGCATTTGCATGGAACGGACCACTGTGTAAACCCTTGACGGTGTGGCACTTGTATGGTAAGTATGAGTACTCATACCTGTACTCTCAGTTGTGGAGGTTGCCGTGGGATAAACGGTTGACACTCACCTCAGTATCCACAATGGAAAATCATTAATATGGGAAGTTGCGTGGGCGGCCGCTCACGGATTCCTTACCATGGCACCGCATTGTAGAACTATTCCAAGAAGAGTACGGATGTGCTGCAGCCCTGCAGCGGTTAATCGACGGCTGGCTAAATCCGAGGAGACCAAGATGAAGCTGCAACTCCCCAACCTCGCCTTTGGATCAGATGAGCCTATTCGTCCCACTGGCCACAGAGTGCCGGAGCACACCACGGGCTATCAGGACCATTTGACGGCTTTCACAGATGATGCACATGGGTTGAATCTTGCTGGTTGGGTGTGACGCAGCTACTGAGCGCCATCCATGCTGTTTGACGTCGTGCTTACCACGCCGCGGAGGTGCGGTTGAGCAACGCGAGATCCCAGTCCGTTGGCGTCGTTAGTGGCCCTACACAGTTTGAGGGGGGACCTGTATCTTTTCCCAGCAAAGAGGAACGCAGCGGAGGTTAAGCAACTACGGAGCACGGTACTCCTCGTTGCAGTTCCAGAATAATTACAGTGATGGAGCAAAGCGGCAAATTGTTCTTATTCAGTGAGCCTGACATGGTTTTGCTTGACTCAAGACTACAGGTTTTGTCCCGCTTTGCTGTCTCATTTTCACACATGGCGAGTCACGTCGTGGGCATGCTGAACGTTCCACCTACTTGATTTGGCACCCATGGAGAAGCTTCATCAAGCATTGGCCTCACTACGCGGGAGCCGGGACGGAATGCTGCATCTGCAACCCCACATGCACATCGCCAGAAGAGGTTGGCAATCCGAGCAAGGATGCTTTGGACTGACTGGTTTCTCGCAGCCGTTTCGACGGGCACGAGTTTATATTAAGGTAGGGAATAAGTGATAGAAGGGGAGCGGTGGTTGGCGATCGAAATGGTTCACACCCCGAGTGATACCGTGCATGTTGACATCTCGAAACCCCCAAACTTCATCAGATAAAGACGTTACAAACCCCCAAGGCAGCCGGGTTGGGCACGCGGAGCAATACTTGACGTACATGCCGTGCTTGGACATACATGCCATGTGCATATCATGTTCTTGGTGGACATGCGCTGGCAATCTGCAATCTGAGGGCACACCCAGTCTGCTCGCTCCCTTTCAGGACTGGTCCGGTTGTCGGAATCGTGTTCCATGGGGCGCTCTTCAGAGTTGGAAGTTTTACGAAGCCAGAGTGATAGCGGCGAACGGCCAACCTTCTGGAGAAATGAGGCCAGATTGAAATGAGTCTCCTCGGAGCTCGTACACTTCGTGAATGCGGCTTGCTTAGTGTATAACCCTGTCTGATCTGTGCGAATGCTATTGTATGGATCGCCTTCACAGAACTGGACACAGACCTTGCGGGGAAGTGAGCTGAACCAACCCTTATGGATTTGGCTCTCAGGTGTCGCTAGAACCGCGAGTGATTGTTCTTATCCAATGAGTCGTGAATAGCGATACTCCTCAGCTCATCGCTTGCAGCTGAAAGCGCGCCTTACCGAGCTTGACACGGAAATGGCGAACTACCGGGAATCTATAAGCTGGAGCATGCGCCAAGTATCGCAAGCTGAGACTGATCAGCCTTGTAGAGAGGGGACTGTGACCAGCTGTGATGAGCTCTCTCAAGCTTGTTCCACTACCGCAAGTTGGAAAGTTGTACTGTGTACTCCGTACTCCGTGCACCAGACCAGTTCGCCATGTATATTCGCCCATTCGACGCACACAACAGCTCATCTCGAAGGTGTGTGCATACACAACGCGTAAGGCGCGGCGCAGTAGCGCCGCGAGAGCCAGTGGGCTGCGCGGAACAAGTGCAATACTGCAGATTACGTGGGACCGCCAAAGGTGGCGCAGCCGGTTTCGCTCATCTCACGATAGTGTACCCAAAGCGAGAAACGCGGGGAAGTGTGATGAAGGGGTCGCGCTACCTGAGGAGGAGTAGGGGTTCAACGGGAGGGGAGGCACACGTTGTGGAGTTGCATTCCGCCCGCTGCTTCCAACGAACACGCTTTGGACGGGAACATACTGGACGGCACAGTATAGTACAGTGCACGCACTCACTACTCATAGGCCATTTTGCCACCCCGTCCTCATCCCAGCGAAGCTGTGAGTTACAGATCACCTTGCCATTCTAGGCGCGGAAGTTGAATCCACAAAGTTACCAGGCGTTTCTGAGACACGGCAGAGCCAGCCATTTGGTGTGTGTGGCATCAAAAGCCTGGTTGGCGGCAACCACACCATCGCCAAGATAGTAAGCTTGTGGACAGCAAGGAGGGGCAAGCTCAGACGCCTGTCCCACAGGGCTTTGCACGTTTACGTTGTACCCAACAACAGGCCCGTTTTTACCAGACACGGCAGAGTTGGGACGGCTGAGAGTGCTGGATCGACAAAAAGGAAGTTGAACTTGAAATTAAACCCGGCCACCCGCAACATGTTATCAGTAGCAGTGTGGGGTGATTGGTAACAGAAGCCGTCTTGTCTTGTCGACTCCAGCAAAGAAGAAGAAGGACGTATAATTCTTGTGCGAATACTGCGGAAATCAGAATATCCGACAAATGGCGTGCCCCACGCGCGCATGTCTAGTATACTGCACTATATTACTACTCGTACCTCTCGCCGGGAGGATACTTGTCCCGGACTTCGCATAGGGCCAAGTAGGGCTGAAGGATTTCAAGCCCGTCAAAACCATCCGCTTATCATCCGAACCCGCCGCCCGCCTGGCCGTCCGTCCGTCCCGCATACGATGTAGTCAGCAACCAGCAACGCTTCAGCAACGCTTGACCACATCCAATCACTAAATGCAACCGTGCTGTAACGAACAGGAAAATGCCCAGCCAGCTAAAGGAACGGAGCCATATCCCGGGCTTTGCATGGGCCACTCGGGCGGGAAGGAAAAAGGAAGAAAAAAAGGAAGCACATCAAAGGCCGTGGTTGAGAACGTGGTGATGGGATGAGCAGTCGAATACCCAGAATCAGGTTTAATGGGCTCCATCAGTGGCTAGCAGTGCACAGCACCGTTTTGCCCAGTACAAGCCACTCTCCAGGGCCCTCTCTCACTGCCTTGCCGCGCGCATAAATACACGAGCGAACATCCTGTTTCACTAACAATAGATCGACCTTCAGCTCTTCCCTTTAGGCCCTTGACTCCGGCGAGCAGAGGGGAGAACTGTGCAAGAAGTGGACGCAAGACAGTGGAATCAGTGGAAACTGCCGGATATATCCGTCTTCTTGGCCTGATCTCTTTAGCTACCACTCCGAGCCAACCAACCATAGCCCCCGCTCGACTACTGCTACATAGGACTGTGCAGTGCTGTACACAGTAAGTTACCCTGTTCGTACTGGTACGATTGATCCTAAGGATATGCAGTCAGCACTCTTCTCACTTCCCACAGTCGACCATGACTTCAGGACGAGGGATTCAGTGAGGAAAAAAGACGATAGCTGGGCGATCTTCGACATGAGCCCCGCTGTCGTCAAGTTCTGAGCTCAGAGACTGCCTCGGCCAATATTATCCATGTTGCCCATTTAACCTCTGGTTGCTCCTTCTTGTTGCGGACGGGCGTGCGAACAGACGTTCTCCCGCGACGCTTTCCAGAATGGACCCCGACTATGACAAAGCGCTAGGTCACTTACGTCGGCGCACAATCGTCTTACTTTTGATGGTGGATACTGATTGTATGCTTGTACTGGAGTACTCGCGCTGAGGCGCAGGACCACGTACATACTCGTGTACATACTATACTATGCCATACTGTACGGAGCGAAGGGCAGTTTTACATATTGGAGGGAAGAGGGTAGGAAGGCAGTGGGCACAGTACAGGGCGAAGGAGCCGTGAGCTGCACTTCGTTCCTGCCCCAGAAACCATTGTCTCTACGCCTGAGTAACTTCTCAGACATGCGGTCCAGCGTACGCTGCAGTACTGTACTCCGCAAGTACGTACATACATCATCCACTTACCCAGCTACAGAACTCTCGGTACAGTACTAGTAATACTATTGCCTTGCCAAGCAGCGATGGCAGCACTTGGAGGGCGCTACTGTTACTACTGTTACTGCCACCACTCTTACTATACTACTTACTAGTAGTAAACTGTACACAATTACAGTACTACAAGGACCATTCTGCGACTATTCTAGTACAAAGGCACGAAGGGACCAGGGGACGGCACCACCACTCCCACTACTCCCACTACTCCCACTACACCTCAGTTCAATGTTGTAGTATCTCCACTTCGCTTCCTTTCCTTCTCCTCCCCCCATTCCCTTTCCCCACCTCTACTTACCTCCCTACTACCCCCCCTACACCCTCTCCTCGCCTCTCTCCTCTCCTCTCCCTCCTCCTCCCCTACCCCCCTTACCCTACCCCCTCACCACCAAACACCACCCCCTCCCTCCCTCCTCCACCTCCACCCCTACACACAATCATATACCATGTTCAAAATGCACTCTCAAGGTGGTTATACTTAGCCCTGATTATATTATATCCCTACGCACGCCGTTCTTTGGGGGTCAAACTTGAGTACTGTACTCGTCAAACTTCCCTTACTATTGCTCTTATTACTCTTATTCCTCCCCCCCCCCCGTTTGCCTCATTGTCTGCCTCATATACCACCTAAAACTACCTATTCCAGTACTATACGACTATACGGCCCTTTTACTCCATCTCCACACTCCTACAAATCCCCTATTCTACCCCCGTCTCAAACTATCTCAGTGCCACTGTGGAAACCCTGAGACATTTGGGGCGAGGTTCCGATTTCTGATACCTATTGTCACCCTATCGCCGAAGTACCGAACCCCTACGGTACCGTCCCGCCGACCCTCCCATTTTCAGCCTTCTCCAAAACAACCTCGACAAGGCGGCTGATGAAATGACATAGACATCAGGCTAACTCGTCGCCCCATAGACGGGACTATTCACTTCATTTCGCATCGCCTTACTTATTCCTTGCCTCTTTTTTTACGTTTATGCCTTCTGGATATATATACAATTCATGGTTCGTGCTCTCTCGGTCAGTCCGTGAATTGTCGCCACTCTGGAATAGGAGACGCGCCAGCCTCCTCCGCCGCCTCCACATGCTGCACAGTTCAGCTCGTGGCAAAGAAAAGACGTACGATCATCATGGACATCCCTCGCTATGCGTCGGCGCATCGCTCGGCATTTGCGCTGCCCGAAATATACATACAGACCTCGAATCCGTCCGAGAGGAAGGCCATGACAATTCGATCAAGCCCTAACACCCTGGGATCCTCTCCACCCTCCTCTGCCAGCCCTATGTCGATACCGAATGCGCGGGACGACGACTCGCCGCCGCCACCATTACCGCCACCGCGGTACGTCAATCATGAGCGAGAAGGAGGGAGTGGGGCGAGGACAGTTGACCCGGGTTGGGAATGGAGCAATTCAAGAGAAGAGCATGGTTGGGGGAAACCATCTTCTGTAAAATCGGGTTCGAGTTTATACGGAAGCTTTGCGGGCTATGGGAACGGCATCATGGACGCTGTTGAATATCGCCGTGGGAGCTCTGCCTCTACCATAAAATCCATATCTGGAGTCGACTCATACAATAGCTCGTGCCCGAAGGTGGACGAGGGCTATGCAAGCCTTTCTACGTGCGGAAGCATAGGCTCTACCAAGTAAGTTAATGGGATTTCTTGCGCGTTGGTTTGGCTATGCTGTTATGAAAATGGATTAGCGGCAGCGTCAAGTTCATGTGTTAAGCTTCATGGACTGTGGGACTATTGAAATACCCGAGAACTTTGCTAATATTGGTGGTTCTATAGTTCGAGGCATGAAGATTCGATACCTGGGAGACCTGGCTTCCAAAGTTCAGTACACGAGAAATACCGGAGCAATACACAGACATATGACAAATCCGTACTACAGAAGCTCAACTCGAGAAGGGGAGGCGATATTTCAACATCCCCCCGAAGTTACGGAAGGGCACCTTTCAGCAAATCTTTCAACGATAGCGTGCCATCGTCGCCGTTGGGCCAGAAGCATGGGCTGTCCCACCAGAAGCCTTTATCTCTGCCAGCAATGAACTCGAAACTCAGTCCCTTGGAAAGTCCAATTTCTAGGTGGGCGAGTGGAGGTTCAGCACCCAATGCACCACTTGGTATGCGTAATGGGGGTCAATATGGATATAGGTCACCAAGCGAGCGGGACGATATGGAGCAATCTCCACGGCCATATAGCAGACAAACGACCCACGATTTTGACGACGCTTCCAGTACGGTTAGCTATTCATATCAAGGCAGCCACTACACGGATAATGAGTCCGACTTCCCCATGGAGGAGACCGGTTTCCAACGCCTTCATATCGACGACGGGATGAGGCGATCGGATGGGCAACCACTGAGCGCTGCTGCTGGACAGAAGCGGAGGGCGTCCTCGCCTCCCCTTGACGACGGACCACCATTACTTCATACGGCTACAAGCTTGAGTGATTTGTATAGGAGGAGGGAGCAAGCCTCCCGTGCCTCGCCAGCTCCGCGGAATCATTCCAACCACGGATCTATTTCTTCGTCTACCTCTGGGCCTCGAAGCGCATCTTTAAATTCTGTTCCCTCGCTAGCTGCTAGCAGCATGAGCACTGTTGATTCTTACGGCCGACTGTCTCCAGGGGGTCGTTCTCCTGGCGCTATTTCTCCTCGTGGATATTCTACTGATACCTATTACCCTGGCGCTGTTTCTCCCCGCACGATGGACGGCCATGATTCGCCCTTCTCTATGTCGCTGGCTGCTACTAGCGCGACTCTCGAGCACCCAAGACTCCCCCACAGGGCTATCCCTGATTCGAGGCCTATTGTCTCTGCGCATAAGACTCTGGATACCATCAACCAGCCAAAAAATGGCATCCTGAAGGTCCAAAGCGGATATGTGTGCGACTGCTGTCCCAAGAAGCCCAAAAAGTTCGACACGGAGGAAGCACTAGCGTAAGTTCCAAACCCCTTATTTTCCGTCATATTATGTACTAATTCGTTCCCAGCGCCCACGAGTCCGAGAAGCAGTACGAATGCGCATACTGCAAGAACCGCTTCAAGAACAAAAATGAAGCCGAGCGCCACCAAAACTCCCTTCACCTCCGCCGCCACTCCTGGTCCTGCGCCGCGCTCACGGGCTACGTAGACGCTTTCCATACCTCTCCCACCGCGCCCAACGACGCCGACACCTGCGGCTACTGCGGCGACGAGTTCGCGCGCAGCGGGACGGGGATCCTGGGGAATGGACAGGAGGGCAAGGTGCCGACGGAGCGGGATTGGGAGGCCAGGATCCAGCATCTGGTTGATTTGCATAAATTCCGCGAATGCAATCATACGAAGAAGTTCTTTCGCGCGGATCACTTTAGGCAGCATCTTAAGCATAGCCATGCGGGGACGAGCGGAAAGTGGACGAATATGCTGGAGAATGCGTGTATGAAGGATGAGCCGCTGCCGGTGGCGAGGATCAATGAGGAGGATGAATAACAGAAACAATGGTAGATGAGACAGACGGACACGGACCAGACCAAAAAGATCGGACCGAAATTTATAGGGGAAGACAATTTTTCACAGGGTGAGAATGCTAGGGGCAATGGTTTTGCGGCATACAGAACAGGGAGATTCATTCATATTTGGAGTTATTTTATGATGTCTTTTGGTTAGCATCTCATCTACGAAGCACAGCAGCTTCTTAACGAACGAACGAACGAACGAATATTGCATATACTGGAGCATGTTATATGGGAAACCTTGCTTGTTTTGAGCAGGGAAGGGGGGGGGGCTATTTGGATTAAAAGAGCGCGCGGTTTTGCGCTGGGAGTCAGTCGAAGGGTGATTAATCCAGGGGAGGGTTATGAGAAGGTTATACACTTTGGAGGGTGATATAGGCAGTGACGCACGTGGTGCTGGGAAAGAAGCACTGGGCATGAGGGATGAGAAGGGCATGGCTGCCAAGGGGGTTGGTCAGCGAAGGATGAATATATGGATGGATAGATAATGAGAGGGGGGATCGAGAAACCTCCTCCCTCAATCATGCCATTTTACACTGCCCATTTACAGCACCATGTTTCAAGAGGCTGCCTCCCATGTGACCATTGAACAAAATGAGACCCCCATATGACCGGAAGAGAATGGCATTCTATTACACATCCACCCCCAAATAAACGTATTAAGAAACCAGTCCCTCAGCCCTGTATCAAGGAACCCGGAACCCCGAAGCCCCACCTCTTCTCCTGATCCCCTGAAGCCCGATGAAGTGGGTAGGGCAGATACACCGAGTATCGATCCGCAATAAAGCCGTTATTAGCAAGGATTCCTTCTTTTTCGGTTTCTAAACCCCCCGGCAGATGGGGGCTCCGTTTGTTCCATTCCTTCCATGAGATGAGATGAGCCTTACAACCCCACCCATCTCCGGACTACCGAACTCCCCTAATCCCTTATTTGCCCCGCCAAAAACCGGCATTGTGTCGTCACCGAGCCGCCGGGCGGGATAACTTTTGCACCGGCTGCCGCCAATGGGGGTGCGTAACTGCTACAAGCACTCCTTGCCGCTGGGTGGGGGATAAGCATATCTGCCCTCCTATGGTGATCTTCCCCCCCTTATAACAAAGGTCGCCTGGGATCTACGTTCAGATCGTCTGTGAGGGAGTTGAGGAGAGATGCTGTAGGATAGACTACCGAGGCTGGTTGGTGGCGTAACGGCGGAGGGATGGGATAGTAAGCACTAAGCTCGGGTGTGGCTCGAGCGCGAGGAGGCGTCAGCCACGATGGGGAAGGGCAGGGCGCGAGTGGTGGAGGGAGGAAAGTTATGACTGATGCTGTGGCGTGGCGGCTTATGGTCGTGGGTGATGCGGACGGAGGGATGGAGGGGTGATCGAGGAATTCCGGATCAGCGCTGATAGAAGGAGTAGGGCTGGATCGAGAGAGGGTAAGCGTCCCGTTGGCCCCTAACCGTATTCTGGTAATTTTGCGTGTTCGAGATCATCTGGGGTGGGCATTGGTTGCAAGGCTCCTTCCCTGGGTCGTTCGCCGACTTCCAGAATAGTTCAAGTCAGATTTCTCACTTTAGGATGGTCCCATCCCGCGTCTAGTTTGGGGAAAGTATCTTCCATGGCCGTGGTACGAGAACAGTACATGATTCCACCGGTATTTGCCCGCCATCCCAGTCCTGGTAAAGGATGCCACGGCGCTCGACATGCAGTCAGCAGAGTGCTGACAGCCTTCTACCACCACGATTTACGCGGAGGGCGGCATATGTGCACTGACGTGTCAATTCGGACTCGCCGAAGTGGGCATGTGCGGGGCACGCGAGCAAGGCGTGTTGCATCTCTGGGACGGACCGGCTCGACGAGATGGGAAGGTGATGCAGAACCTCATGTCCGGTCGAAGCCCCGCCGAAGCTCCGTAGGGGGCAGTTTGTGGAGGGTGCGGCAGTTACGCAGTTAGCGCAGACCCAGATGTTTTGAGACTTTCTTCGCAGGGCTGGGGAAAAATTGGGTCATGGCGTGGGGGTTTCGTATATCGTATCCAGGCTCGCTTTGGGGGTGGGGTTGGGGTTGGGACCGTGTGTTCAGCGGATGTCTTTGGGGACGCTGGGGAAGAGGTTTGGGTTTTGGAAGCGTTCGCGGTTGCGTTTTGCGATTTCCCCTGCTCGCTTGCGGTCAAGGCGTTTTTGGTAGAAGGCCCTGTGAAACGTTAGATGTACGTAAAACATAGCTTTTGGTTTTGGGAAGATTACTTTTGGAGAGCAAAGACTCGGGGTTCTTCTTCCGGTTCTTGGGATGTAGTATCTGGTTTCTTCTGTATATTGTTAGTATTGCTTGAAGAGTTCACGTGATAGGAATGCATCTCATACGGTGTCGTCGTCCTTTTTCTCATCGCCCTTCTCCTTTTTATCTTCGTCTTTCTTGTCCTTGTCCTTCTCCTTCTCCTTTTCCTTCTCTTTCTTCTTCTTTTGCTTCTCCTCAAACTCCTTCTTCACCCGCTCTACCTCGTCCTCCATCTCCTTCTTCTTCTTAGCCGCTACCGCAGCTTCATCTATGATAGGAGTGCAGAAGCCCTTGTCCTTCAAATGGCCAGGGCAAATGAAAAAAAAGTCCTTCTAAACATTAGCTATAGTATCAAGGTGTTGAGTAACGAGCGTACCTTGTTTTCAGGAACAACGAGCACGCTGGTGCTCGGTTTGAAGCATATATCACATGGCTTTGATGCTGTATCTGCCACTTTCCTGTGGGTGTAAATGTTGGGGAACGCCATAGTTCAAATGCTCTGTTTCAGAGTGGTTATGTTTTATTGTTACACTTCTCACTTTGATCGGGGTTTGGCGGAGGTTGAAGATATATCTGCTGCGGGGACCAAGGGTTTGTTGGCAAGATAACGGCATATAGCTCACCGTAGTAGCTACTGATAGCACGTGCGATATTATACCTGTCTGTTAAATTGTCTCTCAAGATACCAGTATTTAAACTAATAGAAATTATTATTTTAGCTATACTGTTAGGCAAAAAGCAAAGAAAATTGTAGCTCCGACTGGTTTAAATTATTTATTTTACTTATGATTCCATTATATATAGTCCCTTCAGACTTTTGGGCGGCACCACTGTTCTTTATATGGTGGAAATGTACTTCCAGCACGATAGGCCGGCGATAAGGACGCGCCGTGCGCGTAGCCAGGGCGTCATTATTTCAAGCTGCATTTGTTTTCCTCCAGCAAATCGCCACAAACGTACAAATTCGACAACATGAGTCAGGCACTAGACCAGTCAAATCTAGAACAAGCCTTCAAAGATAGGCCAGATATCGTTGGCGCGATACAAGCTGCAGCTAGTAAGATACATATGATTTCCTCTCCTCCTTAACGACTTGTTTGATAGAAGTGCAGTATAGTATGGACTTCAGCTGACCTAATGCAGCTGCCCCGGCTTGGGCAGAGCTATTCAATGAGATCTCGTCTTACATAGTCAATTTACGACGAGAATTGGAGCCGTCAGCCTCGGACCCAACGTCTAAGAAGAGGAAGCTTGAAGAGGGACTGCCTATTCAACCTAAGAAAGAAGCCACCGACACCCAACCGCTAGCGAAAATCGCCAATGGATTCGACCATGCAAATGATGAGGCGTTATTACAAGTGAAGGAGATTTCTATGGTGGTTCCTCTGCGCAAGAAGTTCACGATTGAGTTTACCAAGAACCATATCCAAGCGCGAGACCCCAAGACAGATGAACTTGTCCCTGGGACAACATACCCGTGGAAGGACATAAGTCAGTTTCTGCAAAATTGAAATGCTGCTCAAAATTCTAACAAAAGGATAGGCCATGCATTCTGCCTAACGGTTCCCGAAAAGGCGCAAAAGCAGTACAACTACATCTTATTCCTCAAAGACGCACATATTGTCACGCCACGACACGTCCAATATGGGCCAAACCCGCCTGACCCGCTCGTCCTCACTATTCCATCCACGGCGCCTAAACCAGGGAGCATTTCGGGCAAATCTCTCAGTGCAGCATCCGCTGTCTCTGACCAGCACAAAACGCTTTTTGACTTCTTCATTAACCAACAACTGAAGGCGAATGGCCGTAACATTTCTATCGTCGAATCTAATTGGAAGGTCTTCTCCAGCGCGGGCAAGGAGGCATACAAGCCGAATGACCCAACGGTGCATGTGAAGGCTTTCCGAGGCAGCAAGGATGGATACTTATATTTCCTACCAGGCGGAATACTATGGGGCTTCAAGAAACCCTTGATATTCCTGCCCAAGGAGCAAATAGTGGCAGTGAGTTATGTCAACGTGCTACAGCGGACATTTAATCTGGTGATCGAAGTCGATGTCCGATATAAGAAATCTGATGGGACCTATGAGGAGGAAAACGAAGAGTTCGAATTCGGAATGCTCGACCAGGAGGATTTTGCAGGTATTGATGCTTATGTGAAGCGTCATGGCTTGCAGGATGCTAGTATGGCTGATCAGAGGAAGGCAAAGAGGCTGGGTATCAATACGGTCAAGGGAGAAGATGGGACGAAAGTCGATGTGGGAGATGCGGGGGAGTTACAGAAGGCCGAGCTGGAATTGGGAGGTGAAGTGCTCGATGAGGAAGACGAGGGGACCGAGGGAGAAGATTATGATCCTGGCACTGATGGGGAGAGTGAGGGTTCTGGATCGAGTAGCGACGAAGATAGCGATGAGGAGGGTGGAGGCGGTGGTGGAGGAGATGAAGACGACGAAGATGATGATGACGAAGGCGATGAAGAATTATAGATGCTATATGACATATACAGTTTTGTAACGACATTGTGGAGGTACGGAAAATGGGTGTAATTAACTACCAGCGCTGGGGGTTAGATAATTGCAATTGCAATTGCAAATAGGAGATGTTTTTAAATTCATAATTTCCACCAAAATCAAACTTAGTCTTGATCAACCATTAATTGGCACTTATAACGAATAATGTCACCCCAGGGAAACATCCATCTTATGCACAACTTGTCCCGGTAATTTCATATATATATTGGTCTGCTTCTTATTTACCTGTCATGATGCAATGATGCTAAAACGCTGGTATCACTTATCAAAACCCCCCTCCTCTTTCTGCCACAGCAACTCTATATATGCCTACTTCAACAGGCTCTCCTTGACACTGATGGGCCCCTCGCCGACACCAGTGAAGATAACGCGGCTAAGTCCCTCCTGCAGCGCCTTCACTGCCCTCTCATCCAAATGCGCCGCATCACTCGTCTTAACCTCCTCTCCCTTGCCCTCCCAGCCCTCGACAGAGCCCAACACAGACTTGATAGCTCCCGCAACCTCAGCCATGTGCTCCTCCTCAAAGTAGATAACGCAGTTTGGTCCAGCATCAAACGTATATGCCGCAATAATCTTGCCAGCCTTCTCGTTGATCGCCTCAACCACTCTGATCGCAGCTCTGCTGGTATCATTGAGGTAAAAGATGGGTGGGAAGGTATCCAAGCACGTAGCGTGGAAGCTGTTGCTCTCCATCATGGTAACCTTGCCAAACAGCTCAAAGTCCTTATCCTTAACAGCTTTAATCATCTGCTCCATGTGCTTTGGCACCACAATCTCCGCACGGCGCTGGAAAAGCTCGGATGTTGCGACGGTGGTCTGCATGCCAGCCGTGCTGGACACGCCCTTCTTCTCGGCCGAGGCGACGAGGATCAAGGCGCGCATGTTGGGCCAGTGAGACGCTGGCGCAATCTCAACAGCCTGGGAATCCGATCCATCAGCCGCAGACCCCATATCCCACGCCACGTATCCGCCGAAGAGAGAGCGGCATGCCGAGCCAGAGCCCTGGCGGGCGATTTTCGAAAGCTCAGTCTTCGTCGCTGGGAGTTGGTACAAGTCGGCGATAGCGCGGACCAGAGCAGCGAATCCGGCAGCGGAAGAGGCGAGCCCGGCAGCGGTGGGGAAGTTGTTCTCGGACACGATCTTGAGTGTCAATGTGGAGAGCTTGGGGAGAGAGGGGTCGGCGGCCTCAAGGGCGGCGCGGAGGGAGCGCAGTTCGCGGAAACAGGCTTGGGTGCGTGCGCCGGAGACGTCCTGTGGTGAGCCATTGAGGAGGAGAGAGTCGTCGGATCCGAAGGTGGAGGAGCAGGCGGCGGTGGTGTGAGTTCTCAGGTCGGATTGGGAAAGGGTCACGGAGAGGGACGAGTTGGTAGGGAGGTTTAATTTGGGGTCGCGCTTGCCCCAGTACTTGACGACGGCAATGTTGACGGGCGCAGTGGTGCTGGCCTGGTAGACTGTAGAATCGGCCATTTTGAGTAAATTTTGAAGACTTGTGGAGAGAATTGAAAGGGGTTGCAATAGAGGGGTTGTTGGAAAGTGATGAGGGGTTGAAGGCGGTGAGGACTAAATACACTGGGTTGTGGTCTTGGGGCCAGACCAATCGGACATCATAGCGGGAGCAACCGTGCAGGGGCCCAAAATTATTAATGATGCCCTGTCGCCATCTTCTCGTCTCCCAGCGCGCTTCCAAGAATCCCGACTCACATACGCAAACATGGGCAAATCTCCAGAGGCAGAGGCGCCAGCCGAGGTGTGCCCCGTCGATGACAAGACCCGCGCGGCGTGGTTGAAGGCAAACCCAACGGCGTCGTTCCCCGGCGCAGCGAAGGGAGCGAGCGACGCAAAGAAAGGCAATGCCTGCGATTCCGAAGATATCACCCAGGCTCCTCCGGCGCAGCCTGGGCTATTCGCGCGATTTTTCTCTTCGACGCCTCCTGCGGATGCGGCGGCCGTGTCGACAGGACTCGGTACGCAGCGCGTGGTTTCGACAATCCCTCGCGCATCGCCAGTCGACGACAGCGAAGGCTCGAAGCCGGCGAATAGCGAGAAGGAGAGCGGAGTTAGTGCGAGCGGGAACTGGATATACCCTTCAGAGAAGATGTTCTTTGATGCAATGAAGAGAAAGGTACGTATATTGGGATTGAATTGACGGACGTTTCTGACAGTTGTTCCAGGGTCACTCAAGCGATCCTAAGGAGATGAAGACCATCGTACCGATACACAATGCAGTAAACGAGCGAGCATGGAAGGAGATCAAGGAATGGGAGAAGCCATATGGAGCCGACGAGAAATGTGGAGGACCTAGGCTACACTCATTCCTGGGACTCTCAACCTCGATGTCTCCGAAGGCACGCTTCAACAGTCTGCTTGGATATACTACACCATTCGATCGCCACGACTGGATTGTTGATAGGTGTGGCAAGAAGGTTGAGTATATCATTGACTTTTATGCTGGCAAGGATGAGGGGAAAGGCAATGGCAAGCTGAGCTTCTACTTGGATGTGAGGCCGAAGCTCAACAGCTTTGAAGGCTGGAAGATGAGAGCCGCGAAGACGATTGGTCTTGTATAGAGTAATGTAAAACATAGATGTACAGTATTAGGGTGGCTAGGCGTTGGATAGGGTGGTTGGGCATTACGAGAATCTCCCGAACCAGGAACTGTACTTAAAAGACACTGTAAATTTAGGCTATGGAGCTTCACAATCAGATCTAGCTTCTCATGTTGAAAAGGAGCCTCGCTACCACCTCAGTCTCACAAAACAAATGGTACACAACTTTGCTATGTCCCCCTCCGCCGCTCGTTAAACCATCCCAACGCCGCCGACAGTGCATCGTCATTATTCGTCATGGCATTCGAATCATGGAGCTGCCGCTGGTGGGGGTGCCTGTTCCTCGGCGGCAACACCGCGAAGAGGAAGCTCGGTCTTAAGCCCCCCCTCGGCAGGAGCTGCAGCCTTAGCAGCCTCCTTCTTTGCCTTCTTCCTCTCCTTATCTCTGGCCTTGTCAGCAGCCTTCTTGGCCTTAGCCTCTTCCTCAGCAATCCTAGAGGCCTGGGTGCCACCGTACTTGGTCCTCCACTCGGCCTCCTTCTTATCATCAATCCTGGTGAACAGATACTCGGCCTTGCCGATCTTGTGGCCGCCCTTGAGAGCCTCTGGGTTCCACTTGTCGGTAATTGATAGTAGGGGCACTTGGAGCTGCTTGACAATGGAGGCTCCAGTAGATGGCATAAATGGCGATGAAATGGAGGCAAGGAGGTATGCAAGGTTGAGAGCCAGACCAATGATAGTGTGTGTCCTCTCAGGGCTTCCAGTCAAGTTGGCATTATCAAGACGGCCAGCCAAGAGGTTGTTGCCCAATGCTGAGATTTCCATAAACTTCTTGAGTCCAGCGCGAATTCTAACAGCCTCCATATCCGCAATGTACTCTCTAAGGTGGACATTGACGCTTTCAATGAATGCTGGGAAGTCAAAGGTCTCGTCGGTATAGGATGCAGAAAATTCCGGAACGACACCGTCGCACTTTGCGTTTACAAATTTGACAAGACGATTGACAAAGTTTCCAAAGTTGTTGAGCAGCTCGCTGTTGTTTGCTGCAATGAACGCCTTCCATTCGAATTGGGTGTCACTGGTCTCTGGTCGGTTCGCCATCAGATAGTAACGCCACACGGATGCAGGAATTCCGGTATCCTTCGCAGTGTCGCCGAAAACACCAACACCTCTGGACTTCGAGAATTTTCCACCTTCATAGTTCAAATACTCTGTAGTAGAAAGGTGATTGAGCTGTGTCCACTTGTCTCCCGTGCCAATTTGGCTGCCTGGGAAAATAACAGTGTGGAAAGGAACGTTGTCCTTGCCCATAAACTGGAAGAGCTCTACATCTTCTGGGTTGCGCCACCATTGCTCCCACTCGTCTGTGTAGGACGCTGTAATGGAAGGATACCCGATACAAGCGTCGAACCATACGTACATGACCTTATTCTCGTAGCCAGGGATCGGCACGGGCGTGCCCCATTTAAGATCCCGAGTAATGCTGCGCCCTTCCAATCCCTTGTCAAACCACGACTTGGTGATACTGATTCCGTTCTGGGGCCATCCACCCTCCTGGCTGGACTTTGTGAACCAACTCTCGATCGTTGGTTGGAGCTTGTCAAGGCGAATAAACATGTGCGTTGTGTCGCGCTGGACCGGGGAGGCTCCGTCGACCTTGCAGCGTGGGTTGATGAGCTCAAAGGGATCTAGGAGGCTTCCGCACTTGTCGCATTGGTCGCCGCGGGCATCGTCGTACTGGCACTTCGGGCATGTGCCCTCCACGAAGCGATCCGAGAGGAAGGACTCGTGCTTTTCGCAATAGGGCTGTGTAGTTGTCCGCTCCTCCAGGTATCCATTCTTATGAAGTTTCACGAAGATATCCTGGGCAATCTTGGTCTGCTGATCGGTGGTAGTTCGACCAAAGTAATCAAATCCGACCTCGAACCAGTCGTAAATATCCTTGTGGACCTTGTGGAATTCATCGCAGAGCTCCTTCGGGGTTTGGCCCGTCTCTAAAGCCTTCGTCTCAGTGGCTGTTCCGTACTCGTCAGTGCCACAGATGTATAGAGTTGGTCTGTCTCTCAGTTTGCTGAATCGGGCGTATACATCGGCGCTGAGGACACTGCCAACGACATTTCCCAAATCTAGACTAATGTTAGTTTGAGGAATCCGTTTATGATGAAAGAGAGAGACCGACGAGGTTTGTTGTTGACGTAGGGCAAGGCAGATGTCACTAAAATATTCCTCTTGCCCTTGACAGGTAGAATGGGCGTGGTTGAGGCCATGTTTCGTTGTTGTTGATGTTGTGTTGATTGTTGAAATGTTATAATACACGCGGGGTTCAGTTGCCCGCCAGCCTTCCCGCGCTTAGTCATCGGATTTTCTTGGTGGGGTAATTTTCCAGTGAGTCAGTGCACGAACGTTTCATGGGGTCTGGATTTTGTAGTAAGGGCGGTTGCCCCTCTATGACGGCCCAAGCTACCTTTGGGGCAAATGTTCCTGAGAGATTGACAGGAATTCGGCTTCTTGCGACCATTAGACCAAAATAGTTATATACGCTTGCTGATTTAAACTTTCAAAATCTCGAACCTTTTCAGTTACAGTTACCAACTCAGCGAATTCTAAACCCCAGCGAGCCAGCAAAATCTCTCCAAACATGAGTGCAGACCCGTTCGACGATCTCCTGGGCCTGGAAGATAAATTCTACGATGAGGGCTACCAACTTGGGACCACCGAAGGCGCCAAAGCCGGGAAAATAGAAGGTCGCGTCTTCGGACTGGAGAAGGGATTTGAGAAATTCGTCGAGGCAGGAAGACTACACGGCCGCTCAGTCGTCTGGGCAGGTCGACTTCCCCAAAACGATACACCAGACAAGCCTACATCCGTGGCCGAAATCCAGCAAGGAGAGCCTCAGACCGCAGCCTCGATCGCGCAGGGTACAACAAGCCTGCCGACACTAGCAAACCCACGCCTAGAGAAGCACATCCGAGTCCTCTACGCTTTGAGCGAGCCGGCCAGTCTTTCAACCGACAACACCGAAGACGCAGTATCCGACTTTGACGACCGTCTCAAGCGTGCACATGCCAAAGTGAAGATCATCGAGCGACTAGTTGGGGAGGACAGCTCGTTGCTAGCTAGGATCGGGGACAACCTCGGCCAGCAAGTTGGGGGCGGGAGCGCGGCGGATAGTAGTATCGAGGATGTGAATATACTGAAAGCTCGGCATTGAAACTCTATTCAGTGGTTTCAGAATTCCGAAGAGGATCGGGACAAACCCGGGGGATAAAGGAAGCCCTGAGTGGTCACTGAATGCTGGGGTGGCGGTTGACCCCACGATGAATCCCGATGCGCTGAATGTCTTCGCGCTTGTGGCTGGGAGGGTGCGCATGGGTTTGCGGGAAGACTCGCAACGGGTCGAGGCTGGGCAGGGTTGCAAGCCGATGATCTGAATGGAGGGCTGCAAAGTGTCCAGGTTGGGTGGGCAAGGCTGAATCGTCACATGCGAGTCAACCTACCACATGCAGTCCGGGGTCAAGGAGGCACCAGATAGACGAGTGCACGGCTTCGGAGAGGCTGAGGTCACGATGATCAAACTAGAGGCAAGACATATGATGTTTATAGTTCGTTTTATTTTCGTCGTTATATAGATAACGAACACTGTGCAGCTTCTGCTGTGGCCACATTTTGACGACCTCCGGGACTCGCCCGTCACACAGGTCTTGGTCTTCCTATTTCATTACAAGTATCCAGCCAAGTATCAACCTGTGTTTAAACCTGTATCATAACCCCCTCCCGGCCTCCAGCGACCTCCCAGATCGCCCGGCCATCAATCGCTCCCACCCATCCCGTCCAATTCGCTTTGACGTAATAAAAAAAGTGGTGTTTTGTCTCCAGGGTATTGCCCGTCCCATGTATGTGTTTCAAAAAAATTGCAGTAAAAAATCAGACATCTCAGCGCTCATACGGTGCCTCAGCAGACCAAGGTAGCGCCGCCAGTCTCAATCGCCTCGATCTCCGCCTCGGTGTATGGGGAGCGTCGGAAGCGAACAGGCAGCTCGCTGCGATCGAAGAACTCGCCCTGTGCCGCGGCGACGGGGCCGAAGTCGCGGCCGGGAACGGAGCCGACTGAGCTGTCGGTGCGGATGTTGCGGCCGAGGGGGCCGTGTTGCTGGGCGTGCTGGCGGTAGGCGGAGAAGGAGGGGGAGCCTTGGCCGGGGAGGGCGGAGGATGGGGAGGCTGGGTGGACGGCAGGAGTGCGGTCGACGGAGGCTGGGAAGGTGTTAGATGATGCGTGAGATGTGAGGGGAGGGAGTTTCGGCTTACATGGAACTGTGCGCTTGCCCAAGAACTTGATCAGCGGCTGACGCTCAGCGTGAGCTGCTGCCCGGGAGAGAGTGGTCTTGAACATGTTGTTGTTGTTGGGTTTGGGGGGTTGTAGGGTTGTAGGAGTTTTTGTTGAGAGCAGTTTGAGAGAGAGAGAGCGAAGGATAGCGATATTAGAGAAGGATGAAGCAACAGGAGCACGAGCTGATTGATAAGTGATGTTTTGTAGGAAGGATCAATTGCTCGGCCTGGGGATGCTTGTGAAGGAGGGGAAAGGGTTTGAAGGGTGGTGGTGTGTTAATACTGCGGAGAATCAGTGGGTGTTCGGGCCCTTAATCCATCGAAACGTGATTTTTTGTGATAGGGCGGCGCGACTACGCGATCTCATAACTTAAATTATTGCCCGGGGAGGACGGGGAAGACGGAGCTATCGGGGTACCAAGGCACCGATACCGGTTCAACCCGTGAAAATCCAACAAATGCAGCCACATCTCAGCGAAAGGAAGGTAAATCCCAGCCTAAATGTTCCGATGTGGCAAGGAACGGCACCCACCACGACACATCTAGCACACATCTGTACCCCATCTAGCACATATCTGAACCACACTTTTCAACCATTACATACTTGGAAATACTTAGGGGACGGATTAAGCGCTTTGTAAAGGCCTTAATTGTCTTGATTATGCCATCGCTACGGCACTACGGCAGATGCTGTCCTGTACTCCGCGTCTGCTCTCCGCAGGATGTGGGCAGGATGTGCAGCATGTACTGTATTTCGCCTCCCACTAAAGTAAGCTTTATTTTGACTTTTTGACTTTTCACTTCTGCCATTACATATGTGATCTCCGTCCCTTTCTCCGTCTTCTCCGTTCGGCTCCCCCCTCCTAGAGTAGTGTAGTGCAGTATGGCTTCATCGAAGCAAGTCATGTGACTTTATATCATTTGTAATCCATCATCGGACTTCACCTCCGTCGTAATTGCTCAAGGAAGGCAGGCACTCTGGTATCGAGGACTGCTCTATCCAGTATTGAGAACTCGTAGAGGCCAGCTAGGTCACTCTGCACTTTGAGAAGCTCTTCAATGCCTCTCTGCACGAGAGGACCTTCCTTCTCGTCCGTAACCTCCACCGAGGCCCTCAAGACCCATTTGTTCTCCCCATCAAAGGGTATGTAATCACGGATGTCAGACGATGCTTGTGGCGTGCTTTCCTCCACGTCTATCACGCCATTCTGCTGCTTCCGTTGGAGTTCGCGAGACAGCGTGAATGTAACGTTGTCCCTGTAGAAGTTGTAGATTTCACGCAGGCTTTGCGAGTAGTGCCTGGGCTGTGTTAGAGAGATGCACGCTTCCATGGTTGGCATTGCTACTACTCACGTATATTTGATGCTCCGTAGAAGTGACGGCAGTTTTGGCTCATCGGGAATATGAATAACAAGCCGACTATTCACAGGCCTTGACGGGTGCGGGGGCTCTGGGTAGTCATAAAAGTGCAGCGTTCCACGTGCCTCTTCCAGGTCCATCACACTGTATGCCTTGTTAAATCCGATCTGTCTTCATAATCCTGGACCATAAACTCACGGCTTCTCCCCCACCCTCTCCTCCGCACCAACCCCAAACTCCCCCTTCTCCGCCGCAAACGCGAGCGTGATATAATGCGACTGCCTCACCAGCTGCTTATTCAACTCATTCCACACCTCTCTATCCTGCGGTCGTCTGTTTTGCACTCGCGCTGCTGGGATGGGCACGAGTTGCGCGCTGGGGCCTTCGTATGTGAGAACTCGCTGGTAGCTGTGGGCGGGTGGCATGGCACACAAGCCTTGGAGGATTTTCAGGGCCTCTTTGACATGTTCGCCGGGCACGGCGGCGGTGAGGAAGAGCTCGTGCATTGTAGGGTAGGTGGTGATAAATTGAGGATAGGGGTAAGCTTTGAGCTGTGTGTGGTCACGATGTTGTGGGTGAACTGTGTGGTGCACTCATGTGATCTTGTGGTTGACCAACATGTTTATTTACGGAAAATATTCAAATATTTAAAACGTCCAAAACAGCAAAAATCAAGCAGGCACATAATACGGTAATTAACAATCATTATTTTTACGTATAATTTTTATAGGCTCTCGTAATTAATGCTTTTATCACAGTCCCTATGGAAGCCTTTATAGGCCGCATAAACACTGTAGGTCTAGATATTACGACAAACTTTTGGTAACCCATGATTTTCCTCCCAACTCCCAACATAAAATTCATTTTCACATTTAAGCCAGCATCGACTTCAAGACCTCGATCTGCTCCAACACGCACTTCTTGCTAGTTCCACCCTTGGACGTGCGCATCTCGACCGAGCGCTCGAAATCGAAGCACTCGCTGACATCCGGCTTGAAGCGGGCATCAACAGACTCCAATTGCTCATATGTCAACTTCTCCATCGGTGTGTTTGTCTTCTCCGACAAGGCAACGACCTGGCCCGAGATGTGGTGAGTCTCCCTGAACGGGACGCCCTTGCGAACAAGGTAGTCAGCCAGGTCAGTGGCCAACATGAAGCCATCGAGAGCAGCCCTCATCTTCTCCGAGTTCGCAGCGAGGGTCGAGAGGACACCAGTGGCGATTTGGATGCTGTCACCAACAGTCTTGACGTGGTCAAGCATTGGCTCAACGGACTCCTGCAAGTCCTTGTTGTATGTACTAGGCAGACCCTTCAGGGTCATCATGAGTCCAGCCATCTGGCCGAACGCACGTCCACTCTTACCCCTCAACAGCTCCAAGCTATCGGGGTTCTTCTTCTGCGGCATCAGCGAGCTACCGGTGGAGTACGCATCCGCCAGCCTGACGAAGCTGAACTCGCCAGTCGAGTAAATGATAAGATCCTCAGACCAACGAGACATGTGCGACATCAAAGTCGACCCCCACTGCATAGCCTCAAGGACGAAGTCACGGTCAGCGACTGCGCCCATGGAGTTCCACATCAGGCCCTCGAACCCGAGCTCCTTCGCCATTGCATCACGATCGATGTTGAACGGGTTACCCGCGAGGGCACCACATCCAAGCGGACTGCGGTTGACACGGGCGATCACCTCACGCAGACGCTCGAGATCCGAGGCGAACGCAAGACCATACGACAGCATCCAGTGACTCCAACGCACCGGCTGTGCGCGCTGCAGATGGGTATAACCAGGCATGACGAAGTCGATCTCCTTCTCCGCGCGCGCCGCGACAACCTTGAGGAAGTCAACGAGGAAGACCTCGATTTTCCTCAGCTCGTCACGCAACCACATCCTCATATCCGTAGCGACCTGCTCGTTCCTGCTGCGGCCGGTGTGGAGCTTGCCTCCGATATCCTTTCCGATGATCTCACCAAGGCGGCGCTCATTGGCAGTGTGAATGTCCTCGTCCACTCCCGGAATGATCTTGAACGTCCCATCAACCCACTCAGCCTCGACCTTCTTCAACCCCTCCTCGATAGCCTTGAACTCCGCATCGCTGAGAATTCCAACCTTGTGGTTTCCCCTCGCCCACGCGATGCTGCCGAGGATATCTTGAGTGTGGAACGCGCGATCGTAGTAAATCGACTCGTTGTATGAGACCATGAGGGGATCCAGACCGCCTGGAGAACAATATGTGAGTCAAGCGAGTCAACAAAAAAATATATTGGGGGCAACGCATACCTGTGAATCGACCTCCCCAGAGCATAGTGCCGCCGGGCTTGCTACCGGGAGTCCTCACTTCTTGAGCTGCCATGATTGCGGTGTAATTGGTCTGGATTTTGGTGAGTTGCGAGTGTAGTTGGGTTATCAATTGTGAGGGGGGATTTATTGTGACGCTGTTGGGTTGACTTCCCGTCCGAAGCCGCTGTGTCCCGCTGTAATCCGGGGTTGCTTATCGCACAAACAGAAGTGTGGGTGACTCATGTGATCTTTGCAGCGACCTCCACGTCTGTCTACATAAAATATTACGAATATCAAGTAATTGAGTCTCTTTCAATGCGACTGTAAGCCCGAGAAATGAATAAAGCAGGCGGCCGAATATGATAAAGCGACAAAGTAATTATACTGGCATCACGTGATACTGCCTTTGATGTCGCGATCTACGCGTCCGCTCACGGCAAATATCTCAAACAGCTAAAACTCCAGACTCTTTCAAACTGAATCTGAATCCGGATACTGAACGAAACTGACTTTGAATACGACAAAGGGATAAGTAAATTGATATGCTTGTCACGTGGTTCTGCAGGTCAGGACGATCACAGCTGTCGTGACAAAGACAGACAGGCTGCCTTAAAACACCCTTCCCGCTGCGAGTAGTAGGTTCTATTGCTTTTACTATCATAAATATATTCTCGTTGATCAGCGTGATTGAAGATTTCGTACCTCATTAACGTTCGTAGACACAAATCGCCGCCATGTCGTCGTCCAACCGTGACCCGAAGAGGAAGAACGACGACCGGGACGAGAAGCCCATTTCTCCACCCCCTGTCAAACGAAAGGTTCAGTCTACAACTACAAGTAAGTCCGGCTCCAAGAAGTGGTAATGGAATTTTGATCCTAACGTCAAAATAGAAGATGCCGTCTCCTCGTTCTTCAAACCAACCTCCCAGAAGCCACCGGAGCCTCTTACCTGGTCGGAAAGAGCTGTGAACGAAGACACTAAAACTTCCCTCATCGTCGGCAAATATGTTCCCCAAGGCACATCCACCGCGCCAAGTGATGCCGCCCCTGCCGCTCCAAAGAAGACAAGGATTGCTGCCTTTGATTTAGTAGGTCCCCTTGTCACGAGTTACTGAAGCCCCCTACTAACATCACCAGGACTGGACCCTCGTCAAGTCCGCCTCGGGCAAGAGGTTCGTCTACGACGCCGGAGACTGGAAGTGGTGGCATCCCAACGTGCCCGTGATGCTGAAAAAGCTGCACCAGGAACAAGAGTAACCTTCACCCCCTCCAAGCCAACCCCTGACACCACAGTAACTAACTAGTACTAGATTCAACATCGTAATCATCAGCAACCAGGGCGCCATCCAATTACATCCCGATCGCAAGGCCCCAAGCGCACTTAGGGGTCGTCTGGACTCCTGGAAAGAGAAGATTGCGTCGATTCTGCGACAATTGGATATCCCAGTCACGTTGTATGCCGCTACGCAGTTTGATAACTATAGGAAGCCGCGGACGGGGATGTGGGATGAGATACTGAAGGACCTCGATCTCACACCCGAAACCGTCCACATGGGAGAATCCTTTGTAGTAGGCGACGCCGCAGGCCGTATCGCCGTGCCTGGGATTGATAAGGACTTTTCTGCTTCTGACCGGCAAGCCCCCTCCCCCTTACCCCCATTTCATACATCCAATAAAGTACTCTCAGCTAACACCACCCTAGCGGCTTCGCCGATAACATAGGAATCCTATTCCTCACCCCCGAAGAGTACTTCCTAGACGAGGCACCACGGGAATACATCCGCTCCTTCGAGCCAGGAGACTACGTCAACACAGCCTCTGTCAATGATACCGCCGGTTCGTGGTCCACTGGAGCCTGGAATTCGAGAGCGCCGTTCTAATATGGAGTTGTAGAGGACCCCCCCTTCGTGCCGTCGAGCGAGCAAGAGATTGTATGTCCGCGCCTGTCCTGATCCTGTCCTGATCCTGCCCTGCCCAACCTGCCGTTTCAATCCATCCAGTCCATCCCGCCCTTTCATTCCATCCTGTCCTTCCAGACCACCCCGTCCCTCCAGTCCACCCCGTCCCTCCAGGCCTAACCCCCCTCACAGATCCTCTTCGTCGGCTCCCCCGCCTCCGGCAAATCAACCTTCTACCACCAGCACTTCCAGCACCTCAGCCCGAGCTACATCCGCATCAACCAAGACCTTCTCAAGACGCGGGATAAATGCCTCAAAGTCGCGCGAACCCATCTCGAAGAGGGAGTCTCCGTGGTCATCGACAACACCAACGCCGACGAGGCGACGAGGAAACATTGGGTTGAGCTGGCGAGGGAGAGGGGGGTGGGGATTAGGTGTGTGGTTTTTGAGACGGGGGGAGGGGTTTGTAGACATAATGATGTTGTTAGGGCGTTGAATAGGGAGGTGAGTTTGTTTGAATTTTCTAGCCGTTTGTGTTATCTACCCCTCGGCTCATACCTAGGTGGTTTTTTGGGGGGGGGGGGGAAGGGGTTAATACCACGGCAAATAGCTGGAACAAAACTGACGATATTTGCCCCAGATGAATCCAGAGAAACGCACCATCCTCCCGAATATCGCGTTTACGTCCTTCAACTCCAGATACAGCCCTCCGACGCTGAAGGAGGGGTTCAAGGAGATTACGGAGGTGAAATTTAAGGTACGTTTTTTTAACCCCCCCCTTTTTACCCCCCCCCCCCTTTTACCCTTCCTCTTCCTCCATCGTCCCATTCTCCCCCTTTTCCCTCTAATTCTCCCAACTTTCTTTCCCCCCTACCCCTTTCCGCTTACGTTCCCCTTGTCCCCAACCTCCTTCCTCCTTCCACCATTCCCTTCCACCACCCCCCTTCCCCCCGTCCCCTAGCCGCTTCCCAGAAAGCAGGAAGAGGGACGGGACAGGTTGTCCATGACATAACGCATTATCATAACAATAACAAACCATGACCGAGTACGCGCTGACACCCCCCCCCAGTTCCGCGGCACAGACGAGGAAAAAAAGATCTGGACGCGGTATTGGACGTAGCACTCATCGTACTTGATTGATTGGCGCGGAGGGGAGGAAGACGAAAATCGCGCAAGTTCTTGGTGGATGGATGGTACGAAAAGGGGGTTACGTAGGTGGCATTCAATATTTTCCAAGGCGCGTTCCTGGTTTGGCTTGACACGGGAAAAGGGGAGGGGGGGGGGGGGGTAGGATGAGAAGGTAACATATCTCCGCGGATTTCATTTTAGATTTGTTTCCTCAGCAGCAGGAGTGGTGGTGTGTGATAGATAGATAGATTTCCCAAGACCACCTCAACGCGTATCGGCAACCCCTATATTTGTCAATAATCAACGCGTATCTTTCAACCCCTCCCTATACTTGTCAATAATCAACGCGTATCCCCAACCCCTCTACCCCCCATTAGCAACGCGTATATCCAACATCGACGCGTATATCTTCATCTTTGATCTCTCAATGACATCCTCCTGACCTCCTCGTCGCCCCATCAACCACCAACCCCGCCCCCTCCTTCCGTTCCCGTCGATTTCGCAAACACGACTCAGAATCACCAACCCCCCCTCCAAGAATCCCATCCAACTTTCCCATCCTCTCCCATCCTCTCCCCGCCCCTAGAACAACTTTCCCATACTGCCCCTCCCAGCCTCCCCGCTGTCTACGTCAGGTGTGTTCACTTCCCCCCCTTCTCATCCCACTTGTCAGGCCATTTATGCTGGCCCGAGGAGGATGGGAGGCGGAATATTGGTTTTTAGGTTTAAGATGCCCAGTTTATAGACGTTGACGTCAGACATAGAGATTCACTTCACTCAGCTTGCTCGGTTTAGACAGGTGTCAGTCAGCCAGTCAGATCGGTAAGTTGGCAGGTAGTCAAGCCAGCCAACCTTATCACCCACCCACCATCCACACCCACGCGTGCCTTGGACACAGTTCTGGCGTGGTTGGCGTGGTTGGCGTGGTGTGGTCCGTACCTGTAAGGTGTGAAAAAGGTGTGGCATCCATGATAAAAAGGTGTGGTAACTACGATTAAAGGTGTGGTTACGTAGTGGCGGGTGAGTGCAGGTACGCGAGACATTTGTGGGATGTAACACATACACACACACACACAGATACGGATTGGTTTGCTGCTAAGCTTACGTTACTTTTTTACCTTGCTTTGGGTTGAGTTGAGTTGCTTTGGGTTGCTTACTTTTGAGTTACTGGATTGGATTGGATTGGATGGTTGGTGGTGATGGTGGTGTTGCACGGAGCTCTTCTGTACGTAGTTCAGCTTACGAACTTTACCTTTACTAGAAGTTAGAAGTTGGAAAGTATCACCACACTCGTAGCACCACCACCACACACCACACACCACACACCACATCCCGTCACACCCTCCCGTCCGTCCCCCTCACCCGCGTCCCTCACCCGTCTCCCTAACCCGTTCCCTCTCTGACGTATGCCTACCTAAACTCGGATCGGAACCTCCCTCCTCCCCGAACTCCGCCCGTTCGTGAAAACGTGAACCTCACGCACACCCACCACATCCATCCAGTGGAGAGAACCGCACAAAAGGGCAATCGCGCACATGTGCCAGTAGACGATCTCTCTACTGGTGGGGTATGGGCCGCCCGGGGATCGAGTTCACGCAGGCACGCACACACGCACGCAGCACGCACTGACTGAGAACTACAGAGGTGCGCTGGCGTTCGTGCGGATGGCGGAAGGTGGGTGGTGGGTGGTAGAAGGTGTGGCGCGATGGGAGTGGCTGGTTTATCTACCTATCTGTCTAACTTTTGGTGGCTTTGGTGGTGGCTTCGCTGGCTGTCTTGGTTGATGGCTTGCTGGTGGGTTTGATTGTAGGGTGGGTTAACTGTAGGGCAAGAGACAGGGCTTGGCTTGGCTGCCAGCGAAGTGTGAGTGTTTTTTTTTTTCACTCTTTTTCTCATCTGTAGTGGGAGTGTGAGGCCGACAACGGGGGAGGTGGGATAGATGGGGGGGAAGGTGGGGGGTTAGTTGGAGTTTGTGGTCCTCTTGTGATGTGAGTAGAAGAGAGAGAGAGGGAGGAGTTTTCGTGGTGGAGATACAGATAGAACCCCCAGTGGAGAAGGATGGAGATGGATGGAGAAGGGTGAGAGTCTGGACTTCATACTGGAGCATCCTCGTGGCGAGTGTGGTGGGTGTAGTAACTCCAGCCAGCTCCAACTCCAACCCCAACTCCAAATCCAGCACAGTGCAGCACTCTACAAAGTGTGATCTGCCCGTTGAGCTCCAGCTCCAGCTCCAGCTCGAGCTCAACAATCCCTTCCCCCCCCTCCTCCCCCTCCTCTCCTGCATCTGTTGGATTCCATACATACATACATCCATGCCGCCGTCTCTAAAGAAAGAAACACGCCGACCGCCGACCGACCAGTCTAGCCAGTCGCGCATTATAACCCCCCCTCGCGCGCATTTCCCAATCCGGCATCCTATTGCATCGTAGAGTAATATACGTAAACCTGTTGTGAGAACAGGACATGGATTAACGTCCTTCCCTTCCCTCCCCTTCCCTCGTCCCGCCCTACACAGTCAGACAGTCAGACAGTCAGACCGACCGACCGATCAAATCAGAGCAGACGCCGAGCCGTGCCGTGGTACCTGGGCGAGGTGAGGTGAGGGTGATAGACATGACAAAAGGATGGCTGGCAGGTGTCTTTCATGTCCGTGTGTACATAACATATCCTGCGCATATACAGCTGTCTTTGAAGTACCACTCCCTACATGCAGAGGTACACCACTCGCTGTACGTACAGTATGGTAAGCAGAGTCCTGTAGGTGCCGGTGCTGTCCTGTTGTGCTCCTGTCCCACAACAGGGCAAGCTTACCCGAAATCCCACACGATAGGCCGGATCGGCGGCGGAGGGGGGAGGGTATGTGCATTGCATCGATTGCATGTATGTATGGATGGATGTTCATCGTCTATCATCCGTGCCGTGCGTTGTGTGCGTGCGTGCGTGCGTGCGTCTTTGTTCTGTTGCCTGCTGGTCGGTCGGTCGGTGCTCTGTTCTGTTCGGCTCTTACCGTTTGTGGAAAGAAGTACATTTAGGGCTGTGGTGAAAAATGCACAGGGAAGAGAAAAAGGTGGTTGCTGACAAGGATGGGGGGAACTGGGGGAGCAGCCGGGGGCCCGGGGGGGAAGGAACAGGACAACAAAGCGAGGATGACAACAACAAACAGACAAACAGACAACAACAACAAAGAAAAGCACACAGGGGGGGATGATTGGTGGATCAGGGACGGAGCCAACCATGACCATTCCCCGGGCCCCACCCACCCTAGCCTTCTGGACCGCGGTCCTGGGATTTCAGGAACGAAGGTCTTTGCTAGGAACGGGGAAAACGGGCTTATAGGGCGGAGGTACTTGGAAGAAGTACATACACCACACCCACCACACTGTAAAAAAAAGGTGTGTAGCCGGACCGTTAGGCGTGTGTTTATTCCACTAGCCTGCGGAAAAAAAAAGGTGTGGCAGACTAGACACACCCTTCTACGGTCTTCTGGACGGTGGGACTAAGGGGGGTGGACCAGTAAGATCAACAGTTTTGATGATTAGTGCAGTGCTAGTGGGAGCTAATGGGGGCTAGAAGATTTAGGCCGGGGCTAAAAAAAGGTAGAGGGCGTGTGGGACGGTCGTCATCGGAGGGGAAGGGAAGTTGCCGGTTGGTTGGGTGGGTTAGTAGTGTCGGGCGTACTGTAGTTGCTTAGTGGGCTTGGGGGCGAGGGGAACCGGGGAGGGGGTGCCGGGGTCCGTCTGGGATAACGGCGGCCGTCTGTGTGAGGAGGGGATGGGGAGGGGGGATAAAGAAAGAGGGAGAGTCAGATAGGAAGGAGTAAGTTGACGGGTGGTGTGATTATTGTGCGATTGTATGGTACCGAGATGGGATGGGAGGGAAGGGCTTTGCTTCCGTAGTGTACCGTTGGGAGAGAAGAGGGGAGCAGATGCCGCGGTGGAATGTGATTGTGAATGTGATTGTGGTAGTTGCGTGGTTGTGATTGTAATGGTGGTAGTAATCGAGGATGTCCGGGGAGGATGGATGGATGTATATCCACGTCGACTGTTCTATATGTGAGGTGAGGAGGCATGTGCATTTTGTATGCATGTACACTTCTAACATGTACGTGCACACCAGAGCTTACATATCGTCAAGCACTTCATCCGTCTGTGCTGTGCTGTTGAGCTCCTTCATGCAAGAACGCGTAGGGCGTTGGCCATGCCGCGGATGTAGGGTGTAGGTGTTGTTGGTGCAGCCAGGTGTGCAGGAATGTTTACTGTACACAAAGAAAGTAGTAAAAAAAAAGGTACATACAGTACACATCGCAACTTCTAATACCTCCATCCTTCGCGTCGGCTTGCCACGTTGTTTGGTCGGGTACTATTCTCGCTCGCATTGTGGGGGCTAAACTGTTTTGGGTGTGGGTGTTGGGTGTAGTAGTCCGGCTTATGAAAACACCCAACCACACAGCCAGACCGGAGAGAGACCGTTGATCCCTCCGCTATCCCTCCACCCACCTAACCGGAATAATAGCCGGGGGGGTGACCTGTTTTGTATCCTTTGTTGTAGTGGTATGTACTCTACATCTACCACCACCAAATCGAGTTGAGTAAGAAACTGGGCTGTGGGAAGTACTTTGGATTTAGCCCTGGTTGTACACCCAAAGACAAGTATCTTTTTCTACTGGTGTAAGCGGTACGGATGCGATGGATGTATGTACCATGCATCATTCCACTTATAGTAAAAAAAACTTGCAACCACACCAATTCGTGACAGGCCGCTAGAGCCTTTCTTGGTCTCGGTCTTTGTCAGTCACAACCAGGCAGCACCAGCCACCACCACTAACAACACGGCGGCGAATGGATCGCGCTCTCGTTCTCGCTCTCGCTCTTTCTTTGTGATCTTTCTCGCCCTCCCATTTACCCTTTTAGACTGTGTTCGTGTTCCACTGTTGTCCACTGCTGTCCACTGTGTTCGCTGTCCACTCTTTATTCCACTATTTGCACACACACACAGTCACTGCTCCCATCGCCCCTCCTCCCCATCCCCATCCCCTCCATCCCCCTCCCCCCCCCCCAGGATCAGACGATGATAAACAACCCCACGAGCCAAAAGGGTTGTTAAGCGACAAGACACTCCTCACTCACCCACTCACTCACTCACTCACTCAGAGAGAGAGGCGCATTCCCCAATCGACTCACCCACCCATCCCATTATCACTTCCCACCACCCGCCACCCAACTACCTCGGACCTCCCCCTCCTTCCTCTTACATACATACATCTTATCCCATCCCATCCTCACCTATCCGACCTTCCTTCCTTTTCAAACCTCAAATACTCGCCAACTCGCCAACTCATCACACACACCGCGCCAATCCCCCCCGCCAATCGAGACCTACCTGCCTCCGAGAAACCGCATGAGCAGGAGACACCAAAGAGAAAAGCAAAAAAAAGCAAAATAAAAGTAAGTCTTAAAACCCAAGCAGTAGTCACTTGACTAGCCATGTCGGCGATTTCTGCAACCCAAGAGTCATGCCCATTCGCTCCCCGCGCATCAGGTCAGCCAACAGCCTCTAACATCATTGGTGCGCAGAACTGCGGCCCTCCGTCGAGATTCGTTGGCCATCAGGCGCAAAGGCGACAGGCGACAAACTTCCCATCACACCGCAGCCGACGAATACCACTGAAGTCCTACGAACAAACGATCAAAGACACACGCCTCCTGCGCAACGTGGACAGCTCGTGAACGACCCCCCAGGGAAAATATTCGACAACAACCACACCACAGACCGACGAAACCACCACCCCCCCCCGTCACGCGCACATATGGAAGGCTCGGAGTACATCTACAGTACCACAGTCCACCGTCTTCGAGGAGAATCAGAATCAGATTCAGATCTATCATCACACACCCATCTCACGATCAACGCACTCAATTGCAAAGAACTACACCGCGGCAACAACGACGCCGTCTTCCGATGCTGAAACCTTTATTATTACCGCAGCTGGTGGAGGAGCGCAGGAAGCGCGAGACTCTGGTCGACGAGGAGCTTAACGTCTCACAGAGCTCTGATATCCACGAGCCGAGCACTCCCACGGATTGCCCCTCCTCCTCGCCCACCACGCCGACACTATCGAAGCGCGGCCATGTCAGATATGGCAGCTCCGTCTCGTCCCTCGACAACTCAATACACTCGCCACTCACGGAGATCCCGTCGTCGCCATCGTTCACGGCGATGAAGACGAGCAAGCGCTCGTTGCCAGACGTGCAGGAGGATCCGCTCGAGCGCGACGAGGATCTCGACATGTTTGACGACGACCTCCACGATGTCTATGACTGGTCTTGTAAGTCCTACTACCCGTGCAAACACCTACCCCAACTAACACCCCCAGGCGACGACAACCACCATCGCCACCTTGAGAGCTCCATGGGCCGCTCATCCGTGCAGCTGTCGACCCGGCCAGACTTTGAGTACGACCTCGCCGATGGCATCACCAGCGACACCGACCTAGGCCTGAGCATCACCAAGAAGCGCCGCGCCGGCGACTCCCCCTTCAGCGCGATCGCCAACCGCTTCGGCACTCGCTTCCCAGGCCTCACGCGCAAATGGCGCGCCAGCAAGAGCTCAAACCCTCTATCGCTTTCTGACATCGACCGCGACCTCCGCGCCTCGCGCACCGCATCAAGCCGGTCCTCATCGGTCTCAAACTCGGTCAGCCACAGCCACGGCCTAGCTCTCTCCTTTGGCGACGTCCAGATGCCTCCCACGCCTGCCATGAGCGAGTTTGACCGCCACGACTCGCCGTACCGTGACTCCATCGGGGATTCTGAGGAGTTTGAGCGGGCTCACCGGGAGGACTCTGAGAGGCCTGCGGGATTCGTTTCGACGCCTCTACTACCGCCGATGATGATGGGAAGCAACTCCATCACCGACGCGGACGTCCCCATTCAGTCCCCGCTCGAATCACCCTCCGTCGCTGACCCGGCTGAATACCTCAGCGGCGCCTGCACTCCCGCTACCGGCATCGCCACGCCCGCGCGCGGTATGCCTTCTCCCCCTTTGTCCACCAAACCATCGATGTCGTCTATCAGACCCACCCACACCATCGCCCCCGTGCACCTCACCTCGTCCTCCTCCGACGCCCTCCCCCTCGTCATCGCAGACATAGACGACAAATGGTCCAACACCCTCGGCCACGCCAACTTCACCATCCACCCTCCCCCCTACCTCCCCCTCACACCCGACCTCGAAGCCTGCCGCCAGCTAAAGCGCGACTGGGACCTCGCCCGCTGCAACTACACCAAGCACCTCGTTCGCACGGGCGAGCACTACGGCGCCACTTCCAAGACCTACCTCCTCACCGAAGAAAAATGGAAGGAGACCGATGATCTGTGGCGCGCTAATAATGATGCGACGATCGCGGCGACGGCGGCGAGCGGGGAAGACGCGTTTAGGAGTCTTAAGCATAATAGGGTGGGCGAGGCGGATAGTAATGTGATGACGAAGATTCCGAGCTTGAATGATCCGAGGTGTGAGGGGAAGTTTCCGCAGTTGGGGGATGAGGATATTGTTGGGCCGATGGTGCAGGGGGTGGCGAGGATGCAGAGGAGGAGGAGTAGGAAGGAGGTGTTGAGGAGGTTTTTTGTGGAGAAGTTTCCGGTGGGGTTTGGGAGGGGGTGAGAGGCATTGCTCGATGCTGTCTAATTCTCTAATTCTCTAATTACGAGCTGAGAGAGATGGAGACGAGAAAAGGAAAGGAGAAGGAGAGGAAGAGGAGGAAACACACACGCACGACGCGACCTTACACCTTAACTTTTAATGATACCAACGACACGGCCGACAGACATATACAACAACAACAACAACAACACTCGCTTTTTTTATTTTACAACACACTTACGTTCGTTTTCGATACCCACCACATTCATTTTTTACACACAGTCACGACGATACCCCGCCTCATACACATAGGCACCCACACGGCGGTAGCAAATCAGCGCTACGACGAGCTTCTACAGCAAGACAGACAGCAGTTTTTGGATTTTTGGCTTTTTTCTTTTGTTTTGGGAATATAGATAGACGGATCTTTTTGGGAAAATGTCCTAGGGATATGGCGCAGGATAAGAAGGAATGGGAACGGAAGGGTTTTAGATGGGGTTTAGATGGATTTTTGTACATAGACGGATCGGAAAAGGGAGTTCTGAGGTTGAAGCACGGGGAGGGCTTTTGGCGGCTGGTATCCCACCCCGCCAAAGGGGTGGGGGAGAGCGCAGTCAGATTTTTTGGTGTTTGTTGCGCTGTTGGATGGGGGAGTAGTGGTTTTTATTGTATAATGGCTGGCTCTGGGGGTGGAGGGAGGGAGCTGGTAGGGGGGTGGTTGTACAGTGTAAACAGACAGACAGACAGACAGACAGACACCGAAAGGAGAATGGGAAAAGTTGAGAACTACCTTCATTTATATGTCTGATAAGCCGTGAAATGTGAAGTCTTATCTACTAAGTGAGTATAAACCGCCCAACCAAGCCATTAGACCAGTCCTCTCCCCCCCCCGGGCATACTCGACTACCCTCTTCATAGCAAAGAAAAAGTATGTGATCACTCACCTTATAACATTCACTTCCTTGTGTTGTCTATGTGTTGTAAAGCCGTCGATGGGGTGGGGGTGCGGGTGGGGGGGGCCTGAACTATCTGGAGCTTTCTTTGGAGAGAGATGGTATGGACATTGGTGGTGACGAATAGTGTGCTCCCTTTACACTTACCACCATATCATCTCTAGTGTCAGCTCCATCTCTCAGCGTACACAGAACCCATAAAGTAGACTGACAACGACTGACAACGACTGACAACGACTGACAACGACTGACAACGACCGACAACGAAACATGCCTTCTACCCCCCTTCCCCCCTCTCTTTCCAACAAGCATAACGCCCGCTACCCATGTTAATAAAGTGACCCCGCCAACACAACTAGACCCAATCAAGCTACCAATTTCAAAGATCAGCACCATCAATATAGTTCCCCCCCAGGGACTGCACGCAGCGCACGTATGCAGCATTTAGCTCTATATGTATGTGGCGTAGGACTAGTCTTTGCCTACGTGCTGAGTCGCCCTCGCCCCCCGCTCTCTGGCTTAAATCTCTAGCTCACTACCTTGTTGGCGAAGCTGCGGTGGATGTCTAGCCACTGCTTGATACAATGACTAAACCACTACGCCTTGGCACAAGCTGTAGTTACAGAATACAGCACAGCACAGCACACATCATACGCATAGTCACCCCCCCAACCCAACCTACAAGCAGCCACAATCACAATCCGCCATTCATTTACTCCTGATTTTCCATCCCCGCCCTCGCTCCTTTTACGCCTTCGCACTCTCATCCCTCTCCACCAGCTCCCCAACCCCCAGTCCCCTCCCAACCCTAACCTTCCTGAGTACCTCCCCCGCCTCATTCTTCTCCATCTCCTCGCCGGCCTGCTTCCCCTCATCCCCCACCGCATCGCCCTCATCCTCCGCATCCTCCCCCCCAGCAGCGAGTAATTCGGCGCGCACACCGTCGAGGTCGAGTCTCATGCTATAGGCGTCCTCGCCGTCGGCGTAGTATTTGGCTTCGATCTTGTCGTTGCGGAAGCCGAGGGTGTCGCGGTAGAGGCGCAGGGCGGCGTTGTTGGAGATGCGGACGTGGAGGGAGACGTAGCGGGATTGGAATGTTTCTACCATTGCTTTTTCTGTGGGGGGTTCGTTAGCTGCCATCACCGTCACTGTTTGAATTTTCATGTCTGTTCATTCACATCTTCCCCCTCCCACCGCCTTCCCTTCCCACCGCCTTCCCCCGCCCCTCGACTAAGACAAAATTCTCGAGACGGGGAGAAGAAGGCGGGAAGGGGAAGAAAGGGAGGAGGAGGGGGGGTAGGTAGGTAAAACTCACGAGCCTGCCTCATCAATTTCTCCGCAATCCCCAACCTCCGATGCGTCCTCATAACACTCAAACTCGTAATATGCCCATGCGCCACCCCATCCGCCGGCTCCTCCTCCATCTTCGCCAACACATACCCCACGATGCGGGGCGGATCATACGGCGACTTGGGCGGACGCGACACGTCCACGGCGACGAAGGAGAGCTGTGGCCAGGAGAGCGCGTGGTAGAGGTAGTATTTCATGAAGTAGTTTTCGGGGAGGTTGGTGATGTTGGCGTGTTGCACGTGCGGGATGTCCGAGGCGTGGAGGAGGCGGATGTCCATGGTTTGGGTTGGGGGGGTCTTGCGACCGGTGTTTGTGGAGGGGGTGGTTGTGGTGGATTGGTGGATTGGAAGCTGTGTGTGGAGGTGAGGTGAGGTTGGTAGTGAGAGCTGTTGGCGATTTTCGAGAGGGGCCGGATTATGTGTCTCTCCGTCCGTGCTTCGGCGGGTTCGCCGGTGGTGCCCGGTGGGTTAGTAGCGTTGTTTTTCTTGGTGGGGGTGAGAGGTGGGATGGTGTGGTCCTGCGGGGTATTGGGATACCGACCACGCGCTTTGCGATATGTGATAGTGGCTCTTTCGGAGAGATCTGCTCCGGAATTTGGGGGACGTGGGGTGGGACTATATAAAGGAGAGGATTCTTTTTTTTGTTGGAGGGGTTCTCATCTTGTTCTTGGGTTTTTGTAGGAAGAGTTGATACTGGAATATTATAACTTCGTTGAGACGTTGGTGATAAATCCGCCAAGTGCTGCTTAGATATCGACACGATGGCTCCAACTTTGGTTCCTAGAGCTTTGGAGGGCAAGCTCGCTCTTATTACTGGAGCTTCTAGAGGTATGATTACCCCGATGAAGCCTCATTACCATACTAACCCCCCCCAGGCATTGGCGCCGCCATCGCCGAGAACCTCGCCTCCAAAGGCGCAACTCTAATCCTCAACTACACGTCGCCCTCCTCCAAAGCCCCCACCGAGGAGCTCTCCGCCAAACTCCTCAAAGACCACTCCGTCTCCAGCTACATAATCCAAGCCGACATGGGCACCCTCACCGGCCCCTCGCAACTCATCGCCTCCGCCAAATCCGCCCGCGAAGCCGACGGCCGCACCTTCATTCTCGACATCATCATCAACAACGCCGGCGTGGCAGTAAACGACTTCCTCCCCGCCATCCAAATCGCCGATTTCGACAGCGGATACCACGTCAACGTGCGCGGGCCCCTCCTGCTCATGCAAGCCGCGCAACCGCACCTCCCCACCGACCGCTCCGGGCGCATCGTCAACATCTCCAGCATCTCCGCCCAGGCCGGGTTCGTAGGCCAATCCATCTACGGCGGCACGAAAGCAGCCTTAGACGCCATGACGAGGACGTGGGCTAGGGAGTTGAGCGAGAATGCGACTGTGAATTCGATTAATCCGGGCCCTGTGGCTACCAGCATGTGGTTTGGGAACTCGGAGGAGTTTATGGAGGGGATTAGACCGTTTATTCAGGGGGCGCCGTTGGAGAAGATTAGACCCGAGCTGGATGATAAGGAGCTTGTGGAGGGGGCGGAGAAGGCGGGGGGGAGGCCGGCGTATACGTGGGAGATTGCGGGGGTGGTGGGGATGCTTTGTACGAAGGATGCGGGGTGGGTTACGGGGCAGGTTGTGTCGGCGAATGGGGGTATGAGGTTTGGTACTGGTTGAGGCGTGGTAGATAGTTGGGTATATATGAATACATTTGATCGTAGGCTATACAAGATGAGCTGGCACTTGAAGAGGACCGCTGGCTGTTTTGTTGTGCACATGGACTTGTGGTTGATGCTAACAGGGAACAACTTTCATTATTCAGGTCACCATGTGCTTCCCATCCTCTCCACCTCGCAGGGCAAGCAGCGCTCTCACATCAGTGACATGCTGTAGCCCTTCAAGCAGCGGTACCAAGTGCAGCAGATCATTATCCGTTGGATCGTTAATCCAGCCTTCTATCGGGATAGCATTGTCTATCACAATCGTTAGCAACAAGCCCAGTTCTGTCCCCCAAACTACCACACAGACAACATACCTTGATGAAACATGTAACTCAACGGGCTATTATCCAAAATCATAACCCGACTCAAGTCCGGCTCCACACTGCTCAGATCCTTGATAAACGCCCCATGCCTAAACGTGCAATGCTGCCTATACAGCCTTCCGCTGAAGAACTTGCGCTCCTGCTCCAGCCAGTCAATCACTGGGTCCGCATACTCCTGCACCGACGCCGTGAAAATCACCAGGTTATACCACTTGCACACCCGCCGCAGGAAGTCGTCACAGTGAGGTCGCTTGTGCACGTAATACAGGATTGGGTGTTGGGGTCCGGCAATCGGGACCCCTGAGGCGGCGACGAAGGTGTTGAGCTTCACTTCCACCATGTGCCCGGTGGACATACGTCCGCCTTTGGCCATGGAATGGATCAGCGTCTCGTCGAGATCGAGAATCAACGTCTTCTGCGGGCCCCGTCCATTAATCGGCTCAGCCATCGTATAACTCGGCTGCCTCTTCGGGATCAGCGGCCTCGGCGGCGCAGGCGCGCGCGGATACTTCGCCATTGACAGCGTCGCCGGCGGCGAAGTTGGGGACTTGAGCGTAGCGGGTGTGATTTCAGTAAGAGCAGGACTAGCGCCACCGGCGCCGTCAGACTGTGTCATGGGTGAGTTCGTAGACTGAGATTTGCGGTGCCTGCGGTCCTGCCGCGCGTCTTCGTTGTGAAGCTTGATGCGGATAGAGCGGCGCGCGGGGGTCGTCTCGTCGTTCGGCTTGAGGGATTTGGAGCGGGTGTGTCTGCCGGCTGAGCTGGTCGGGCGGGAGTCCAAGTCGCGCTCGGATTCGGACTCGGAGGAGAGCTGGGAGGACAGTGAGGCGTTCTTTTGGGGCCGTATGGAGGGCCGCCTGGTTGAGGCTGCGTGCTTTTCTAGTAGCGCGTTGCGTTCGCTGCTCAAGCCTTCGTGGCTCATCTCCCCTCTCCAGAAATACCCTCCAATCCTCCGCACCTGGAATAAGGGCGCGAAGTTTCCGTCGTGATCGTACAAACATGCTATTATATAAAACCCCGGCGCCATTATCGCCGATACCACCCATCGTACAGAGTTCACAAACGCGGCCGCTATTCGTTTCGAGAAGAAGACAAAGTCCCTCGGCCTTGACTGTATATCCGCCTTCCTATCTTCTAGCATTGGGACCTTCTCGTCTGTGCTGGTATGTCCTGCCTCCGTGGAGGTTTCTTCCCCTGCCTCTGCCGCGCCATCCTCTTCGTCGTGCTCGTCTACTGCATCCTCGGCAAGACTGCTTGGTTGTATTGACGCGCTTCCGGCGAGGCTTAGGGAGCTGCCATAGGAGTTGCTTCGCGAAGGCGGCGGCGAAACCCGCGCCGATAGGATGTTGAGGGAGTTCATCTTCGTATCCAAGCCATGAATGAGAGGTGGCGTTGGCGAGTCAAAGGGTGTCGCGTTTCAGGCAGCGAGGCGCTGGTAGAAGATGTCTATGACAGTGGAAGGCCACGTTTCGGTTTTGTACGCAGTCTTGGTGCCGTATGGAATATCTTTCTCTTGCGACTGCTCTATTGTAGGAGGTTGTCGGATGCGACTGTCGCAGTTGTCGTAATCTTACAATGATCCCGTCTGCTTTGCTACAGCAACTCTGGATGCGAACGGCAAACAAAGGCGACAGAAAGTACAATCTTGCTCTTGCCTGTAAATCCGCGGATTTGACGGCCACGAAACAAGTGCCTTTCGAGTTGAGTTGTTGAACTTCTTCGTACTGTTGATGACGGTGGTTGGGTTGGAGTTGGAATCCACGGCCCGAGCTTCGCCGGAACCCTTGCACCGTCGTCCACGGAACATTTTCCGAACATTGGAGCGATGAGCAACTTCCAGCCTCACTCAACTGCAAATTAATAGCCTTACAACTTGCGCCTTTTATTCTCTCCCAACTCCACGCATACTATCACGGCATAGAGAAATACGCATTTAAGGCCTACCTAGTTGCGATTCACTGCTCACAAACTCAACTTCAAAAGCGATTGAGTCACACATTTCAACAGCCTCATAAAACGGACGAAGTCAACACCCCCGCCCCCGCGCGACAATGGCGCCTTCCGTAGCTGGCTACACGCCAACCCTGTCGACATTTCTAGCATATCTCAAAGACAAGGAGAATCACCCCGTGGAGTCATGCATTGAGCTCCTGGTCTCGTTAGTTGACCTCACAAACTTTTGTCGCGTTGCGAACACATACTGATTCACCACCAGACTCCTCAAACAAAGACAAATCAGAAATTCTAGGCCATGTGCTGTCGCGACGGCAAAACTATTGCGCCGGGTCGTATCAAGCTTGAAATGGAGAGATGCGGAGGATCTTATTCGACGCATACAGGATGTGGGACAAAGGCTTATGGAGGCCCAGCCAAGAGAGATGGTGGTGGGGAACATTGTCCGACGTGTATTGGGTCTGATCAGAGATGAAATTCTGGAGGAAAGAAATGAAGATGTCAGTAGCGATGCTGGCTCTGTGACGCCAAATCGAATGCACGCCCCCCCAGCATTGAGCCATCCGCGACCATCTACCGCCGACTCAGCATCAGCAAGAAGCCCATTTGACCAGCACGCCAGGCCGTCTCTCATGAGTTCCCATACATCATACGCAGTTGTGGGCGGAGTCCCTGCTGTCCAGTCGATGTTCAGCCTCCTCTCAGCTACTCCGTCCGAGGACCCTACACCCCCAGGAGTGCCATCGCCGAGCGACAAAGGCGTCGATGCAGCAGCGCTCTCAAGGAGGATTACAACTAGCACTCGAGACCTAAAATCGGAGATTTGTGACGGCATCAACGAGATCATCGACGAGCTTCTCCAATCCGACGAGCGAATTGCGAGTTATGCCCACGAGCACATCCACTCCAACGAGATTATCCTCACACATACATCTTCACAGACGGTACACCAGTTTCTTCTCAAAGCGGCAGCAAAGCGCAAGTTTACGGTTATCGTCGCGGAGTCATATCCCAATGATCATGAACAGACGCATAGTGCTGCTATGGGGGTGCTAACTCCACATGACGACGAGGAGGATGAACTGGGTCTCGAGCAGTTCCAAAAGTCATTAACAGCGGCAGGTCTTACCGTGGTCTTGATCACAGATTCGTCCGTCTTCGCGATCATGTCGCGAGTGAACAAGGTGATTTTGGCGACACATGCAGTTATTGCCAACGGCGGTTTAGTTGCGGCATCTGGAGCCCGAATTATCGCCAAAGCCGCCAACAAGCACAGGACACCCGTGATTGTGGTGTCCGGTGTTTATAAGCTTAGCCCCCAGTATCCGTATGAGTTCGAATCACTGATCGAGTATGGCGACCCGTCGAAGATTATCACCTACGAGGATGGCGACTTTGTGGAGAAGATGGACGTCGAGAACCCACTCTTCGACTATGTTCCTCCGGAGCTTGTTGACCTTTACATCACCAACCTGTAAGTTCAACCATTTTTTTTGTCGAAGTCTCAACATAAATTCCCCCATATTAACATTCTATAGTGGGGCACACGCACCATCATATCTCTACAGAATCGTGGCGGATCATTATAAGCCCGAGGACACAAACTTTCACAACCCCGAAGTCCGCTTTTGAGGGACCAAAAATCTCCAAAAACAAGCTGTCAAAACATTTCAGCGATCGGCGACACGCGGCCTCGCCGTCACCTCTTAAGGATATATATGCGCTTCGTAAGGCTTGTTTCTGCAGCACGACAATTAACTTGTTCGCCAGTCTCTGTTTGGGTTGCATAATGCCGTGGGAAACGCGTAAGCCAGAATGGCGCCGCTTGCTGACATCTGTCACTAAGCTATGGTTGGGTAGCTCGGTAGGGCCGCGTTGGCTCAGCCTTGCATATCCCTGTGACATCCAGTAGCGGCAAGGGACTTTCCCCGCTCAAATAGATAATAGAGTCAATCCTGCCAGGCAGCTCTGCAGTAATGCGACAAACGTGCAAGACTTTGGATTCCTCGCTGTCGTGATCTTTGGTGATGCTCTAAATCTTGAACCGTCGGTCGACATCGACGCAACAGTTGGTCCTTTCTTCTTGCCTCGACACCTATTGTCAGCTTATCTACCACCTATTTACTACCACATAAGCAGTGCTTTGGCACACTTCCGGCCATGGACAACGCACCCCCTCCTCCCTACAGTGAAACGGACATTTATTCGAACTCCGGCCGTTCGCCTTTGAGCGCTCCTCCTGACCTAAGCCGCTCGACCACTCAAACCGATGATGCCTCTCAGGCTTCTACCAACAACTCAGTCATTTATACTCCAGCTGAGTCTGTGAATAACGACTCTTATGCGTCAGCCGCCCGTTTATACTTCGAAAGCCGCCCGCCCCCACGGAAAGTTCAACGACGTCCCATTTCCCATGAGATCGCCGTAGGGCATATGAGCACACCAGACGACTTGCCTTATATTCCCGAATTCGCGGATTTAGATATTACAACTCAGGACTGGGCGACATTTATAAACTATGTCATCCCACACCATATCGATCAGTCAAATGGGCTCGTGGCGAGCGAGAAAATGAAGGCAGAAGTCCTCGATAGGCGCATGCATGGGCTTACCCTTTCACCAGAAGGCGCCTCGGACTTATCCGCCGTTGACGCACAGTTAAATACTCTCCAGCCCTCCAAAGTCGATCTGGCAGGGCCTCCCGAAGATGATATCGCAGCTGTGGTCTTGGAGTGGAACACTGGATTTTTTGGACCCAGAGGCGTCCGCGTTTTAGCTAATGTGAGCGAGCCGGATCCGCCGGCTCTTCCGCCAAGGACTACCACGGAGCCACCGCTGGCTACAAGGTCGATGCCCTCCAGACCGGGATGGCAGACTACAGGTTCGGAAACAGCCTCGGATCGTGATAGTGTAGGCGGGGAACGAGAGCAGATGGGATGGGGTTGGGGCCCTCAGGGGCCGGGACGAAGACACGGACACGGAGACGGACACGGACGCGGCCGCCGGGGGCATGGCGGATTTGACAGAGGCGGATGTGGAGCCACCCCAAGGGACGGTTTTAGGGGGTTTGGCCGCCGTGGCGGTTTGGTATGTGCGGATGCATCTGGCTTTCACGTTGGGAGAGTGATGTCCGCGGGGAATGATGGCTTCCGACTTGGACCTATGGTTGCGGATAAATCTGGATTTCGCATCGGGAATATGCTTGTTGCTAATGATGAGGGGTTCAAACTTGGGGGTATGACTTTTGGAAATACCAATAGCTCTAGTCCAGCGCCGCCAAACCCATACGCTGAGCGAGGGCGGAATATGAAGGATGGAGGAGATAAGAATGGTCGTGATAGATCGAGGTCAATAAGCTCGCGTAGTTCATCTAGCGATGATACGGTCGGGACCGAAGACTCGGAAGGAAGTTTACCTGATGTCAGTGATTTAAAACCAAATCAGCTGCATGTTGTGAAACAGAGCCTGATGGAATGGCTCAACCATCCCGAGCAACCAGTTAGCAAGGAAAGCGTCAAAACTCTCAAGAGAGACATCAAACTGGCTAAACATGCAAGGAAACCGGAAGGGCAGGAGCTTACCGAACTAAAAGCAGAGCTAAGGGCATTGACCAAGGCGTTCAAAGAGCTGAAGAAGAGTAGGGCAGTGAAGAGGAAGTCGATAAGGAAGGAAAGGAGGAAACAGCGAAAAGAGCTGAGAACCCAAGCGAAACAGAGGAGAAGGGAGGAGAGGGCGGCGAGAAGGAGCCGGGGGAAGGGCAAAGAGAAGGCGGCTGCGGCGGAGTATGATGAGTATGCGCCTCTCGAAACAGGTTTCGTACAGAACAGCGGTTCCATTCCAGGATTTCCAAGTGGGTCGCCTGGCATGCGCAACATGCCTTCTATTCCAGGGTTTCCAAATGGCCCACCTGGCATGCACAATATGCCCTCTATTCCAGGGTTTCCAAATGGCCTCCCTGGCATTCAAATGCCGGGCAACTTCCTGGGTATGGGCTTCAACCCATTATCGCCCGAGTCGCCGAGGTCCCCAGGGGAAGTCATAAAGGTCCAGGAAAAGCGTGAGCACTTAGGAAGGGAGGCAGAGCGCATCTTGGCAGATGCGCGTGCCATGCACAAGGAAGCAGAGGAAACAAGAATCAGGGCTGATCAAGAGCAAGACGAAAAGTCGACGCTGAAGCTCCTCGATGTGGCGAAGGATCTAGATGTCGAAGTAGAGAAGCTGTATGAAGGAGCTGACCGATTGATTGCGGAATCAGTCCATCTAGAGGAATGTTTGAGGGAGATTAATGGTGGTGAGATGCCACAAAGAGATACTGCCGACAAGGAGTATATAAGAAGAATGAGGCAGAATAGTGGGGTTTCTACTCACTGAGGGGGGAGATCGGAATGCTCTTGTCTTGTAGCGATTTTCATGTATTTATGATATATTGATGATATACTTATGATATATTTATGTCGTCGGCGCTGATCTCCAGGCGTTTGGGTCACTGAACTACACAATTCAACTTATATTAACTTTGGATTCGGTCTGATCCGGTACCTTACATTATTATCTGACTTGACCTACCTCGCTATCTAAAGCAACGCGTGCAAATTAACAATCCCCAGCAGCTCACCCCACTGGACATTGACCCTTGCAAAATAGTTGCTCTCGCGTCATTACCGAAATTATATATTAACCCATGCCCAGATCTTGAAAAAGCTCTTGGGGTAGGTGCGGGGTACAACTGAACTAATATGTTCTCTCCGCAATTGACAGTGCAATTCGGGGTAGTCGGAGCGGCTATGTTGTACGGAGAAATAGCTTACTCGTGCCAAATATTTTGACTTTAACCTCCTGCGGCCAACAGCCCCGCCCCCGCCGGTGATGATACTATATGCTGCAAGAGCCTAGCAGTGAACCAAGCTTTTTCAATTGTTGACAACGGAAGATGGGAGCCCGAAGCCGATACGATGCGTATTAGAGGTTATAATAAAGACGGGTTGCCTCTGTTGTCAATGGCACTCGTGAACTCGTGGAAGTACGCGTTCGTGGAACACTTCGAAATATGAAGATCTCAACGCTAGTTACAGCTGCCTGTGTCGCTTTTCAGGGCACAGCAGCAGCCGTCGTTTCGGGCAAGCCGTCTACTTTCATTAGAGACTATGATAAGCGCGACTTGCTTCAGGATGTCGTTAGTCTGCCCTTCAAACCAGTATGTGATTATGTTTGTGATCTAAATGATTCTTAGGTCACCTGGGACGAGCATTCCTTATTCATCCATGGGAAACGTGCTATGATTTTCTCGGGAGAAGTTCATCCTTGGAGGTATGTAATTGACTGAATTAATTGCCTTTCAGCTTTTATCCTGGGTCTATTTTTTATTGTGAGAATTGTTCAATTGAAGGCATTTCGATTATGTCCACACCACCCATTGGAATATATCACCTTGCTACCCAAGATTGAAATGAAAAACATAGCACGACCCTGACATAATGCTAGACTTCCCGTGCCTTCGTTGTGGCTTGACCTTTTCGAAAAGATCAAGGCACTTGGATACAACACTGTGTCGTTCTACGTCGACTGGAACCTTCTTGAGGGGAAGCAAGGAGAGTTCAGAGCAGATGGCGTATTTGCTTACGAGCCCTTCTTCGAAGCCGCTACTAAGGCCGGAATTTGGTTGATTGCAGTGAGTTAACTCCAGTTGTTTAAATGACACCAACTGAGACCATGGCCACAGCGTCCGGGTCCATATATCAATGCAGAAGTAGCAGCAGGCGGACTTCCAGGCTGGCTGCAGCGTATCAAAGGCATGATCCGCACAAATGCGGATGACTACATGGAGGCAACAGAATTGTGAGCCCCCCTGTCAATATATCCAAGACCTTGTACTCAACTTCAATAGATATGTTGCTTCGATCGGAGCCATAATTGCAAAGGCTCAAATCACGAACGGCGGCCCAGGTAGGCTCAACAAGCCATTCCTCGAGGAAGATACTAACACGATCTAGTCATTCTATATCAACCCGAAAACGAGTATTCGGGAGGCATACCGCCCGCTGTATTTCCTGATGCGCCTTACTTCCAACGTGTCATTGACCAGGTGCGCAAAGCCGGGATTGTCGTTCCACTCATTAACAACGATGCTTGGTCTGGTGGCCATAATGCTCCAGGGACTGGGCTCGGAGAGGTGGACATATATGCTCACGACAACTACCCGTAAGTATCACAAGATCCCTCTATGTTAAAATACTAACCCTTGGGAAGAATTGGATTTGATTGCTCCGATCCCACAGTGTGGCCAGCAAATGGGCTGAGGACTGATCAATACTCGACCCGCGTTGAAATTAGCCCCAACACCCCCTATACGATCCCCGAGGTATGCCCATAGCTTTAAACCACTACCGTAAAACAAAAACTAACATATATTGACGTAGTTCCAAGGTGGTGCATTCTCACCTTGGGGAGGATGGCCCATTGACAAATGTGCCGAGCTTGTGAACCAAGAGGCCGAGCGTGTGCTCTACAAGAATAACTACGCTGCTGGTATCTCCATCATGAACCTCTACATGGTATTGTTCTCTCGTCTCCTCTAATAATGACTTAGTGCTAACCCCATTGATAGACCTATGGTGGATTGAACTGGGGAAACCTCGGTCACTATGGTGGTTTCTCGACTTACGACTACGGCGCTGTATGATTACTTCCTAACCCATACATATCGTATTGAGCTGACATTTAAAACAGGCGATTAAAGCTGACCGAACCATAACGAGAGAAAAGTACAGCGAGGCCAAGCTACAAGCCCAATTCCTCAAGGCTTCGCCAGACTATTTAACTGCAGTTCCAACGAACCTTTCAACTACGCTCTATACGGACAATGTCAATCTTGCTGTGACTCCAGTTATTGGCAGCGAGGCGCCATCATCGTTCTACATTGTGAGGCACAATATTTATAACAGCACAGAGACAACGACCTACAGATTAAATATTGCAACAAGTGCAGGAAAGCTGACCGTTCCTCGACTAGGAGGAAAGTTGACTCTCAATGGCAGAGATTCCAAGGTTCATGTCACTGATTACAATGTGGGAGGGACAACCCTTCTATATTCCACCGCGGAAGTATTCACATGGAAGAAGTTTGATAGCGGCAAAGTCCTGATTCTGTACGGAGGTCCAGAGGAGCTACACGAGGCATCTATCGTGTCAACTGCCAAGCCAACAATAATTGAAGGCAAAGGAGTCACCACGAAGTCGATCGACGGAAATGTCGTGCTACAGTGGAAGACATCGGCTTCGCGCAGCATTGTAAAGATCGGTGACCTGTCTGTGTATATCCTTGGTAAGAATTCTGTCTTGCACATGGATTGCGTAAGCTAACAAGCCTATCTAGATCGCAATTCTGCTTATAACTACTGGGTTCCAGATCTCGCAGACGGATCTGCTGTCATAGTCAAGGCTGGATATCTGGTTCGCACAGCCGCAACAAAGGGCAACACCCTTCAATTGACCGGTGACTTCAACGCAACGACCCCATTTGAGGTTATTGGCGCTCCAAAGTCAGCAAAGAAATTGACAATCAACGGCCAACCTGTCGCTATCGAAACAAGCAAATCCACCGGATCATGGCATGGCCTTGTTAAATACCAGCGCCCATTTATCAATATCCCAGACCTGGAGCGTCTTCAATGGAAATCTACCGATGCCTTGCCCGAGATTCAAACCAGCTATGCCGATTCAGCATGGCCTTCTGCGGACAAGAAAACCAGCACAAATACTTATCGTAACCTGACTACCCCAACCAGTCTTTACTCTAGCGACTACGGTTTCCACTACGGGTATCTTATCTATCGCGGACATTTCGTTGCAACTGGACAGGAGACTACCATCACCATTTATACTCAGGGAAGGAACGCATACGGTACTTCCGCATGGCTCAATGGAGTGGACCTGGGCTCAAATGCTGGCGATGCAATTGTTGGCGATACCAACACAACATACACCCTTGGCAAGCTCTCCAAAGGAAAGAAATACGTCCTGACAATGTTGATGGACAATATGGGATACGACGGAAACTGGGTTATCGGGTCTGATTCAATGAAGAACCCGAACGGGATATTGCACTACGAATTCGCGGGGAGAAAGCAATCGGATATCACTTGGAAACTCACAGGAAACCTTGGCGGCGAAGATTATGTTGATAAGACTCGTGGTCCACTGAACGAAGGCGGCCTGTTCCCTGAAAGACAAGGCTGGCATCAGCAGAAGCCTCCCACTAACGGCTGGAAAGCTTCAAAGCCCACAACCGGTATATCCAAAGCAGGAGTCGCCTTCTACACTGCTGAGTTGGATCTCCATATTCCCAAGGGATGGGATGTACCGCTATCTTTCACCTTCAAGAAGACCAAGTCAAATGAAAAATTCCGTGCTCAGTTGTACGTGAATGGATACCAATTCGGCAAATACATCAACAACATTGGTCCACAAGTGGATTTCTCAGTTCCTCAGGGAATTTTGAACTATCAGGGTTCAAACACAGTGGCACTAACGCTCTGGGCTCAACAGCCAAGCGGTGCTAAGCTTGAGGGCCTGTCCCTAACTGCGGGAACTCCTGTGTTGACTGCCCTCGAAAACGTAGAGCTTGTCCCTATGCCAAAATACGCGAAGAGAGCGGGCGCATATTAGAAAGGATATCGGCGATCAATACGGAGTCCACGTATTAATTTTAGACTGCCGGGCCAGTTTGCCGCCCTAGTTCAAAATATTTCCAGTCGTCCGTTGGCTTTAGAACGACTGGTTTGGTGGAGCTTCATACGTCACTGGCCGAACCTTGCCGTTAGCCAATCAGAGTTTGATGATTATTCCCGATGTCGCTTTTGACGCTTATTCTGTCGGTAACCAGAATCGTTTAGGTTTAGCGCGGGCCATTTACGTAGTTATCATATATCATGCTTTTCCTCGATTTTGCTTTCCAATATATTTGATGATTGACTGCTTCGTTGACTACTGTTTAAGTTGAAGATTGGCTGCCAACGATGTCTGCTCCCGCAATAGCTTCAGCGGCCCTGAAGTCCAGAGTGAGAAGGACGAGCTTATACAACAAGATTGCCAACCCAGACGACTTGATCAAACTGTTCCCCAATGGATCGTACATTGGCTGGTCCGGTTTCACCGGAGTAGGTAAGTGAACAAGTGAATAATGGATCAAAGGGAGATATCTGGTCTAATATCCAACTTAGGTTACCCGAAGATGATCCCAACTATGCTTGCGGACCATGTAGAGAAGAATAACTTGCAGGGCAAGTTGAAGTATTCACTTTTCGTGGGCGCATCGTCGGGGGCAGAGACGGAAAATCGCTGGGCGGCACTCGATATGATCGAACGGCGTTCACCTCACCAAGTCGGAAAGTCCATTGCGAAGGGTATCAATGAGGGGCGCATCGAGTTTTTCGACAAGCACCTGAGCATGTTCCCAGCAGACCTGGTATATGTATGTATATCCCCAAAAACGCCAAAGAGGAATGCTCACATGACTGCAGGGATTTTATACGAAAGACAGGCCGAAGCCTAAGCTCGATGTTGTGATCGTTGAGGCTACGGCCATCACAGAAACCGGGGGCATTATCCCAGGTGCTTCTGTTGGAGCTACCCCAGAGCTGATCCAAATGGCTGACAAGGTATGTAATGGTATTCCCAATTCCCAGGTCACCTGATAGTCTTGTCAGAGGACTTGAATATACATTGCTTGTGAGAGTTCACTGACCATGAGAAAGATTATTGTCGAGGTCAACACATCCATGCCCTCGTTCGAGGGTCTCCATGATATTACTATGATGGACCTCCCGCCGAATCGCAAGCCCTATCTCATCATGGCCCCTGAAGATCGTATTGGCACGAACTATATCCCAGTTGACTCTGAGAAGATTGTAGCCATTGTCGAGTCGAACTATCAAGACCAGACCCAGCCTAACAACCCCGCCGATGCAGGCTCGAAAGCGATTGCTGGTCATCTCATCGAGTTCCTAGAGCACGAAGTTAAGCATGGCCGCCTACCAGAAAACCTCCTACCTATCCAATCTGGCATTGGAAACATTGCCAACGCTGTCATCGGTGGCCTTGCTGAATCTAACTTCAAGGACCTGCGCGTCTGGACTGAAGTCCTGCAGGACACCTTCCTCGACCTTTTCGATTCCGGCAAGCTCGACTTTGCCACTGCGACCTCAATTCGCTTTTCCCCTGACGGTTTCAAGCGATTCTATGATAACTGGGATCACTACTTCGACAAACTCCTCCTCCGCGCCCAGCAAGTCTCCAACTCACCTGAGATCATTCGCCGCCTAGGTGTCATCGGAATGAACACCCCAGTGGAGGTAGACATCTACGCTCACGCAAACTCGACCAACGTCATGGGCTCTCGCATGCTCAACGGAATCGGCGGATCTGCGGATTTCTTGCGAAACAGCAAGTACTCCATCATGCACACTCCATCCACGCGCCCCTCCAAGATCGACCCCCACGGAGTCTCCTGCATCGTTCCAATGGCCACGCATGTTGACCAGACCGAGCACGATCTAGATGTCGTGGTGACTGAGCAGGGCCTCGCTGATGTTCGTGGACTGAGCCCCAAGGAGAGATCGAGGGTTATTGTGAACAAGTGCGCGCATCCAGAGTACAGGGCTATCCTGGAGGATTATATTGCCAAGGCAGAGTTTGAGTGCACGAAGAGAGGCTGGCTGCATGAGCCACACTTGTTGTGGCAGAGCTTTGATATGCATAAGGCTCTTGACCAGGAAGGGTCTATGAAGAAGCTTAAGGGGTGGAAATAAATGATATAATTAGTTGGAGAGATTGAACGGGGATTGACTGTACTTAACAATATAGCGTGATAAATACAGTGTTGCCCGAGTACTACTCGCAGTGAGTACGACTCGACGAATACCCGAGAAATACCCGACTCGGGGGATATTATAGAGTGATTGGGGACTTGCCCATTACTACTCTGTATTCCCGCGTATTGCCAAGCACTTGGCGAGGTGGGGTGAGATAGATGGTAGAATGGCTAATTGTAG